CTTAAATTCATTAAATTTGTTCTTGATGCATTTGTTACATCTGTCAAATGATTCTTTTCTCTTGTCAAATTCCATACTAACCAACAATCTATTGTTCCAAATAATGCATTTCCATTTTTAACATCCTCTTTCAATATCTGATTGTTTTCCATCATCCATTATAATTTATAAGAACTAAAATAAGTATTTATTGGTAATCCTGTTTTTTATTAAAAATGATTCTTTGGATACTTATTTAAATATTCTTAACATATATCATGTGTTCTTGTATCACTCCAAACTATTGCATTCATATATGGCTTTCCAGTATGTTTATTCCAAGCAACTACTGTTTCTCTTTAATTTGTCACTCCAATTACCACCAATTTATGCTCTCCATTCATCTTCTTATAGGCTTACTGTATGCATTCAATTGTATTATTTAATATCTCTATTGGATCATGTTCCAACCAACCTTAATGTGGAGTGATTTATTTATGTGTCACATAATGATAACTAAGTTATTCACCATTTAAATTGCAAATCGTAAATCTTGTACCAGTTGTTGAGGAATCTATTGATCCAATTAAAGATTACATAATTTATTTATTTAATACGTAATTTTAGTGATGCTTATAATATTCATTAATTTTCAATGTAAATAAATCAATTTTATTATTATTAATTTAAAGTACTTTTTTCGAACTCTTTCGATTATTATTTACTAATAGACTGTTGTTGAGATATTTTACGATTTTATTTTGAGGAAATAGAATGATTATCTGAAGAAAGAACTTCACTTTAATTCATTCTACCTTTGTATTTAGTAGATGAAGTTTTGCTTTTATTATCACAATAATTTAGAATAGATTACAAATCTTGTTTGCTATTCTTAATTATTTTAGATTGATATAATCGTTCTACTTATTATTGTTGTTCATTAAAAGATGGTTTACATAAGGAGGGGAGTGAAAATTAGTACTCTTTCATCAAAGATTCACGGAAAGATGAATTACTGTTTAAATAATTGCTCCATTGACCATTTACTTTCAATTACAACATTGTTGGTAATTGAGCATAAGGACTATTCTATGATTCTTTAGGTAATTTTTATAAACTATTAGATTTGGAATTTGAAGGTCGTAATCCTGAAATACTATTATATTCTTTGATGCTTAAATTCAGAGCAGTCATGAGATTATTTTTCAAAGTATTACCATGCATTTAAGAATCCTTTAATTTACTAAAGTTATTTAAGTCAAAATTTACTTTAGCAAACGCTATTCTTCAGTACTCATTTAATCACATAATGCTTATTACTCCTACAATCGTTTACCAATTTAATCCTTAAATAAATTTTATTCTTGTCTTATTCTCTCTATTTTTTCTGCTTTCTTTTATTCTAAATCTTATTTCATATTGAACTCCCATTCTGAGATCTACATCTAAAAAGAAAATCAAATACTCTAGCATATTATTATTGTTTTTCTAAAAGCTCTTCTTCTCTTTTCTTTTTATTTTAATACATCTATAATGTCAATTGCTACTTCACCAATGCAGTTTTCAAACATTTCTCATCAAGCATATCTTACTTCATCTTTTTTGTTTCTTCCTGCTATTATTGTTTGTTTCTTCTGATAAAATTATGTATTCCATTATCATTAATATTGTTTGCTTCTATTATTTTACTCAGCTATATAATTTATCAGCAATGACATACTTCCATTTAATCTTCAAATTTCTATTTCTTAGCATGAACTATTTTGTCTACTTTTGCTTAAACAATATTATTGTTAGCTTCTTGTAAATTTAGTTATTATTTTAATTAAATCAATCGATTTTCAAGAGCTGCAAGTTCTTAATTTTTTTGGTTCAGGTTTTTCATCTGTTAAGAAACTGTTTCCATATTTCTTTTGTGAATAATAAAATAAGAAATTTATTAATCAATGATTTATTTTTATTTACTTTATATGAACTGTAATACCTAAAAAATATAGAAAACAATTCTGAATTGAACTTAGGAAAAGAGTAATTATTATTTGTCGTTTCAGGAAATAGTTTTTTAAATATATTATTAAAAATATAAACAAGCATTGTAATATGTAGGATATTTACAAAAGGAAAATCCTATTATATATATAGATTCTATATATATGAGTATGGGCAATAGGCTAAAATAAAAAAGGGTTATTGAGTAAGAGATTCAAACAAAACTTATAGTTTAATATTGAATTTTTAATGGCTAAAGATGGCTAATTCATTAAAAAAATAAAGAATGGTTCTTTTAGGTGATTATACTATACTTTTATAATGATTAATTAGCTTTAAGATTTTGAATTAATGAATAGTGACAGAAACCTAGCCCATTTAAAATAATTAAGTCAATTTGCATCTTATGATTTTGAATTATTTAAGACATAAAAGGCTTTAGTATCATTTCCTTTCTGATTCACAGAGAGAAATAGTTGATTACAATTAGAATCATAAAAAAAAAGAAAGCAATATCAAAAAGGTTTGAATATAAAGGAAATAGATTTGGGAATCAAAAAAGAAGTTCATAATTGAAATCCATTGAATAGAAAGAGTTTCATTTAGTAATAAATATTATGATAATTATTTTCAAATAGTAGAAATATGGGGGATAACAAAAATAAAACTTAAATTAAAGGTAAAGAATTGATATTTAATTAAATTTTGTTTTGTTATTCCAAAGATAGTGATATAGAAGTGGGATTTTGAAATATAATTTTTGATTAGTAAAGAATTTAATTAAAGAAATTAAAATTATAATTTATGAAAAACAATCACAAGCGTCGATTTTAGGATGTAGATCATCTGATTCAGTTGAGAAAATAGGCTACTCCTAATAAGGGAGAGTATCTCTATGATTATAAACTATAAGAAGCACTAAAAAAGAGAGACACTTATTCAAAGGAAGAATTTAAATAAAAATTTAAGATTGATTTTGAAGATCTTCCAATCTCAACTAACACTTAAAGAGCATTAAAATAAAGAAAGTTTATTAAAATGACTGAAATATAAAGATGTGTTATCCCACATGCTTTAGCTGAGAGAGATATTTTAGGAGCATCTAAAACAGGTAGTGGAAAAACACTATCATATTTAATTCCTTTGATTGAGAATCTTTATGTGAATAAATGGACACCATTAGATGGATTAGGAGCATTGATTATTTTGCCAACAAGAGAATTAGCTATGCAAGTATTTGAAGTATTTAAATCACTTAATACATATCATATTTTATCAATGGCTTTATTGATTGGAGGAAAGAATTATCAATATGAAAGAGATAGGATTAGTGGAATGAATGTTATTATTTGTACTCCTGGGAGACTACTATAACATTTTGAGGAAAGTCCTGGATTTGATGCAAATAATCTAAAAGTATTAGTTTTGGATGAAGCTGATATGATGTTAGAATTAGGTTTTTGGGGACCATTAAAAGCAATTATGAATTATCTCCCAAAAGATAAATAGACTATGCTTTTCTCTGCCACACTCAATTAATCAATTCATTAATTATGTAAAATTTCATTGTAAAATCCCGAGAGTATTTTTTTGCATGAGAAACTTATTAATGATTCAACAAATTAATAAACAGAAAATGTAATTTCAACACCAAATAAATTATAATAATTTTATATTGTTACTCCTATAGATGAGAAAATTGATGTTTTGTTTTCTTTCTTAAAGACACATAATAAATAAAAAATTGTAATATTTGTATCTACATGTAAATAAGTGAGATATTTATTTGAAGTGTTTCGTAAATTAAAATTAGGAATGTAGTTATTTGAATTACATGGTAGATAAAAATAAGACAAGAGAACAGCTATATTTTTTACATTTTCTGAAAAGAAGGCAGCAGCATTGTTTACTACAAATATTGCTTCAAGAGGTTTAGACTTTCCTAAAGTTGATTGGGTTATTTAATTTGATTGTCCTGATGATCCATCTACTTATGTTCATAGAGTTGGAAGAACTGCCAGATATATAGCTGGAGGTTTCTCAATACTATTTTTATTACCTTCTGAATTAAAGTTTATTGAGAAAGTTAAATAAAAAGGAGTTGATATTAAATAGAAATTTTTGAATTCTAATAAACAATTAACAATTAAATAAACAATCTAAAGTTTGGTATCAGAAAACATAGAATTAAAATATTTAGCATAAAGAGCTTTTATTAGTTATGTTAGATCAATAGACATTAATGGTGATAAGGAAATATTTAAATTAAAAGAGATTTAAACCGATCTATTAGCTGAAAGCATGGGATTAGTTTAAGTTCCTATTCTATCAGTCTAATAATAAAATGAGTCAGATTAAGAAGATAAACCTGAAAAAAAATCTAAATTGCAAAAATTAAAAGAGAAAATTGAAATCAAAAAGTAAATGGCAGTAGAACAAAATAAACCTATTGAAGTTAAAAAAATGAAACAAATATAAAGAGAAAGTGGATTTGATAAATTTGAGGTTATGAAAGCTACTTTTGATTTTGATGGTGAATTTTTAAAGAGAAAACCTCAATAAGATATTGAAGAAGAAGAAGAAGATGTTGAACAACCTAAATTTGTGACTTCTAAAAGATAAATGAAAAAAGTTAAGGCTGATGGTATATTTGGAGGTAGAAATAAAGTATTTTTTGATAATGAAGGTATTTTTTATATATTAATATTAGGTAATTAAATTACAGCAGAAGAGAAAAGAAGATAAGAAATTCTAGAAGGATAATAAGAAGTTTTATAAAAAGATGAGGATAGAACCTTAAAATATGGACAAAAATTAATTGAACATGCTGAAGATGATAAAGCTAATGAGAAAGACAGAATTAAATAGAAAAGATTAAAGAAGAAAATAAGAATGCAAGAAGTTTAAGAAGAGTTTTGATTTTTTATTGTAATTAATATAATTAATTATAAAAATGAATATAATTAAGAACACTAATTCTTTCTACTAATTTTCAAAGGAATATTAAACCTATTTTAAAGATAAATCCATTGAATAGATTGAAAAACCTTAAAATCCAGTTACTTTAATGAATTCTTTCTTACGTAGTTCCTCCTTTGCCAAAAAATGTGCTCAACCTTTAGATTGGCCTTCTGATATAGATTTATCCAATATTAGAGAAGAATATTTCATCATTGATCCAACTCAGAGGTTTTAAAGAGAATGGAATGAAAAAAAGTTATTTTTTAAGCATAGATAAAGTCCTTTAAGAACAGAATCATTTAACAGATTTAGAGAAAATATTCGTTCTTTAAGCAAAACTTACAAATTTTAAAAAGATAATCTTTAGTATGATTAAACAGGGATTTTTCCTAGCTAAAGGAAGCTAGAACTATAAGAGATAGTGTAGGCATAAAAAGAATATAAAGATAAAAAAGAAAAATTTAATTTTTTAAACAAGCAACACCGTTTAATTGAAAATCTCCATCATGATGATATAATATAAAAATAAGTTAACTAAAGTACATAAAGTAGTTTATGTAGACTATTAGATCAATGAAAATAAAAATGAAACTATAAATTAAGAGAATAGAACGATAGCTAAGATAAATTCAGATATTGATATAACTGGAGATTGGGCTAGAAAACGAAAGTCTCCATTAAACAAATTAGATACATATCATAGAGTGATTTCTCAAGAAGATAATGAAAAAAGTAAGTTAGGAAAAGCTAAACCAAATAGAGTTAAGCAATTTGAAAGGAAAGGTAGAGATTATAACATAGTCAATTTTGCATGTAATTGAAATTTAAAATATATATACATTTTTTTTTATTGTTAATCCCATATCAATATTAAATTTGAAATGAAAATTTTTGAATAGAGTTTTGGCAAATAAGAAGGTTTTCAAAATACTGCTTAATTCTTTAATCCATTTAATGGAAAAAAGAATGAATAATTTTAAAAAAGAAAGCGGGAAAACTCTTTACCCTAACAGAATCTCGAGGCTATAAAATCAATATTATCTAAAACCAAAATACTTCAAAAAAATGTACACTGTAGAAAAATGACTATGTATTCAACAAATGATTACAAACAAGAGCATCAATACAGTCATCAAAGCACTAAATAAAGCACCCAATAAAGCACATAAAATTCTCAAGATTTTAGCAATAATATTCCTAAAATTCAAAATTTGAACATCAAACATTCACTTAATTCTTTTAGTATTTAAAACTACAAATCTAGTTATCATATTAGAATGCCCATACTAAAAGAATATAGTAGTAAGGCATCTCAAAAATTAGAAAATAATTCTGGACTTAGCAAAGTTTCTAATAGTTTAGAAGGGAAGAAATATATAATTAAAGTGAAGGATCCTTTTGAAGAAGTAAAATAATTACCTACAAAACCAGTAAGAAAATATTCTTCGAAATCTTTCGTAAATTAAAAAGCTCAAATTAAATTGGTAAATAGAATATTTTCTTCAAGATCAGACAGCTTATAAGAATGAATAAAATGATTAAATGAGTTTGAATTATATGTTTTTAAATAACTTAGTAATTTTATTGAATTTTTATATAATTCTACAAACTAAATTTTTGAAAGCAAATAATTTTAAAAAATTGCGCTTATTCAAATAGGATTAGGTGGAACTATTTATTTTGAGAAAGAAATAGATTCTTAATTAAAATTTTATTATTATTTTGTATAAAAATTAAATCGTTAAATTGTATGTATTAAAGTGCATCAAAAAGTGCCAAAAAATAAAGTAATACTGTAGGAAAAGTACTGATAATAATATATTCATATAGCCAAGTGATTCAAACATTGCCCGAAGAGTTTAAACGGAGGCAATTGATTTTGATGAAGTAGAATAAGAGATTCAAACATTTTAAGATATCTCCAATTTCAAGCTTCGAAATAAGCTCACATCATTTAATAAGCCAGCAAAGAAGCCTATCGTTAAAGATTTTAACATTTAATATCAACAGTGCCTAAAGAATGAGAACTAAATAAAGCCAATATCGGAAGCTGTTAAGAAATTTTAGAAACCTTAAGGAATAGATAAAATCAATACAAAATCTTTATTGATTCCATCTAAATCAACAAGGCAAGATTATTCTACATATACTTATTAAAATCTTAAAGTAATAGGAAGTGGTTCGTTTGGTACAGTCTATAAAGTAAATAACAATTAAAGATTTTAAGTCAAAAGTAAATGAAACAGGAGAAATAGTGGCTATTAAAAAAGTATTGTAGGATAAAAGATATAAAAATAGAGAACTCTTAATCCTCTAAGAGTTAAATCATCATAATGTAGTTAAATTAAAATACGCTTATTTCACACCTTCAGATAAAAAAGATGAGATGTATTTAAACGTTGTAATGGATTATTATCCAGAATCATTATATACTTATAATAAATCTTTTAGATAGGTATAGGCAAGAATGCCTGAAATATTAGTGAAGATTTATTCATATTAATTGTTAAGATCAATTTAGTAAGAGATCATAGAATAATTAGTTATATATCATTGTTATCCATATGCCATAGAGATATAAAACCACATAATATTTTAGTTAATCCTAATCATCATAAGCTTTAACTTTGTGATTTTGGGAGTGCCAAGAGATTAGTAAAAACAGAAACGAATATTTCTTATATATGTTCTAGATGTTACAGGGCCCCAGAGTTAATATTTGGAGCTGTCAATTATGATACATAAATAGACGTTTGGTCAGTTGGATGTGTAATAGCTGAATTATTCAATGGAGAACCTTTGTTTCTAGGTGATAGTGCAGTTGATTAGTTGATTGAAATCATTAAAGTTCTTGGAACTCCAAATAAGGTTTAAGTTTTGAGTATGAATGCAGATTATGATATGCAATCATACAAATTTCCTTTAATTAAAGCAAGAGAATGGAAAAAAGTATTAATTTTTATTTTTGTTACTTAGGTTATTAAAACCAATGATTCATTTGCTACTGATTTAGTTTCTAAATTGCTTGTATATTGTCCCAAAACTAGATTTACTCCTATTCAAGCATTATGTCATCCTTATTTTGATTAATTGAGAGATCTTCATTAAATGAAACAGCTATAAGAAATCTACAATTTTAATATTCAAGAATTATTTGAATTTAGCAACTGTAACTTATATCTAATAATCTTGATTAGTGGAAACTAATAAAATGACAAATGATGAAATTAAAAAGTTAATTCCTGATTGGGTCAGCTGCAACTCTACTAAAATTGTTAAGACAATAGGATGATTCATAATAATTACTATTTAACTTGAATAACATAATTTAAAATAAATTAATTAAGTCATTTATTTTTCAAGAAATTTCTAAATTCAGAAATGTTATATTAATGGTTGGCTCATTTTTGCTAATTACTAATTATTCCAATTATTAAAATAAACTTCTTCTTCATCTGCTTTCTCTTCAAAATATTGGTATTCTTATTGTTGTTCTTTCATTATAAATTCTAATTCTTTTTTATATACATTTTGACCAACAAGTTCCAAATATTCATTAGTATCTACATATTTTTTTTTGAATTTATCCTTTATTTTTTTTTCAAACTATTATTCCAATTTCTTAGTATATAAATTGGAATTTTTGGCTAAATTTTTTAAATATTAATACTATTTGGTATAACTGTTTCAACTTATTTATATGGATTATCAATAACTTTTGTATTAAAATTGCTCTAAATATCAGACAACACGAAATTTTATTATTAATTTAAATGTTCAGCATTTTAATCTCTCACATATCTATTAATTAATCTACTAGTCATAGGAATACTTTTAGATCTTTATGTGGTANAAACCACATAATATTTTAGTTAATCCTAATCATCATAAGCTTTAACTTTGTGATTTTGGGAGTGCCAAGAGATTAGTAAAAACAGAAACGAATATTTCTTATATATGTTCTAGATGTTACAGGGCCCCAGAGTTAATATTTGGAGCTGTCAATTATGATACATAAATAGACGTTTGGTCAGTTGGATGTGTAATAGCTGAATTATTCAATGGAGAACCTTTGTTTCTAGGTGATAGTGCAGTTGATTAGTTGATTGAAATCATTAAAGTTCTTGGAACTCCAAATAAGGTTTAAGTTTTGAGTATGAATGCAGATTATGATATGCAATCATACAAATTTCCTTTAATTAAAGCAAGAGAATGGAAAAAAGTATTAATTTTTATTTTTGTTACTTAGGTTATTAAAACCAATGATTCATTTGCTACTGATTTAGTTTCTAAATTGCTTGTATATTGTCCCAAAACTAGATTTACTCCTATTCAAGCATTATGTCATCCTTATTTTGATTAATTGAGAGATCTTCATTAAATGAAACAGCTATAAGAAATCTACAATTTTAATATTCAAGAATTATTTGAATTTAGCAACTGTAACTTATATCTAATAATCTTGATTAGTGGAAACTAATAAAATGACAAATGATGAAATTAAAAAGTTAATTCCTGATTGGGTCAGCTGCAACTCTACTAAAATTGTTAAGACAATAGGATGATTCATAATAATTACTATTTAACTTGAATAACATAATTTAAAATAAATTAATTAAGTCATTTATTTTTCAAGAAATTTCTAAATTCAGAAATGTTATATTAATGGTTGGCTCATTTTTGCTAATTACTAATTATTCCAATTATTAAAATAAACTTCTTCTTCATCTGCTTTCTCTTCAAAATATTGGTATTCTTATTGTTGTTCTTTCATTATAAATTCTAATTCTTTTTTATATACATTTTGACCAACAAGTTCCAAATATTCATTAGTATCTACATATTTTTTTTTGAATTTATCCTTTATTTTTTTTTCAAACTATTATTCCAATTTCTTAGTATATAAATTGGAATTTTTGGCTAAATTTTTTAAATATTAATACTATTTGGTATAACTGTTTCAACTTATTTATATGGATTATCAATAACTTTTGTATTAAAATTGCTCTAAATATCAGACAACACGAAATTTTATTATTAATTTAAATGTTCAGCATTTTAATCTCTCACATATCTATTAATTAATCTACTAGTCATAGGAATACTTTTAGATCTTTATGTGGTAATCAAAGAGAATTGAGGTCTTTCATTCTTACAATCATACCATCTTAATCTAAGATACCATAGTCTATCATTATGTTTCTCATCTTCATTCTTTTGAGATTCAATAATATTTAACTTTAAGACTCTATCCCTATAATTATCAGATCGAACCATTATAGTTTCATTAGGAGATCTTTCACAATTTGATGCAATTTAATTATTAACTAATTCCCATTTATCTTTCAATTAATCAAAAGATTCTAGAATTCTTTCATCTCTGCTAATTGCATTTTTGATATGAAGAGGTAATTTTTATTCTTGTTTAATCTTTTCTAATTTATCATTTTCAATTCTACGTTTAGCTTCAACCAACTTTACTAATGCATCTTATCTGGGTAACATTTTAAATTCTCCTCTAGGTTTTTTAGGAGTTTTTTTTGATTAACCCATTCCAGACATTTAAGATTAAGATTGTTATAATACTATAGGTTTTACAGAAGGAACATCATCCGAAAATGAATCATCTCCATCCTACTTTCTTTATTTGATTACAACCTTCTATCTATTTTTATTTCTCACTGCTAAAAATTGTTCAGCCTTACCTACAATAGACCATTTTACAATCTTTTCCTTTTTATCATCCTCATATCTTGGTCCAACTTAATTATCTTTGTATTTCTTTCTCTCCTCATTATTAACCTCTAATTATATAAATTTTATTTTCATACCATCAAAGATATTTCTTATTGTATTTAATGAATTAGGTTTCATATATAGAGGTTTATATGTACTTTATTAAAATCTACTTTCAAATTAAAAATCACTTCCAGTACCAGCTGTTGTAGTTGCAGGCCGTATACTGTCTTCATTAGATTTATAACCTAGATCTACTTTTTATGATAAAAACAATTTGCCCTTTAAACTCATTTTATAATATAATTTAATTAAAATATGGAAATTGATGAATATATTTATTCATTTTTTTATTAGAAACAAATCTTTCCTTTTCTCTTAAGCCAGAATTTTCTTACTTTCTTCTGTATTTAAAATGGTTCTTTTTAGTAAACTAGCTATTATTTGTTTTGCTTGTATTTAAATTTTTTTATCTCTCTTGATAAGTTAAGTGTCTAATCTATATCTAAGTAGAAATCTTAAATGAATTAAAGTATTCTATCATCTCTTTCGTTAATCAACCTTTTATTGGGAGTAGTTGTTTTATATCAAATAAAGTATTATTAAAATACTTAAAAATTTATAGAAATTAAGTAGGGGCAACTGAGACCTATCAAACATAACCAAAGAAATTTTAAGATGAGAATACTGAAAATAATAAAATATTCGCTCCATATAACCTTTTTATAAAGGAGAATTATATTTTGAATATTATAAACACATTCTTTATATCATATATAAAATTATATAAATTTTTTTAGCATTATTCTTGGCTGACTAATATTACTAAATAAAGAAATGAGAAATTATCATACATAAAAAAATAATTAATGATGTTTATGAGATGAAAGTTACGAAATTTTATTAAAAATTGTAAACATAATTTAGAATAATCTCAATTTAAGAAAAAAATAAATGATTATATGGTTGTAATAATAATGTTGAGAGAGGAAGAGGCTTGATAACCGATTAAAGAACAAGAGATTTAGAATTTAAGATAAAAAAGTTATAGTAATTTATTGATTATAATTTTAGTTTTGTTTTAGTTTAATCTGATGATGTTTTTTTTGATTCTTAAAATGCAATTTATTTATGATGTAATAAATAAATTAATGATCAACTAAGTGATTTTGGTATCATTCTTGGTCTTAACAAAGGGAGTGGGATTATTTGAGTAATATTATCCATTAGCCGATGAGATAGCAAATGCTATGTCTTTATAATAAAAAATTGGACAAACATTGTAAATAGATATTACAAGTTTCAATGATGAATAAGGTAATACTCATTATGAATAAATATCTTAACATTTTTTGGGTTCAATATTAGTAGGTGGTAATGGATGTCCAGATGGTAGAGGAAATATAATAGTTTCTGAGAATTGTTTTGCTGCAACAAATGCTAATTGGAGAGACGTAGCATAAAGAAGCTTGAAATAGAAAGTGATTGTTAATGTTCCAGGACATGGTGAAACTTAAATAAATTTATTATTGGGTACAGATGCAGTTCATGGAAATTAACATTCTGTAGGAGCAGTTCTTTTTCCTCATAATATCGGTTTGGCTGCAAGTCACAATGTAGAAAATTATATAAAGGCAGCTTATTGGACTAAGAAGAGCATTTTAGATTGTGGTTTTAATTTTGCATTTGCTCCAACTGTAGCAGTATCTCATAATCCAAAATGGGGAAGATTTTATGAAACTCAAGGAGCTGATCCTAAATTTATAAAAGAAATAGGTAGAGCGTATATAAAGGAATTATAGGATGATGATGGATAGAAAATAAATGGAGTTTTGGGTTCAACTAAGCATTATTTTGGTGATGGTGCAACATACAATGGATATGATGAAGGTAATTGCAGAGTTGAAAATTTCGAAGTTTTTTATAACAATAATGTTTAAGGATATATTGGTGCTTTAGAGGCAAATACAGGAACTATAATGGTTAGTTATAGTGCTATAAATGAATTACCTATGAGCATTAGTGATNATTAAAATACTTAAAAATTTATAGAAATTAAGTAGGGGCAACTGAGACCTATCAAACATAACCAAAGAAATTTTAAGATGAGAATACTGAAAATAATAAAATATTCGCTCCATATAACCTTTTTATAAAGGAGAATTATATTTTGAATATTATAAACACATTCTTTATATCATATATAAAATTATATAAATTTTTTTAGCATTATTCTTGGCTGACTAATATTACTAAATAAAGAAATGAGAAATTATCATACATAAAAAAATAATTAATGATGTTTATGAGATGAAAGTTACGAAATTTTATTAAAAATTGTAAACATAATTTAGAATAATCTCAATTTAAGAAAAAAATAAATGATTATATGGTTGTAATAATAATGTTGAGAGAGGAAGAGGCTTGATAACCGATTAAAGAACAAGAGATTTAGAATTTAAGATAAAAAAGTTATAGTAATTTATTGATTATAATTTTAGTTTTGTTTTAGTTTAATCTGATGATGTTTTTTTTGATTCTTAAAATGCAATTTATTTATGATGTAATAAATAAATTAATGATCAACTAAGTGATTTTGGTATCATTCTTGGTCTTAACAAAGGGAGTGGGATTATTTGAGTAATATTATCCATTAGCCGATGAGATAGCAAATGCTATGTCTTTATAATAAAAAATTGGACAAACATTGTAAATAGATATTACAAGTTTCAATGATGAATAAGGTAATACTCATTATGAATAAATATCTTAACATTTTTTGGGTTCAATATTAGTAGGTGGTAATGGATGTCCAGATGGTAGAGGAAATATAATAGTTTCTGAGAATTGTTTTGCTGCAACAAATGCTAATTGGAGAGACGTAGCATAAAGAAGCTTGAAATAGAAAGTGATTGTTAATGTTCCAGGACATGGTGAAACTTAAATAAATTTATTATTGGGTACAGATGCAGTTCATGGAAATTAACATTCTGTAGGAGCAGTTCTTTTTCCTCATAATATCGGTTTGGCTGCAAGTCACAATGTAGAAAATTATATAAAGGCAGCTTATTGGACTAAGAAGAGCATTTTAGATTGTGGTTTTAATTTTGCATTTGCTCCAACTGTAGCAGTATCTCATAATCCAAAATGGGGAAGATTTTATGAAACTCAAGGAGCTGATCCTAAATTTATTAAAGAAATAGGTAGAGCGTATATAAAGGAATTATAGGATGATGATGGATAGAAAATAAATGGAGTTTTGGGTTCAACTAAGCATTATTTTGGTGATGGTGCAACATACAATGGATATGATGAAGGTAATTGCAGAGTTGAAAATTTCGAAGTTTTTTATAACAATAATGTTTAAGGATATATTGGTGCTTTAGAGGCAAATACAGGAACTATAATGGTTAGTTATAGTGCTATAAATGAATTACCTATGAGCATTAGTGATTTAATCAATGTAGATTTGAAATAAAAATATAAATTTGATGGATTTATAATTAGTGATTATAATGCTGCAATAAAAGTTGCATTCTAAGGTTTACCTACAACCCATACTAAAATGTCAATTGAAGATGCATATACAAAATCATTTAATTCAGGTATGGATATGTAAATGGTTGATGGTGCAGTGGGATGGTATGAAGAAGTTATGAATACTATCATAGGATAAGGTAGAATTTCAACTGAAAGATTAAATGATGCAGTCAAAAGAATTTTAGCTGTTAAATTAGCTATGAATTTAATTAATGTACCTGAAACTTTAGCCAAGAAATATAATTACACTTAAGAAAAGAAAGAAGAGAAAGTTTAAAAAGAATAGTTATCATCTTAAAATGATAATGATGTAGAACATAATGATGCAGAATATTATGATGCTTTAAGATCAGCAAAAGAGTCATTAGTCTTATTGAAAAATAAATAAAATATATTACCAATTAATAAATCTAAGATTACTAATGTAATATTATTAGGAGAAAGATTTTGGTCATTTAAAGGAGAATTCAAGAGAATATTCCAAGACTTTGATAATATTGGTGCTTAGAATGGTGGTTGGACAATAAGATGGTAAGGATATAATGGGAATGATTATTGGCAAAATGATTTAAAAGTATCTTCAAAGGCTTCATCAATACTTGATGCTTTAAAAAGTAGATTTAGTTCTGCTAATATTTATTATGTTAAATATTCTGACCCTACTAATTTGTTTTTGATAAATGAATAAAGAAGCAATTTCAGAAATTAAATTATAAATAATTAAGATTAATTTAATAGAGAGAATACATTGATCATTAATACTTTAGCTGAGAATCCATATGCTGAATTTATGGGAGACATTGATTGTGAATATTGCAAGAATGAAGATAAATATGGATGTATTTATAATAATTGGCTTAACCAATACTTACCTGATGAACAACCTACAACATTAGAAATTAATCTTGGAGATTTTGAAAAATAAGTATTTTTATAATAATTATATATTTTAGATAATCAATATTATAAGATAAAAAGATGTTGATATACCAGTTGTCTCAGTGTTATTTAGTGGTAGACCTATGATTATTACTAATCCACTTTAAGTGAGTTCAGCCTTTGTAGCAGCTTGGTGGCCAGGAACCGCTGGTGGTGAAGCTGTTGTGCAAGCACTTTTTGGAGAATATTTATTCAAAGCTTAAGGTAAACTTAATACACTTCCTGTTCCATGGATGAGAAATATGTAATAGATCTCGAACTACCCCTTCTATTAAAATGATGTACCATAGATCGAAGATCCTCTCTTTGAAGAAGGATTTGGATTAGAAACTAGAACATAAAATATTTAATGAGAGCTTATATTAATACATATAAACAGAAAACTAATCATTCATTCATTTTTTCATTAATATTTCATTCTTGCTAATCATTTGAAAAAATCTCCAAAGTTGAATATTCACTACTATTTAAGAAGTTACAATCTTTTATAAAATCTTGTATATCTCCACCATTTTATTAATATGAGTAATCAAAATAAAAATTAACTAAAACTCTAACTATCGATTAAAAAAAATAGTTATAGTTGATTCTGAAAATATTACTAAACTTTAATTAACTTAAATAAAACATAGCAAATTACCCAATAAGATTTTCATAATGGTATTGTTGATAAAAAAAAGATTCATTTTCATTAATTCACTAATTCATGGCAAAATTACATCAGATACTTTTTATTATGTGCATCAAAATCATTAAATATTTAAAGCTATTAAATAAATACAATCTATTTTTATTAATAATGTTAGAAGAAAAATTTATAAAATAATAACTGATGCTTTATTTTTGAAGATAACATAAAATTGTAATAATTAGAATTAAAATTATAGATTTATACTGAACAAAATCTTGCTAAGTTAATATCAGGCAATTTGAAAAACTTCATCTCTAAGTTGATTAAAATTTTTTTTGTCATAATTTTAAAAGTCTTCTTAATAATCAAGGTCTAAGTTAGTTTAAGATCTAATATTTTTAGAGCATTTTACTCCACTGAATTATTATTTATGTTAATTTGCTTTTAATTTTAATTTTTTTATTGAGATAAATGAAACTTCGATTTTGTAGTTTATAGAAACGGTTTATTTTGATCAGCATAATTTTCAAGTTCAGTTCTACTTTTAACATATCTATTTCTTATTGATTCAAATTCCTTTTTGATGTTTTCTTGGTTAACTAACTTCACTTAAATTGGAATGCTCTGTTATTTTTTATAGAACTACAAACTGGCTTAAAATTATGATTTGAAAATCCTATTTTTAAACTTTATTATAGGAAATGACGCCTAGAGAAATTTAAAATTTATATACTTTATTTTCATTTTAATCATGAGGAGCAAAGTAATTGTTATTATGATTTCTTGTAGTTGTTGATCCATCTTTTTGAGATTGAGGGTTCTTTTTATGATTTGGAAGGATTAATTTAATTACCTTTGGATCTAATGATCTATTTGGCAATTATTCAATATTTTAAATTGATAATGAATATGACAATATCTAGTTTTAATTGATTTACGGTTTATGTTTTATTCTTATTTTTCTCATTTGCGTTTAACAAGTATTAGAATTAGAAGGAGTTCTTATGAATTCATGCTTATATTATTTTAATTATAAAAAACTTCTATCATCTAATTTTCTTGTTGAATCCAATTTTTTTTAAGATTATTATTTTCTTGATAATCCAAATACATCAAACCTCTTTAATCTATCATCCATTATAATTATTATATTTTTTAATATATTTTGAAATTCATTTGGTTTATGAGTGTAAGCCATTTAAATAATAATTACTAGATTGGAAAAAGTTCTTATTCATTTCGTATAAGAGATAACTATTAGATTCAATGTAAAAATGTATTAACCATACAATAAATTAAATGTATAATTATTTTTTTAATTTTGTACTAGATCTATAGTTTTAGTTATTTTTATTTTAGTATTTTTTTGCTTTTTATTTACTTTGAATAAAATTTATGCATTTTAATACAGATTAATTCATTAAGTTATTTGAAATTTATTTTAAAAGTCTTGAAAGATTGAAGAACTATGGAGAAAGACCAATTTAAATAATTTTTTAAAAGAGTGCCTTTGAGTTAATGGATAGGTACAAAGAATAGTAACTCTAAAAAGAAGTGAAATGAATAAAATTTTTTTATAATTTATATGTTGAGATAATAGATTTTTAATAACTGATATTATTTTAGACTTGTAAACTCATAATCAGTATTAGTTATTCTCATAAATCATTATTTCTCAATGCAAAATGAATCTGAATATTTTGGAGAATATATATTTTTTGGATAATAGTTTAATTAATTAATTTTTGAGGTTTAAGAACTCACGGAATTCCTAAATTTATAATAAAAATAAAATAAAAAGAAAAACCATTTTTATGGGTCACTTATCTTCATTACTTAGAAAAAATTGGATTTTATGGAAAAGAAGTTGGGTTTGCTCTTTACTTGAATTGGTAATACCATTGTTTTTGATACTTGCATTAGGAGGAATAAGGTAATTCTTTATTAAATGTAAGGTCGGCTGTTGAAAAAGAGGATGTTTCAGAGGCTAACTTTTATGATCCTAAAAATTTGAAAGATTGGAAGACTCCACCCTTTTTGGTTTAAATATAACCTTATATAAATGAATCATAAATTGAGGAAAAATTAGTAAAAGCTGGTCTAAGAAATATTAGTCTTGATATATCAGAAAATCTGAAGGCATTGAATACTACAGCAAGACTTCGTTTGTTACCACCTATGAAGTAATAGATAAAAATTATGTTAGGAACTGTATAGATAATTATAGATAGGATTAGAAAAGATTTTGGAGAAATGGTGAGGTAGCATTAGGTCCAAGTGCTGATCATCCAATCGTATAGGAACTTACATAAATTTTTATTAGTAAAACTTTATATATTATTAATAGAGTATTATCACTATAATGTTAAGATTTATAAGAGTAGTAAGGAACTGGATGATTATACAACATCTGATAAATATGNTGTATAATTATTTTTTTAATTTTGTACTAGATCTATAGTTTTAGTTATTTTTATTTTAGTATTTTTTTGCTTTTTATTTACTTTGAATAAAATTTATGCATTTTAATACAGATTAATTCATTAAGTTATTTGAAATTTATTTTAAAAGTCTTGAAAGATTGAAGAACTATGGAGAAAGACCAATTTAAATAATTTTTTAAAAGAGTGCCTTTGAGTTAATGGATAGGTACAAAGAATAGTAACTCTAAAAAGAAGTGAAATGAATAAAATTTTTTTATAATTTATATGTTGAGATAATAGATTTTTAATAACTGATATTATTTTAGACTTGTAAACTCATAATCAGTATTAGTTATTCTCATAAATCATTATTTCTCAATGCAAAATGAATCTGAATATTTTGGAGAATATATATTTTTTGGATAATAGTTTAATTAATTAATTTTTGAGGTTTAAGAACTCACGGAATTCCTAAATTTATAATAAAAATAAAATAAAAAGAAAAACCATTTTTATGGGTCACTTATCTTCATTACTTAGAAAAAATTGGATTTTATGGAAAAGAAGTTGGGTTTGCTCTTTACTTGAATTGGTAATACCATTGTTTTTGATACTTGCATTAGGAGGAATAAGGTAATTCTTTATTAAATGTAAGGTCGGCTGTTGAAAAAGAGGATGTTTCAGAGGCTAACTTTTATGATCCTAAAAATTTGAAAGATTGGAAGACTCCACCCTTTTTGGTTTAAATATAACCTTATATAAATGAATCATAAATTGAGGAAAAATTAGTAAAAGCTGGTCTAAGAAATATTAGTCTTGATATATCAGAAAATCTGAAGGCATTGAATACTACAGCAAGACTTCGTTTGTTACCACCTATGAAGTAATAGATAAAAATTATGTTAGGAACTGTATAGATAATTATAGATAGGATTAGAAAAGATTTTGGAGAAATGGTGAGGTAGCATTAGGTCCAAGTGCTGATCATCCAATCGTATAGGAACTTACATAAATTTTTATTAGTAAAACTTTATATATTATTAATAGAGTATTATCACTATAATGTTAAGATTTATAAGAGTAGTAAGGAACTGGATGATTATACAACATCTGATAAATATGGAGATCCAAATTATCCAAGAGTTTGTTTTGGTGTTATATTTAATGAATCTAAAACAAATGTTTATGATTATGAATTAAGATTCAACTCAAGTGGTATGATTAATAATGAAGTACCTCCTACAAACTTTGTTGAAATAGATCCTATTAAATATGAAGATTTAGAAAAATCTGATTCATATTTAAAATCTGGAATGCTTACTGTTTAAAACTTCATCGATAATATAATCATAAGAAGAGAAGTAGCCACAGATGCTCAGATCACTCCAACTTACTCTTTTAGTATATTATAATCTAATTATTTAAGTTCACAGAAGAGAAGGAGTGATTGATGATTTTGCTTAATTTTTAAGAGGAGGATTTGGTGTATATTTGATATTGCCATTGATGATTATATATTTAAGAATGACTTATGGTATCATTTATGAAAAAGAGAAAAAGCTTAGAGAGGGAATGAAAATGATGGGTTTGAACAACACATCTTTTTATCTGTCTTGGATAATTTAATATTTTATCATTTACACATTGATTTCAATATTGGCCACCCTTTTATTGAAAGGTTTGGTCTTTAGAAACACAGATGGATTTATACTATTTATTAATTATTGGCTCTTTTGTTTGGTACTAATTTTCTAATCAATGTTCATCACGTATTTATAATTATTAAATTTAGTGTATTTTTTACTAGAGCTTTATTTGGATTGATTGTAGCTATAGTTTGGTATTTGCTAATGTACATGGTTATAAGTTTAGTTGGAAGTGGATAAAATCTAGTACCTGAAGCAACTTATTGGGGAGCATCAGTATCTAGTCATGCAGGAATGTCATTTGCTTTTGATGTTATGATTTTATTTGAAGCTCAAGGAAGAGGAGTATCAATGTCTACAATTGGAACAAAGATTGAAAACTATGCTGTTAATATGGCATTATCTATGCATATACTAAATATCTTCTTTTATTTGATTATGGCAATTTATTTAGATCTCGTATTTCCAAATGAATGGGGAAAGAAATTACATCCTTTGTTTTGCATTCCTTATTTTAATAAACCACATAGAAATCAAGAACTTTTGAGAAGAAAATCTTCACAAATTCATTAAGAAAGATATGAAGAAGTTGAATAAGCATTAAAAGATTAAGAAACTAGAAAAGAGGTTTTACAAATATAAAATTTAACTAAAATATATCCAAGTGGTAAATAGGCTGTAAGTAATGTTAATTTAACAATGTATGTTGGATAGATTTATGCATTACTTGGACATAATGGAGCAGGTAAAACAACTACTATTTCAATGTTAACTGGATTATTAGATATTACTTAAGGATAAGCAACAGTTTTTGGATTAGATGTTGAAACATAAATTGAAGAGATTAGATCATTTATGGGTGTATGTCCATAACATGATATATTATTTGATAATTTAACAGTTAAAGAACATTTAGAAATGTTTGCTACATTTAAGGGAATGAAACCTGAAGAGATTCCAGCAGCTGTAAGAAGAATGATTGAAGATGTAGATTTATTAGAGAAAACAGATTATTTAAGTAAGAATTTATCAGGAGGATAAAAGAGAAGATTATCAGTAGCTATGGCATTTATAGGAAATTCTAAATTAATTTATTTAGATGAACCAACATCAGGTATGGATACGAGTGCAAGAAGATATATATGGGAAATGTTGAAAAATTATAAAGAAGATAGAATAATAGTATTAACAACTCATTTTATGGATGAAGCTGATTTCTTAGGTGATAGAATAGGTATAATGGGAGAAGGTAAATTATAATGTTCAGGTAGTAGTGTCTTTTTAAAAAATTAATTTGGAAATGGATATAATTTAACTGTTGTAAAAGAGAGTACTTTGGCAGAATCAGATCCAATAATTGAATTGATTTAAAAGGTATGTCCAGAAGCTGTGTTGATTTCCAAAGTATCAGCAGAGATTCTATTGTAATTACCATTATAAGCAATTTAGAAATTCCCTCAACTTTTTGGTGAATTGGATAAAAATCTTAAAAACTTACATATTTAAAGTTATGGAATCAGTATTACAACATTAGAAGAAGTATTTTTAAAAGTGGCTCAAATAGGAGCAGGCCATCATTAAGTTAATGAACATATGGAGAAGGAAGATTAGAATTAGGCAGCTATGTAGATAGATGATTTTGATATCAATTAAATAAGAATAATTAGTTCTACTTAATTGTTTTTGAATCACACTTTAGCTTTAATTATAAAGAGATCTCGTTATTTCAAAAGAGATCTTAGAAGTTTATGTTGTGAAATTTTATTGCCTTGTTTAGTGGTCTTATTAGGTTTGATTTTAATGACTATTGAATTTATTACTCAACCAGAAGTTGTATTATTAACACCACCTTCTAAATGTTATTCAACTAATATAACCTATCTATGGGGAGGCATAAATGATCAAAATTTATTTAACAATATTTAAATATAAATGTATGATGAAAAATAATAAGTATTTGGAGATGCCTCTTTGAGTAACTTAGGTAAAATAGATCAAAATTACTTTGATACAGCTGATCTAAGAACAAATATTGGTTGGTATTATTTAACATCAAATACAAATAATAATTTCTAATATTACATGTTTATTAATACTATTTTCAGAGAAGGTCCTTTAGTCATGCTTAATTAAATGAATTAAGCTATACTCAAATAATTAAAGGGTGATGATTATGCTATTACAGTAACGAATTCTCCACTAAAAAGAACATTTGAAGAATTGTAAACTTAAAATACAATATCTGGGTTTTTGGCAGCTTTAGTATTTTCTATGGGTATGGCATTCATCCCTGCCTCAATCATATCATATATTGTAAAAGAGAGAGAAATCAATTTAAAACATCAGCAATTAGTTTCTGGAGTTTCTGTCAAAGCTTATTGGTTTAGTAATTGGTTGATGGATGTTGGTAAACACATTGTACCTTCTGTGGTTTGTTGTTTATTGATTCTTGCATTTGATATTAATGCAATGATTGAAGATGAAAATTATGGGTTTTCTTGGCTCATTTTCTTTTTATATGGTTGGGCAATTATACCATTTTGCTATTTATTTAGTTTTGTTTTTAGATAACAAGGTAATGCTATGCTTATAAGTTTCTTTTTACATTTAGTTGTTGGATCAATCATAAGTTTAGTAGTTTATATTCTGAGATTGATTTCCTCAACTAGAGATATTGCAAAAATATTATAATGGATCTTTAGATTTATACCATCATTTTCTTTTGCTTATGGAATAGTCAATTCATGCTCAAAAGCTACTTATAAAGTCCTTGAAGGATGGACTGAAACTAAAAGTACATATGATATTGAGGTTGGAGGTGCAGATCTTATATTCTTAGCATTTACTGGTGTTTTATATGTCATTTTAGTTTTCATTATTGAATATTTTGAAGATAATGGTTAATTATAAAAATTAGGATCAAGTGAATAAAGCATTCCTTATATTTAAAAACCTTTAGATGATGATGTTGCTAGAGAAAATTAACTTTGTGAAACCTACCAACCTAATGAAAAAGCTATTCTTGTTAAAAAACTAAGAAAAGTTTTTATGTTAGGAGAAGGAAAACATAAAGTGGCTGTTGATTAAGTTTCATTTGCTATTGATTAAGGAGAAGTATTTGGTTTACTTGGAGTTAATGGAGCTGGTAAAACTACTACTTTTAAAATATTATCAGGAGAATTAAAACCTACATATGGAGAAGCATATATAGCTGGAAAAAGTGTTATTGATGATTTAGAAGCAGCAAGAGTTAATATTGGTTATTGTCCATAATTTGATGCTTTATTAGATAATATAACTGTTAGGGAACATATTGAATTATTTTCTGATATCAAAGGAATTCCTTATTTCAAAAAAGAAGATTTGGTTGAAAAAAAACTGGCAGAAATGGATTTGAAGAGATTTGAAAATATTTAAGCTGGACAATTATCTGGAGGAAATAAAAGAAAGTTATCTGTTGCTATTGCAATGATAGGAAATCCTCCTATTGTATTTTTAGATGAACCATCTACTGGTATGGATCCTGAAGCTAGAAGGTTTATGTGGAATGTTATTTCAAGAATTGCTACTTAAAGAAAATAAAGTACAATTATTCTTACAACTCATTCAATGGAAGAAGCTGAAGCATTATCTACTAAAATTGCTATTTAAGTTAATGGTAATTTAAGATGCTTAGGATCAGTATAGCATATCAAAAATAAATTTGGAAAAGGTTATGAAATTGAAACCAAATTAGAAAAACCAACCTCTAATGAAATCAATGGATTGTTATCTAAAATGTAATTACCTCCAAGTTCTAGATTAGATTAATAAAAATCAATAGAAATTCTAACATTATTAGGATAATAAAATTTAGAATAAGAAATTAACATGAGAGGTGCTGGCTCACATATTTATAATGATTTAAGAAAACCAAATGGTCTCGCCATTGAAACTTTAGCAGAATTTATTATTGTTGAAGGAATGGGTCGAGTTCTTATGGATTTCATTGTTAAATCTTATGGATAATTTGAAATTATTGAACACTTTTAAACATTTTATAGATTCAGACTTATGGGATCAGTAACTGTAGGAGGTTTATTTGAAGGCTTTGAAAAAAATGTAATTATTATTTTCTATTTTTTAGAAAAAAGCATTAAGAATTTCTCAATATTCCATTAAACAAGCTTCAATTGAATAAATCTTTAACAACTTTGCTATCTAGGATCATTTAGAAAACTAATAATAGTAAAATCAATAAGTTATCTAAATTTAAATTCCTCCTAACCAATAAGAAATGTAGAATCTAAGAAAATGATTAATTTAAATTAAAAAATAATTGTTATAATTTATTAAATAAAAAGCTTAAAATTCAAATCAATGGGTTTTCAAAATTTGTATCAGCATTTTATAATAGATTAAATAATTTAATATATTTTGCACAATCCCATTTTGTTTAAAAGTAAAATAGATAATCTTAATCTGCTTTTTTAGAATTTCCTTCTAAATTCATTATTTATAAATCCATAACTTTCAAACCTTCATTAATTTCATCTTAATGTTCCTAAAATTCTTATCTTTGTTCTTCTGTCATATTTGTATTAGCAGCCTGCTGTTACATAGAACATGTAGATTCTCGAATCTTTTGTAATATAAATATACTTTATTACTTATTATCCTTATACATGTAAATGAATCTTATAATTCTTCTGAGTAACTTAAGTCTACAAAAAGTCTTAATTAACTTAAACACCAACAATTTCAAGAACAATAAAATAAGTATTATAAACTAATAACAAACAATTTTTGAATCTTGTATAACCTTCAAGCTTTTTAAAATCAATTATTGTTTCATGAATAGGAATTTAATTAACAAAAGGGTTATAAATATCTCTGTATGTAAATAAATGTAACATAACCATTTAAGCAACCCAGGCTTTGATACCATTGTTAACAGTTTCAGATAATTTAGCGGAATCAAATCTTTAACATAAATTACCAAATAATTATTTTAAGCTCTGTCCTTTTTAGATAAATAGTATTCCCAATATTTAAGCTAGATTAACAAATAAGTAATATTATTATTTCTATAAGGAATCCTCGCTTTAAAATAAACTTTGCATAGATTACAATTTCTTATCTAATTTTTACATACATTAGGTTAATTCATCAAAAAAGTTCTAAGCCCCAATTTATTTATAAATTTTTCTTATAGCTGAAAAAATTTATGTATATTCATCCAAACGAATTTCAACTACACACATTAACATTTATTTAAATACTATTTAAAGAGTTTTGAAAATACTATTGATTAATTTCAACTATTCCAATAATTACCTAAAAAAATTTAATATATTGATAATACTTTTTATTTAATGATTGAATGATTTCTTTAAAGTCACTCACAATTATTTATATAGTTTTATTAATTAAATAACATGTTTCCATATATTCTTCTGGTTTTGGGGCAGAGAATAAAGGTTTTTTTTTTAATTATTTTTATTTAACATCAATTTCTTTTATTTATTTTTTTATGACTGTTAACTTTGGTTCTAAAACAGCAGGAAGTTCATTACTTTATCTAAGTTGTTTAATGATTTCTTCTTATACAAATTTTAGAAAATTAAAGGAATTATCACTATTAAAAAAGAATATCATATGTCTTCCAATTAATCGATAGATTTTAAATAATTTAATTGAGACACATGAATTGTACCAATCTGATGCAGCACACAATTTAATATATCCAATTAATTTTTCTTTTTATTAAATTTCAGTTAAAGCATTGCATAATATTGATGCTTCTGGAGCAAATATTATTGAAATGTAACAAGAATAAAGAAAGGCACTGGTAATTAATGCAATTTTAGTTTTGTGACTACGAGAAAGTGACATATATTCATAAAATTATTATTATTATTCCTCACCAAAAGATTTAAGATCAACCATACTATTAGCCAAAATCTTCTTCTATTAAACAACTTCAAAAAATTATGATGAAAATCTTGAAATATTTAAATCTTAATTTTAAGGATATCCAACCAATTTACTAACAATTGCATGTTTACTTAAACTTGAAGTTACAACTTTAGACTAATATTCATTACCTTCTTGTTGATATATTGAATCTAAAGAAATCGTTTTTTCTTCTAAATCTAAATGTACATTTTGAATTAATGGCTATAAACAAGCAAGTAGTCTGTCTACTCCATTTTAAGATGAAAATATAGTATGTTAGACTTCAAAAGCACTTATTAAATCATCAATATAATCTAAATTTTTATAATTAGGAAATTTTTAGATTTTCCAATTATCCCATTGTTCCTAACATTGTTAATGTAAATTTCTTTTGTAGTGACTTAAAATATCATCTGCAGATTAACTATTATCATAATCATATTCTTCAGCAATAGTAACTCTTGGTCCCTTATGTTTCTTAGATTACATTAAATCTTTTTAAGCTTAAATCTCTTTTTCTATTTCTGCTCTTGTTTTAGTTAATGATTAAATAGAACTATATTTTTAAAAGTTCAAAATGCTACTTATTTGCATCAAAACTCTAAAGAAATTTAAATGAGTTATATTTATCCCAAAATCAGCTAAATTATATAAATTCTTCATTACATTCAATAGATTGAAATAATGGTTAGACAACAAGACAAATTGATTCTATAGATAAAGGTGTTTTAACATCTGTTCCTAACTAATCTTCTAATCTTAAGGCTTCACCAATTTCAAAGAGAGCTTTTTAATTAAAGAAATTATTTCTTAGTTATTAAGAATAAAGATATTGACTCAACAAATAAACACAAGAAGCACTTAAAGCTATTTTTTATCTTGTTTAGTTTTCATCTCCTCTAGTATCTCTACTCATATTTGTTCGCAAACTAATTTAACTATTTTTTCTTACATTTTATAAGAAACTACGCATAAATTTTAAGAAGATGTATTTTATCTGAATTGATAAGAAACTGGATTTGTATTTGATGAAACTATATTACAAAATATCATTAACAAACAAGAAATTTCCTAAAATTACTTAATTATCGTACTTCTTCTCCTTATCCATCTGATAATAATTATTAAAGTTTCTCTAAAATCTTTTGCATATTTTTTAAATCCTCAAATTCCCATTTACGACTTGGAATATTTGATAATAAATATGTTGTAACAATTCTGATTTCTTCTACTGGTGCTTCTAAACAAGATAAAATTATAGATTTATAATTCCATTACTCTAAACTTTTCAATTTGTCTTAGAATTTTTAACAATCATTTGGATCTGAAGCTTTTTTCTAAATACATTCAAATACTTTTAATATTTAAAGTACAGCATATTATAATTCTAAAGTTGGCATATTTGCAAGAGAATGTTCAGCAGATATTTAAATATTTCCATATACTCTAGCCATTAAAATAAAGTCACTATATAAATTCTTTTATAATAATAACAAAGTTGTATTAAAATTTTCAGTATTTGCAATTATTGAACCTAAATAAAGAGTACAAACTTGACTCTCTAATATTGTTACTAAAAATTAGCAAAGACTTCCATAAATATATGGGTCTAATTTCTTTATGGTTAATAATTTTAAGACTTAGAAAAAAATTATTTTTTCTTCTTTTTTTTCTGCCTTAGGCTTTTCATTTTAACTAGCCAGAAGTTCCTTTTCTTTTTTTTTATTTTAATCATTAAGTTCTTAATCTGATTATATTTTAGTATAAGATGGATTATCTACTAAAATTTTACCATATGCTCTAATTAGTGAACCTAATTTCTTATTCATTATTTAACATTACTCTTAAGTTTTAACAGCTTCAGAATTAGCAAAATGATACCTATCAGATTCTAATTCATCAATCATCTTACTAATTTCTTTTGAAATTTTTTCTGAATATTATTCTTTTAAGTTAGGATTAGATTTTTTGAGAAATCTATTTAAGGAGCTGATCATCTCAAAAACAAATACTATAATTTTATTTTTTGTAAAAATTTCATCTGGTTTTGCCTTCTTTGCTTTATTTTCTTCGGGTTTTTCCTTTTTTGCTGTAGTTTCATCTGGTTTTGTCTTTTTTCCTACATTTTCATCTGGTTTTGCCTTTTTTCCTTAATCAAAACAAAAACTTAGAATATCCATTACTCCATCCATAGTGATAAATTCTTCTAATTAAGTTGCAAAAGATTCAGCAACAAAACACTTACTCATCAATTGTAAAGTGCATTCTACTGATTAATCAATTTTTGATTTATCATCCTTAAAAATTGCAAAAATTTATTCAAGCCATCTACCAAATAGAATACATTATTAATCTGTCATCCAATCACCTAATTTAATTTCTGATGCAAAATCAGTCAAACCTTTAAGTAAACAAATAGGAATTGTAAGAAAACTTTTTTATTCTAAATTTGTTAAGATATTCTTTTATATAGTTTTTTTTAGCAATTATTTCAAATCAGGATTGTTTTTATATAGAATTTTTAAAGTTTTTAAACAAGACTCACAAAGAGTTTCGTCTTCAGGTTCATTTATTGTTACTAAATTTGTTAAAGCCATAATGATAATCTTTTGAACAGGTTTTTAATTTTCTACTAGTAAGGTGCAATTAGACAAGAATTAATTGATCTTTTCATGAATTTGATTTTTTTAGAACCTATTATAAAAATATAATTTACTAAATTGTATTATTAAAATGTTTTGACCATTTAGAGGGATCTGATATAACATATGATATTTTAAGTATTAAATCTGTACAAAGAGTTGCTGATTTATTGGGATTATTGAGACATTATTCTGTTAAATGAATAAATAAATCCAGATATTTTACATCTTAATTCTCTTATCCTACTTAATCAAAAACAGAAACATTCATTTCTCTTGGATCTTCTTATAATACATCTTTAATTATTTCAACATTCTTATTAGCTATGATCACATTTTTTATAGCTGAAGCTAATTTAGAATCTCCAATTTTCATACTTTATTATTTATATTTTTAAATATTAAAATGAATTATCATTTTTTTTTTAATTCATTAACTTTTCTCTCTTAATCAATGGTCTCTTCAAGAACTATCTAATCATCCTTTGTTACTATCCAATCATAATTTTTATAATAATAATGATATGGTACTCCTGGAGGATGTAATATATAACTTGCTTACATATATGTCAACACAGTGTCACCCCCTTAAATAAAAATGATTTATACTAGTTCCATAGACAAGAGTATAAATTTATGATTGATTTATCATAGATTCAGCAGTAACTCTAAGATATGCTGACCCTGCATAAGAATGGACATCAAATCCACTTATTCCTTGAGCCAAAATATTATAAGCTGGTTCTAAGGAATAAATTGAGGGAACTAGTCTAGAAAACTTTTATGCACGAATAGTTTGTCTATTTGAATTATCAAGGAATTGATTATAAGTAGAATAATAAGCACCAACAGATCCTGCTAAAGTCAAGTAATTATTTGAAATAAAATAAGCAACAAAGAGAGATCTCACATGACAATAATCTCTAGTTTGAAATCTGACATCCATACTATTTGCAGTAGGTGTACCCATTTAAATTCTAACACTAGTATATAAAGAATTAAAGATTTCAAAATCTGCTCCTACAATAAATGCTGTAACTTTTGGTGCTGGATATCGCGGATAATATGATATCATAAAATCTTATGATCTAGCTCCAAATCCTTAGCTCAATTAATTTAAATCTTCAACTTGATAATGAACATATTAAATTTCAACTGAATCATCAACAAGAGCCACCCATCTAACTTTTAGTATTGGGATGATTGCTGGACCCCATATTACATAATTTATATTAAACCCAAATAAAGTTACATCAGAAACGTATGTTTAATAATTAATATTTCTTCCTCTACTCCATTAAATCTCTTCATGCATCAATAGTACTTATGGAGAACTTAAATATTATAGAATGCAAACAATACACACTAAATCTTCTTGCAAAAATCACTTGACTTTAAAATCTCATTGGATAAGTTGGAAATAAAAATTGATCTTATTTTAATATGCTATTATCTATTCCTGTTTACCATTCAGCATAATATTCAAATCCATAATAAGCTTATGAAATTGTAACACTCAGTATTACAATTAAATAAAACATTAAAAATAATTAAATATAACAAAAACGATATTATGAATAATTAAAATTTTTGACAATTAAAATTAATTCCATGCGATAAATATAACTTATATTATATATTCATATCTCGATTTAATTAGTATATAAAATATGCATAGATAATTAAAATAGCAAAAAAACATTTATATATCATTTCAATTTTATTAAAGAATCTAAAGTTTTTTATTTAATTGTATCTTCAGCTCTTTTTGAACTTCTGCTTCTTTACTAATATTCGCTATAATCTGAGAATATATTTATAATATAATTACCTTTTGGTCTTTGAATTACACTATTATTTTAAGAACTATTCTTTGAATAAACCTTTTCTATCTTTTTTCTTTCTTATTGAGAAATACTTTACATAATATCATTAATAGATGATAAAGAATTATGTTTACTTCTCATTAGTTAGCCATAGATCTTATTAAAATCTCTCTATTAAAGTGATTTGATCATCTCAGATTTTTTTTGTTTATTAGCATTCCCTAAAATGCTATAGTAATTCACTTTTTATGATTATTAAGTCGGAATACCTACATCACTCAATTCTAATTATTCTTTTGTTATTGGATTAAGATTTTATTTATGTTCAGAATAGGAATTTTATTATCTTTACTCTAAAAATAATCTTTAATTTTCACATTTTTAATTTTGATTTGAAGATGAACTTGCTTATTTATAAATCAAATTTTAAAGGTATTCTCTTTAGTTTATTTCAAGTGATTTTCTTTTACTCTCTTTCTCAAGTTAATTAATCGTTTATTTTAACTATAATATTTCCTATTATAAAAACTGTTCTCTTTCATTTAATTCTTAATTTTCTCTCTTTAATTTCTATTTAATTATATAATATATGTACACTAATGTTATTTTTAGTTGTTTGAAGTAATTCTTGACGAATTTCTTCACTTTCATCTAATTTACTTTATATAGATTCAGCATAAAGTTTTAACTATTGTTCAATCTAGTTATCAATTAATAATATACACTTATATGTTTTCGAATTTCTTATTCATACTTAATTAAAGTTTCTTCTAATTTTTCATATTCTTCTTCATCTTTTGAAAATCTTGTTTAAGTAGTGTCATTATGTTTTTCTAATTTCCTTTTAATAGTATAAATATATTTTACTTACTAAATTTTCTTTTCAATTTTCAACATCATTTTTGTAAAGATCACCTTAATAATTCCAACTAAATAAGTTAAACTTTCATAATCTTTCAGTTCAGATTCAATTTAATTTAACTCTTCTTTTGTCTCTATATGTTTTTCTACATAGACTAAGATTCTTTCAAGTAGATCTTTTAAGTTGCTTTCTAATTCTCTATCACTTGTTGTAAAACTATTCAAACTAGTTGTAGTTTAATCCATAAAAATTAAATATATAATTCCTGAATAAATTTCATATATCACAAACTTACTTTCAATCTAAATATTTCTTAATTTTTGCTTATAATCTTTAAATTCTTTTTCACATTTGTGTTTTGACTCATTACGTCGTTTTAAATTTTATCATGTCTATAAAGGATAAAAAGTATAAGTCAAATTACCAAAATTTTAATATAGATGTGTATGAAATTAAAATAAACTCTTTAAAATTATATAATTAATTTATATATATACATATATTTAATTATATATATATATTTATATAAATTTCCAATAAAGATACATAAGTGCAAGGTCTTTAAATAATATTAATCCCTAATTTAAATATGATAGATATATTCACTATTACAAAGTTGTCTTATTTGTTGTCTTTTGACAATTGCTCTCTTACGTAATTGGTTGTTTATTTCTAAATTTTTTGGATGAGAGAGTTTTGAAATTTTAACAATTTTCTAGGACATTAGTAATCTGTTAAGCTAAATCAACGAATGAAACAATTAACATAGGAAAAGCCTCCTAAAAATCTTAATCATCTTTCAGTTCAGTTAAAATAATGGTTGATATTTTTTACATAATTTATGTAAATGTTATGGCGAATTTCTCATCATGATGTATTAAATAATAATCACTTTCTTCGACCCTTTTAATTATTTATTATTCTCTCATTATTCTTTTGATACTATTCTGTATAAGAATATTTATATTAGATCTCTAAATAATACAATTGTTCAACTAATCCCTTGTATGTTGTGGTAAATGATCCAAACTTCCAACTAATCCTAAAAAATCTGTAAATTTTTTGTATAAAATTAGAAGATCCTTAACAGATTCTCCACTTTCACTTCTTTATTCAGGAGGTCTGGATGATGATTAACTTTGAGGAATCGATTACACTTTCAAATATGGTTAATCAACTATATTTAATTCCTATTATTATAGTTTCTATTTAGCCTATGATTTTGTTCCAGAGCATGCTCCCCCCATACTTGAAGACTCAAGGTAATAACTTAATTAAAATACTAAAAAATTTATAAAACTTAATTGATCACTTTTTCTATTGAATTATCTAATCTAATGTTCAATTATTAAATATTACCTTAACAATTTTAGTATAGAATTATTTTTTTTTCAAAATACTTCTCTATTTATTCTCAAAAACATGTAGACTAACCTTTCAGATTAAATTAATTCATTCAAGTAATCGAATAACCTAATAGTTGAAATATTTTACAATGATAATTTGTAATATATATAAATTTTATAGACTCTGAATATGTAACACACTTTTTATATAGTATTTATTTATTTTTTTTGTAAAATTCCTTTTCTCATTTTCAGACGATAAATACTGACTATTACTTATCTATACACATCCAAAGTTTATGTGAGTTCCGCTTTTTAAAATTATTGACTTTTTAATAAAAAACTTATCTTCCCTTTATTTATAAACTTAAATTAAAAGGATTTATTTAAATTATTTCAAGATCTTCTTAAAGAATTAACTAATTATTTTCTTATTCAATTAAAGTATATTTAAAGTAAATACCCTTTATGAAAACAAATAAATTTAGCCCTAATAGAATTCAAATAACCATTGAATGTAATTAAAAGAATTCTCTTATTATAATTTATTATAAATACTTATAGGAATTTGCAATATAAACTTTATCAATAATAGTTTTTTCAAACATCCATATCTTAAAACTACTTAATCCTATATGGTAATATAAATTTTAATTATTTAATCTTTTCTTTAAGTTAATCAACTAATTTATTTTTAAAAGAAAAATATATGATCATCTCTCATTTTCAAATTAATTTAGTATTTAGAATTACATTATTCTGATAGCTTTAAAAGATTTTAAAATTCTTTTTAATTAAATAAGTTAGGTATATCCTACATATTGATTCATTGTAATTAAAGTCTCTAAGTTTGATTCAAGCATACATGTAATATAATTAAACAAATAATGAAGAAAATAGATTGAAATTGAAGGAATATGTAAAATAGTTGATAATGTTTGTTCATTTTAATTTGTACAAATTCTCAAATGTCTAAAATATCATTTATAATCATTAAGCTAAGTCGTAGAAATATGAAAGAAAGAGCAAATTAAAATTTAAACATTTTTTTAAATTAGGGAGATTAGTTTGTTAAATATCTATAAGTAATTTGTTAAATTTATTATTATATTTATTTCTAATAATTTTTGGAGTAGTAAATAAGATTGGAAAATATTTTGATTTTTTACATTTAAGAATTTATAGTATATATTTACTAATTTAATATTATGATAACTTTTTCCAAGTTTAAACCTTTAGTTATCATTATTATTATTTTTGGTTTGCTAAATATCAAATATGGATGTTTTTAGTATAAATAAAAAAGAATAATACTTGAACTTATTTAACTTAGATCTTAATTTTATATAAAGAATTGTAATTAATTAATTCTGTTAACAATTTCAAATATGTTTTACAGCAGATCTAATCCAAAATTGTCAGATTATTAGAACAAATTAAACACATCAACATATTCAAGTAAATCACGTGGATCTTTTAAAGAAATTTCACCTGATACTAGAAGTAAATATTTATGATATTCATTTAGATATTACTCCTAACAATCCAAATAGACCATTAACTGCTCGCAACGAATATACAAATCCATCAAAGGTCAAATAATTACTAAATAATTTAATTTAAGGTGATTAAAACAAGACCTCAACGTAATTGTTTGGATAAAGCATATTTCAAAAAAAATAAATTGAAAGTACATCTAGCAGAGGTGAAAGTTTATGTAAATTTTATTATGATTTTTATAGTATCTAGTAGAATAAGTAATTTTGGAAAGTAAAATATCAAATCACCATCAAATAATGAAACATTTCTAAAATCTGCTTTTATAGTTCCAGATACTAGTAGAGATTAAGATAAGAAACCACATTAGAATTTGTATTATTAATCTAATAAACAAAATGATTCTACTGCTTCATAACAAAAATCCTGCAAAAACTCAAAATTATTAACAATTTCATAAATAGCATAATAATGTAAAAAAAACAGCACAACCCCCACAAGATAGAATACGATTAATAATGAAAATATTAATAACTTAAATAACATTAATAGCAAGGCAAATAGCAATCAGAAAAATAAATAGTAATAAACTTTCATTGCTTAAGTAGGCAGCAATAAAAAGAAGTAATTTGATTAAATATTCTTAGCACAACAACCTATTTGGAGACTTTTAATATTTTAAAATAGAAGCTTGATAATAATAATAATGTTTAATAGAATTCTGGAAAGAAATAAAATGAAAAATCTGTTAATGTTTCACCAATTAAATCTCCAAAATCTAAAATAGAAAATACAAAAATAACAGGATTCTAAATGATTGATGATGCCACTTAATAAAATATATATAAATCCCTTTTGCAAAAGGAACAGTTATGGAATGATATAATAATTTTATTAGATAATCCAAATCAAATGACTTTAGCAACAAAATGTACTTAACTTTAGAAGCTAATACGATTGATTAGTGAAAAAATTCATGTATTAATTATGATTATGTGATAAGAGTGAATATTTATTTAGAATAGAACCTCATATACTTGAGATATTTTTATATGAATCCTTTGCTTGTTATCTATTAGTTAGTGATTACTTATAAGATTAAACAAATGAAGATCATAATATAAAGAATTTGATTTAGTATATAATAAGTAGTAATCTCTATGTGCTTCAAGTGTTAGAAAATGTAACAAACAACTAATTAAATTTAAATTTATTAAAATAAAGAATAGATTTAAGAACTTTTAATGTTCGTAAAGTTTGTCCAAAAGGGAAGCAGGCTTTGCAAAAGAATAATTTTATAATTAAGTCAATTTTGGGATTGATGTACTTTTTCTAATCAATATAAAAGTCTAAAGGATTGACGAAATAACACGCCCGGAAATCTTTATGATATTATCTCGAATAACTACAACACCTGAATAATATATATTATAATAGAAGAAAATAAACTCTTAGATTGAGTAAATAATGCCTCTTGATTTGGAAAGAGCTTTAGCAGCATCAAATAAAGATTATACATTAGTTTTAGATTTGGATGAAACTTTAGTTCATTATTAAGAAGTAAATCAATACAGTATTCTTAAGTTTCCTAAAGGAGGAGGATAATTTTTGGTCAGACCATTTGCAGAAGAATTCTTAGAATCATTATCTAAATATTACGAAATATTTATATTTACTGCTGCACTTCCTGATTATGCCAATTTTATCATTGACATTATTGATTAGAAAGGAGTAGTTAAGTAACGATTATATAGAGATAAAACTATTTATAAAGATTAAGTTTACATTAAAGTATTAATTTTATTATAAATTTTAGGATCTTTCAATTTTAAATCGAAGTTTATCTAAAGTAATTATAGTTGATAATATGCCAGAAAATTTTTAATTACAACCTGAAAATGGAATTTATATTTAAAGTTGGTTTGGAGATACTAAAGATAGAGCATTAAAAGATTTGTAACCTTTATTAGAATGTATAATTTTATTCAAATTTATTTAGAAATTGCAATTAAAAAATGTAAAGATATTAGGGTAGCATTAAATTAATTTAGAGAATAAATGATTGAGAGAGTTTAAATGGGGATTAAAAATCCTTATTAATATCTTTAATTAAATTGAAAATTAAAAGGCAATTTTGTTATAAAATATTATTATTATTCATTGATTGGCTATTAAACTCTTAATTCTTAATATTATCCTATATATTTATGTTTATGAGCTGTTCTATATATAAAAATGTCATTTAAATTAAATTTTTTGTATTATTTAGATTGTAGATTCTGCATTATTTAATCTGTTATTCAATGAATGGTTTAAATCATGAAGTAAAAGAATATAGAATATATAATTTATATTAAAGTAATTATATCATTATGGATTTTAAGACATGGATTGAATAAAAGGCAACAAAGACATTCATTATAATCATTGTTATTTAAATGGCTTATTTAGTTAGTATATTCTTAGCCGATGTTATCGTGAGTATTTTTAATGCAAATTAATATAGATCAATAATAAAAAAAAAATCCTAATCAATCTTATGATATTTGTGATTGGAGTATAGATGATTATTACAAATGGTCAGTGCTTTTTTTATTTTAAATCGGTGATTGTTACTATGTATTTAATGCGGTAATAAAAATGATTTTATTGTAAGATTTACAAATCAAATGTTTTGGAGTTATTTGCCTACATAATAATATAATTAATAACCTTTATGTGTACATTTGCAAGATTTTTTCGACCTAGTTCATACTTCTAAAATCCTGAGACTGATAATGGAAATAAAGTATTAGCAGTATTCGATTATATTTACTTGTTATATTCATTTTGTATATTTGTTTTGACTATTGTTTGCTATAAACCTTTTTATGAAGTTTTTGTTTACAGAAATATTATGAAAGTTGGAGCATCACTAGAAAGATAAAGTATATTTAAATAATAATTGATTATTAGAAATATTCAGAAACTACTCTAATTTTAGTGCATTTATGAAATTGTATTTTTTAATATCCTTAAGTACATTTTTAACATTTTTCTTTTTCTTTGATGTAACATATTGGTACCTCTATTTAATTGATTCATTTGTAATTCTATTTTAAATTGCAAGTATTGTGATTGGATACATGGCTGTATTATATAATTTTAATAGATTTAGTTAAGAGATGAAAATGTATAAAAATTCTGGACCTATATTGCAATGATAGTTTTGGTACAAGTCTACATTCTAACCAAAACAGTATATTATATGATATATTACTATAATAAAAAAAATAGTATTAACAATGATGATTGTTTAACATATGCAGATAATCCTTATGGAGATACTTATACTGTGATAATAGTTATTGGAACAACCTTTGCATGTTTAATAATAATGTTATTTGATGTTTATTATGCAATATAATGTAAAATTGGATTTGGAAATGGTTTAAAAGAGGCATTAAAGAGTTCAATATCAGAGCAAGGATAGGAATTAGGAGAGAGTAGTTTTAACTCATAAAAATGAAATATGTGTTATTTGTATATCTATTGATTACCATACATATTTCATTTATATTATTACACATTAATTTTATCATTTAAGCCAAAAATTACTGATTATCATAGCGAATATTGTTGCGAACATTATTCCAGTATTATTTGTCATTGAATTTATACACATACATAATTCCTTGCAATTTTAGGGTAAGAATGATCCAGAAACTATTAAATAATTCACATTCACATAACTTGCACCTCCCATTAATCCTACCCATAACATTAAACAAATCTATATTGAAATATTTAATTGATAATTAGAATAATAATAAATAATAGCTATTATTGCCCATAATCCACAATTTATTCCTTAAATAATAGTTAATAAAGTAACATTTTTTATTTAAATAATTTTTAATGATGATCTTGATATAAATACACCAATTTGATAACAAAATGCTAAAATAGCATAAGCATTTATTTCAAAATAATTTCCATCACTTTTAGCTGGATTTGCACGATCTGCCCAACAAGTTAATACAAAATATTCAAAAAAATATACTGCACCTAAATTTAAGGAATATGTCCAAGCTAAATTAAGAACACATCTCATATTTTCCAAACTCATTTACAAATTATCTGTACTTTCATCTTCTTCTTCTTCTTCTACTATTTTTACTTTTGATAAACTTTTTCTTTTATTATCTAACCATGAAAAATTGTATAGATATATTAACAAAAAAGGAATAGCTGTTATAAATATCTATTTTTAAAATTTAGTAATACCCAAAAATCTGTAAATTATAATGCCCTTAAAACTAAGAAAAACCCAGAACCAAATATTCCTGCAAAACCTGTTCCTGAACTCCAAAATCCAATCAAAGAAGAACTAAATGATTTACAATAACCAAGCATAGTAGCTTCTCCAAATGATTACATACAACCACATAAAGTAGCACCTAAAAGGGATATATAGAATGCATAATCCTATTCAATAGTAGTACTATATATATTTATAATATCTATATATATTACCATACACCTATAATAATGAAACTAACTGCAGATAAAAATATTGCAACATAGATTCTTTTTTTATGTTAGATTTTAATAAATAATTTAGCATTCATGAATACCATCCCAATTGATAGGAAGATCAAAGAACTATTTTAAAATTCAAGATTTACAAATTGAATGCACTCATAAAGGATTCCATATCAAAATGTTTTGCTATAGATTGAGCAGAAGTAGCAACTAAAACATATCCTGTATTATTGATTAATCCACATAAAAACATAGCTAATGAATACTTTATTTAGTTTTATTAAACATCTCGTTCCTAATTACTCTAATATACAATACTAATATAGATTCTGATGTATTTTCATCTTAATTTAATGATTAATATGTACCATAAGTTTAATTTGTTTAGAGTTAGTCTTTCATTATTAAATGTTTCTTAATTTATTATAATTATTTAGAGGTGATAAATAAATTGATCATCCAATTCTAGGGCAAATGTCATGCAAAAGTCTTTAAGAAGCATACAAAAACTGTATGAGTTTCATTGATAATGAATAGTATCAATAAAAATAATGTCGCCCTTATTATAATTTATGTATGTTGCTAAATAATTAATTTTTGTTTAGCTGTCTCTTGCTTTTAAGCTAAGGATGATGTAGAATTTCAATAATTTATTGATGAAAAAATAGATGAAAGAAGAAGACTTGTTAAAGTAAAAATCAATCTATATCTAAAGTTTTTAAAAGAAAACAAATCTTAATTGCCTGAATTGTAAAAATCAAATTAACAATAATTTTTTAATTTATTTTAATTTGTAGATGATGAATAAGTATAAGAAGAATAAGTCAAAAACTTTTATTAAAAGTAATAATAGGAGAATAAAAAGTATTTGTGAAATGAATGAATTTATTTTCAAAAATTTTCAAACCACAAATAATCAATAAAAATAGTACACATAATTATTAATGCTTTATCTTTTTCACTAGCACTATCTGGGAATATAATACCATCTAAGAATAATAAAAATGATCAAAATACATTAATCAGCTTTAGAACAACATTCATTAGACCATCCATAGAATAAATGTTCTATTTACCCATTTGTATAATTTTGACTAATTAATTATTCTTCTGCAGGTCTTTTATCAATAATTGAATATTTGATAGATTTGCAAGATTAAAAAGGTAAAAAACATATTAGACCTTTTTATTTAATATTTGCAGTAATTTCATAAATAAGGTATTCATTACTATCATATATGAATAATTAATGAAACATGCCTTTCATAAAAGTACAGCATTATTCTTAAACAATTTTTCCTACATATTCTCCTTCATATTAAACTTTCATTTCATTTTTTTAAATAAAAGGAATGGCAAATTTTCTTTCTGCTTAGATTGGAATATTGTTATAAAAATCTCTAGAAGTAATACTTAAAGGTCTTAAACTAGGACAACAAATAGTCCTCATAAATTTATGGTTTTCTTCTTCTTCAATATCCATAATTTTCTGAGTGAAATGATAATTACAAATACCATTCCAATTTATGAAAACGTTTGATTAGATTAAAAGAGCTTGAAATTATTTGGAAGTTCACAAGGAAATAAAGGAATACCAATATTTGATGGAATAGGAAGAGTACAAACACAATATTCAAGGGGATCATTTTCTTATTGTAACAGTGCAAATTTAACAAATTTGAGTCCTTCTGTCATTATTAAAATAAAATTATTTAAATTTATATAAAATAATGAGATATAATAATATTAAATATATATTTATATACTTGTATTAAATAATTAGAATAAATAAATATTTAATTTAGGTTCATAAATTATTAATGTTTGCTAATCTTCCTGGTAAAGTAGCTTTAATCACTGGTTCTACAAGTGGCATAGGTTTATCAGTAGCAAAGAAATTGGCATCTTAAGGAGTTCACATAGGACTTAATGGATTTGCAAAGCCTGAGGAAGTAGTTGCAATAAGAAAAGAGATAGAGAATTAATTTAAAGTAAAGACATTTTATCATGGAGCAGATTTAAAAGAAGCCCCATAAGTAAATTATATAATAAATGATAGGTTAAAAGTATGGTATAAGAAACAAGTTAAGCATTGGGAAGTGTGGATATTTTAGTAAATAATGCAGGAATATAATATATTGAAAGCGCAGTAAACTTTCCAGAATAAAAATTTAATGAGATAATAGCAATAAATTTAACTGCAGCATTTCTTACCACTAAATATGCATTACCAAAGATGTTGAATTAAAATTGGGGACGTATTATAAATATAGCTAGTGTTCATGGTATGAAGTAGTATTGATTAAAAATAGGTTTGGTTGCATCAGTAAATAAATGTGCTTATGTAGCTGCAAAACATGGTATAGTTGGATTAACAAAAGCAACAGCATTAGAAGTTGCTAAAACAGGAGTTACTATAAATGCAGTATGTCCAGGATGGGTTATGACTAAATTAATTGAAACTTAAATCTAATAGAGAGCTGATTAATATAAAATATCATTTGAAGAAGCTTAAATTAAATTATTAGAAGAGAAATAACCATCTGTTACACCTGTTTAAACTGAATAATTAGGAGATTTAATTACATTCTTATGTTCTAATTCAGCTTCATAAATTAAAGGATCCACTTATACCATGGATGGAGGATGGACAGCATAATGATCAATAAAATTATTATATAAAAGTTAATCAATCATCTTTTCTTTTATGCAATCTGAATTATATTTTAATTCAAGTATCTTTTTGGTGATATCAATAACAATGATGTTTAACATGTATTTATTGAATCTATTTACATTTTCAATAATAATCGACCTAAAATCCATATTATTGATAATCCCAATACTCCTACACTTAAAATAAATATCATCAAGGTTTCTTTATATATTGACAATGACTTATTAAATTATAATTATGCAGTACTTACTACTTTATCATATGCCTAAATTAAAATATCACTTCCATAATCTATGTAAAGGATATGTTCTAAACTTTCCAGAAAGTCATTCAAATTCTCTTTAGAGTTATTACCATTATCATTTTAAAAGAACTAAGGATAAGATTCAATTATCTTCTTTATTTAAGTTATCAAATATTTCATTCCATGTTCATAGTATTATAAACTCTATGGATTATGAATATAAGTTTAAGTTTCATTGCATTAAATTCCTATATTGGCTTAACAAATATTGTCTTCATTTAATGTCTCCAAATTTAACTTTAATTCTTCATCACTTATTATTGATATAAAATTATTATTAAATTCTATATATTAATCTTATTTATCACTTCTTAATTCTTTAGAATAATTAATATATTACTCTTAACTCATTATATTTATAAATGTATTCGAATTATATGTCTCATATGTTATTAAATCCATGTTACTTATTATATTCATAAAAGAAGATTAAGATAACTTAAAATTAAATAACAAATCTATGTTTGTCAATAGCTATTATGAAAGTATGAATATCACAAAGAAAATTGTTAAAAAATAAGCCAAAATTACAAATAATCCAACTAATAAAATAATTATATATTTTGTTTAATTTATCTATTATTTCTTCAACTTTTCATATAATTTATATTTGTTTTTCTTATTATTTGTATTTAACAATTAATTTTAACTTTGATCAGTTAATTATTGATTATGAAATTACATATTATCTGCACTACTTTCAAACATTCTTGTTTCAGAAACAAAATCAATTAACATCCACTCATACAAAGATTTTTTAAAAATTGATTATACTTATTCATATGTTTCTATTTCATCCTAAACTTCACATATTTACAATTTCATGACCACTTTATATAATCTTCGATGGTCATTACCTAATCTTGAGATCAAAGGAATCTAAAGAAATTGTAATAACATAACCAAAAAGAATATTATCACCATATAAATAGTTAATAATTACTAAATATATTCTTCATTTTCTATTTTATCATCATAACAATAATCAAAAGCTAAATTTGGTAATTAGCCTATTTCTTATAAATTAGCTACAGAAATGTTAGTTATTATTTCATTTTATAAAGAACTATTTCTAATTCTGTAAAATTAAGCTAAACTCATTTAGATAGTCTCCTATAATGTTGGTTTTAAATTTAATTTATATTCTACATCATAAAATTTATTTACACTAAATTAAACTTAATTGATTTCAAATTATTAATGACTTTATAAATTAATTAAACTTTACAAACTTATTTCAATTTAAGCTAAGTAAAACTCTCTTAGTTTTTGATTCATTTCAAATTCAGATTCTAATTTTAATCGATAAAGCCCTTATGTAATTTAAGAATATGCTTTTTAAGTAGATAACATTAAATCAATCAAATTTAGACAATCACTAAAATTATACTTTTAGTAAACAGCTATTGTTAACAAAATGATATAACCAACAATTAAAAATAATACGATATAAAGTAGATATTTTTATATTTTAAAAGTAGTAGGATTTATAAATTCTTCTATTTTTGATAAAGTCTATTTATAATTAGAATCAAATAATTTAAGATTTTCTGAATATTTAACTTAATATTCCTCTTAAATTTATTGTTATGATGCTCTACTATCCATAGCTAATTTACTATCATTTTCATTAAAGAAATCTTATTATTTTTTCTTAATAAAAGCTTTGGAATTCATTTTAGCTAATTCCTTATCTGAACATCTTATTTAAGATTCTTATGAATTTATAGTGAGTTTTTATTGTATTTCCACTTCATCACTTCTACTTGATAATAATTGAACATTATCAATTTATTTAAAAGGACTAGAAATTTAATCTAATTTTTAAGAATCCATATAAATATCTTCAAGATAATGAGAAGGATGTGATGGAAATAGATAATTATTAACTTCAATATCATGATAACTTTTCTATTCACTAATATTTCCTTAAACACTCATCGAATCATCTTCTGTTTATAATTGTTATTCTAATAATTATCTTTTAGATTAAAAATTTTAAAATGTTTATTTAATTGTATCTCTAACCTATCTTTTATATCCCATAGTTGTAAGTAGTTATTATTCATTTACATTCAATTCAATTAAAAACATTTATTATTTTAAGTCGATATCATTTTTCTTATATCTATATTCTTCATAATTAACTGAATAAAAAACAGGAACAGGATTGAAATCTTATGGTGTAATTTTTTCAATATATTTTGTATATTTATCCTAATAAACTTTTTCAGCTCTTGTTTTTAATTAATCACTATCTTATTCACTTGGAATAGAGACTTAAGTTTAAGATTGTGGTTTTACTGAAGTCTTTTACATTTCTGATTATCTAGTTGTTCCAAATTATAATGCTTAATGTCGCTTTAAATGTTCATCATAAAAAAATGCACATAACTTCTCATTAAAAATAGTAACTGCTTATTGAATACTTATAGAATCACTTTCTTAATCATATTTTTATCCCTTATACTGACTACCACTTGAAAAATTATTAGATTGAACACGAGTATCATCTATAATTTTTGATAAAGCTTTTTCATATTATTATACAAATAAATGTAAATCTTCTGGAACAAATAAATATGTCTCTTTATTAGAAACTACACTATTACTATTTTCTAGATCAATTAAATTAGGATATCTATTTTTTGGAGGTGTTTCCCCATCCATTAAATATTCTATTCCTGTTTATTCTATTTCTTTACAAATAAATGGTAATATCATCCATATTAATACTTTATTATAAAAATCATCAATTGTTAAAATTGAATTTGACCATTATTGTTAATAAACATCAAAACTTTCACTTTCTAATGAGGATACATCAGATTTGCTTTTTTCAACACTTTACTATTTAAGTGATGATAAATTCTGATTTGATCTTAATCTCTACAATCTATCTATCATTTTAAATAAACCTTATGTTACGCCTAAAATATTTCCATTTACATCAAATAAAATATGTTACACTCCTTTAAATACAACATTCTTTAATTTTTTAGCTTCTTCTCCTGATACTTTTGGTTGTTACTCTTCCAAAGATTTAAGACATCCTATCATAGTAAAGTCATCTCTTAAATTCTTACTGAAATTATGAGCAAGATAAACTTAGCATCTAATTAATGTCTTATCATATATCTTTGCAAATGTTTAAAAGTACTTACCTATTCTTGCTGTTCCTCCTCTTCTTATATAATTTTACATTATTTCATCATGAACTGGTGATAACCAACTAGGCATTAATGTATTAATGTTTCCCTTTGTAAAATCTAAAAATGCCTCCATTGGATTATCAAAATGTCCAAATCCAAAAAATTTTGGTATCAAAGGTGAAATTACTTCATTTAATACTTTTCCTATATTTGGTCCTGAGGCTATACACACTTTTACAGATATTGCTTCTCCTTTAAAAAAATTAATATTTGTAATCTCAAATGTATTCATACTTTTTTCTTATTACAAAATCTCTCTTCTCTCTAACAAATATTATATATTTCTTACCCTTTTCTAATTCAAAATATTTTCTTACATTATTAAACAACAATAAATCAATTAAAGCACTATACTTTAAAAATTAAACATTAAAAGTTCTTCCATTTGTATAAAATATTGGGTGATAAATCTTTAATTAATCTAAAATTTAATTTTTTAGTTATTACAACTTTTATACTTATTGTTCAATATCTGAAAAATTTATATATTTACCTGCTAAATAACCTTTCCAAAATTATATCTTAAAATTGCTCAATTATATCAATAAAGGAAGTATATTTGATTTTATTTGTTCCATTTAATATAATGTTTAAACAATGCTTCTTTCACTTTTACTCACTTATAATTTCACATTAGATACTCTTGTATCTTTATTTATATTATAATTTTCATCCTTTTGCATTTATGCTTACAAAAGAAATTATAACAATAGACACATTTATATAAAATAAAATGAATAATCTTTTTTCTTCTAAAATAAAATCTTTAACTCTTAATAACTTTTAGGAGCATTATTTCGATATTTATCAATAAATGTCAAGAATTTTAGACTATAAATTTCTAGATTTTTAGTATCACTTCTATGTTTTTCAAATCCTATTCTAAATAAGCATGATATTAAAATAACTGCATCATCCCATCTTAATATCCCACTAGCACCAAACTTACGGCATTAACATTTAATAGATTAACATCTATTCAAATGTAAACTAAATTTTTAAATCAATTCTATTGTTCTCTTTTTACTCTTCTATGTTGCTTAAATTATTTCAAAGAAATCTTCTATAATCAATAATTCCTAATATTAATTTATAGTGTTATGATATGTTTTTAATCTTTTATCTTACATTAAAACTTAAAAAAGGTATTATAGTATTGGTTAAGTGACAAGCAGTAGTGTTGAGAGACTATATCGATATTCTGATTTTTAGTACATTATTGTTGTAAAAATGAATATTAAAACATGCATGATTAATATTCTATTGTAAATGATTGAATATTTAGAAAATCTACATTAATTAATAATTAAATTTATACCCAAAAGGCAATTAAAAATATGCTTCATAAACCAAAATTAAAATGATTATTCCATGAATAATTCTGCTAATTATATTCATAAATTAATCTTAACTTTGATTTAAAATTGCCATAGGAATAATAAGCAGTTATGCTATACAATTGTTGTATGTGAAATGTTTTCTCAATTATATCTCGTTGAATTCAAAATTTACGAAATAAATGTTTGAAATAAGTAAGGATACTATTGAAAAGACCAAGTTCAGCGAAGCCAACACCAGAAGCACTAGATCAGTTTAACTCATTATGTTCCAACTTATGTAATGCATTTGAGGTAAGTAGAGAAACCAAGTGAAATAGAGGAAATAGTAATTCACTAACTTTGTGGCAGACTTTAATTTAGGTGTTCTTGTACCTGTAAAATTGATTTTGATATGATATCTACATTTTAATATTGACTTCTAATTTTTCTATGCAAAATGATTAGATTAGGTAACACATTTATAATAGCCAATAGAACTCCTGTTATTATGTTAACTGTGTAAATATCTTAGAAGAGTGTTGTTAAAATGCTTATTTTGGATAGTGCTTTAATCAATCGAAATACATTTTCATCATACTGCTATGTTATAAAATGAGTGAGCTATAAATGATATATTAGAATCTAGAAAGCAGTCAGTTTGATATTATTTATTGATGGAGATAGATTGGTCTAAATGATCAAATTCATGTAATCACGAATCCATTACATAATTAATTAATTTAAATTCATTTTCTCATCCTTCCTTACTTCCTCTTTTTTTCATTGTTCTCACCCAAACTCATTAATTAAGATTATGAAATCTACTATGAACTTCTTGTATCTTATTTATTACAGTTATTCATCAATATTGGAAGATATTCTAATATTTCATCATAACTAGGGATGTAAAACAATTTAGGTTAATCCATTACCTATTAATTCAAATAAAAATCTTTCTTCTTTGTTTTGCTGAATTTTTACTATCTTAGTATCTTTATATATTAAGAATAAACACTCATTTCTTTAAAAAATCCTCTTAATTTATCTTTACTGTATGCATTTACAAATTCATTTTAAAGAATACTATATTTATTTAATTATCATATACCCATAAGACTCTTGATTTTGTAATAGAAATATATATTACTAATATATTTCCTTCCTTCTTTAATTTAATTGATTATAATTTTTTAGAAGTTATTCTTTAAAATACTTTTACCAAATACAGCTTAACTATTTTTTATAATTCTTAAACTTTAATAGAAATTCTTGGAAGCTTTATCTGATTTTTAAAATTTTTAAGTGGGTACTGACTACTTAATTTTTAAAGTGATGAAGTTCAGCTCTTTATTTTAAGAAAGGCACTATTTTATCTATGTGTTCTTTTATTTACTTCTGATACACTGCTCTACAAAAACATAATGAAGCTCTAATTGTTTTCATAATATATTTTACAGTTTAACATCAAAAAATACTCTATCAAATAATGTTAATCCTTTAACAGCTATAAGTCTTTTATGAATTCTTCTCATTATTCTTTTAACTTAGAATGCCATCAAAGTAGATTAATTTTAAGCTTCAATTTTATGTTAATATACATGAAGTATCTTACTACTAATTAAAGCCATGTATATGAAATTCAACCAATGATTACATACTTTATTTTTTAGTGTTTTTTTAGATTATACAAAATTAGTTCTTTGCCTTAAGATTTTCCCTAATTCTCGAGTTTATTATTCGTATACTTTTCTTTATTATTCATTTTAATTTAACGCTTTCTTTCTTTGTAAAACATCTTCCATTCTATTATCAGATTAAACTCTTTTCATTTCTCTAAAACTACGTTATTATTCCTCATTATATTCAGTTACTTTTTAAATATTTTCCTTTATTAAATCCTTAAAAAATCCTCGTTATTTTAATTTTTGTTTTCTTCTTTTTTTTATTTCAGCTACTTAAGCCAACAAAAAATCTGAATTCATTCTTTCTAATTATTATTATTGAGGACTTTATATAAAAATTAATTCTGTTTCCATTTTTTTTTACATTGTCTAAGGCCTTCTCAAAATTTTTGTGCCAAATTAATATTTCAATTTAACCTAAGTATCTAAATCACAAACCATACTAATATAAATATATTCACAATGAAATATTTTTGATTCATCTATTTTATATTTCCATCCTTTAACAGATATAATTTAATCACAAGAGAACTTAGTTGGAAATGGATTGACAGATGAAACAAAGATTTTAAAATTTGTACTGTCAATTTAATTCATATAGAATTAAAGTGGTACAGGTTATGTTTTAGATCTTATCTTGTAATAATAAAATTCCATTTGTCTAACTGATTAAACATTCCATAATTCAGGTGATAACTCAATAGGATGCTTTATAAAGACGTATAATACCTTATCATGTTAATAGTTAATAAAGACTTCTCCAAAACTCAGCTACTGATTATTAATTTGTGTTGGTTACTCATTTTGTTCAATACGAAAGTCTAGAACCTTATCCCTCTTATAAAAAATCCAAATTACTCGGCCTGTGATATAAGTTGCATCCCTCTTTGATACTCGGGCATCATTTTCTAAGTTAAATATGCCATTTAATTCAGTATCTTTGATCGTGTTTTCATTGAACTTGCAGTCTTTGGATGTTTTAAAGTACTTTCACGAAATAAGTCATTATCTGAATCTTCACTAAACAGACTTTATTCTTTTAAGATGTCTGTTTTATATTTTTCTTATCCCATAGGAGTATTGCACAATACTTATGATTTAACTTTCTAATGTCTACTAGATTTCTATAATAATGATGATTTTTAGCTAGATTCAAGAACACTTTGTGAAAAAATCAAATTTCTTTTAGTGGCAGTTCTGCTTACGACCTATTTATTCAGCATAAAAAAAATAATAAATAGCAATATTATTTCAATTATTGTAGAATAAAGATTAAGGTGATAATCATCTTTATTGAAATTCACTCAAAATCATATACATATGTAGATAATTTTATTTGTAAGACATAATATATAGAAATGCAAATAAATAAATACATATATACAATCATAAAAATACTGCAATATAAGTGTTTATTAATGCTATGCAAAAGAAAGTAATACCACCAAGAAAATTGAAATTTTTTTCTGATAATTTATTTGCAATCAACTTTCCACCATGAACTGCTATAACTGTGCAAATAAAATGGGCTATAATGGCACCCATAAAGACATAAATGGGATTATATATAGCAGTCAAACTTATAGTGGTAATTTGACTTTTATCTCCCCACTCTCCCAAAAGTGTTAAAGTAAAAGCTTACCATACTACAGATTAGAATTGTACTTGTATAAAATCTATTAACAATATTGAGATTCTTACTTTTTGTAACATTATCATTAACTTGATCTGTTTCAGGATCTGGTAAATTCATTAACTTTTTATCCAATGTTGTTAATTCCTATTCTACTTCCTACAATTCTTCTTTCTCTTTCTGCATAGTATACCATGTATATATAAACTTAACACCAAATCCATAAAAAACTATTGAAACTATAATTTATGCATATAGGATTGAAATCAATTCAGGAATCACAATCCCAAAAATTGTACTTATTGTTGTTATCATTATTAGAGCTACTGTAGAACCAATTAAAACTGCTATTCGATTATATTTTATTGACATTATAGCAGCTAAGAAGAAGGTCTATTATATATTTATTATTACTTTATCTCCCAACTCAGTAACTATTATTGAACTAAATGATTAGGATAAACTAAGTAATATTATACTATTTTCATCCAAACTTTTAGTCTCTGCAATTAAAATGAAGAATAATATTATGCTATAACATTTCATAAAATTAATAATTCTTCATCATAATACATATTTTATAATTTTATCTAATTCTAAATATTATTATTATTAGAATATTGATTGATTGTTATCATAACATTATAAGCTAGATCTATTTAAGTAAATGCCTTTAATTAATCGCTTAATTTACCTACAAAACTTAATATTGAAAATATATTAATATGGGATCCAAAGAAGGAATATGCTGTATAAATATTTCAATATTATATTAGGAAAGAACCTAACATTCATATAGTAAATAAAAAGAAGTTTTAAAAATAGATAAGATAATTATTCTGTAATTTTAAGAGAGTAAAATAGAAAGAATTAAGAAGAAAATTGATTAGTATATATGTAATTAATAATAAATAATAAATAATAATTAGAATAGTAAAAAAATAAGATGAATGTTAAAATGATTTCCAAATAATCATTCATAAATATTACAACCTTTAAGATCATTTTAAACAGAGAATGAAATTTCAAATAATACCTATTTATGTATAATATTTATTAAGAACAAAACTGCAATTAAAATTACGATGAGTTTAATTTGATTCGTTAGAATTTTTATCCTTCTATATATCATTAATATCTAATATCAATATGATTTTGTGTAAAATCAGAAAAAATTGAAAAAAATAATAAGTAATTAAATTGAATATTTTTGAAACAGAATATCGATTAAAAAGAATAGTTGAAAAAGTCTTTCATATTATAAATAGTAGCAATTCAATAGTAAAATGAAATTGAAGGAGTAAAAAATTTATCAAGGTCATTAATTTATACTAATTTATATAATGAAAGGTTATGGCAAAATTTAATGAGATTTATTTTAGGATTAACAAAATAAAATTTAGGATTGTAGTAAGATTAACAATAAACTTAAAAAAAATAGATATAATCATTAAATAATGAAATCAAAGAAAGAAAATATAAATATACAATATTGATTAAATTTTTGTAATAGTATGAGAATATAAAGATAAAATAGATGAGTGAATTGATATGAATTAGAACTTCTAGTTAATGTAGAAGTCATAATTAGAAATTTAATAGTCATGAATTGAGAGGAAAAATGAGAAACGTTTGGCAAATGGTGAAAAAAATTTAGCTGTTAGGAAAAAGAATAAGGATTAAGATGAAATAACTAAGGCTGGTTATGATAATGTATGAAGCAAATTTAATTTTAATAGTCAAGTAGTTGATAATTCCTATTTCATGATTATAGAATAATATAAATACTATGATGAGAGAATGATGGATAAATTAAAATAGGATAATGAGAGGAATATTTGATTAATAATTTCTAAAGGTATGGAAATCAATATGTTTAGAATTTAGAAATCAAACAATAAACGATTTAATATTATGATGATAATAATATAATTTAATATATGAAGAATATAAATCAAATCATTAAAATGATTAAACGACTTTGCATTATTGTCTTAGAATTCAATTTATAATGCATTCTATAAATTTTATATTAATCAATTAATACTTGAAATGATTAATTCTTCTTCAGATAAATAATGCAAAAGATATTAACCAATATAGTCTCGCTACATAGAATAGCCGTAACCTGATGAAATTGTCTCTTCTAATACTGATCTAGATTAAAATGATTAGTAGATTAGACTGAGACATCAAAGGACTTCTCGAAAGAAAGGGTCTATTAAAATTCGTAACTTGGATATTGATAGTGATATAATAAAAGAAGACATTAGTTAAGAAAATAAGAGTGATTAAGAATCAGATGGAGGCTACATATAAAATCGCAATATTCAACTTGCATTCACTCCAAATAATGAGGAGGAAGTTGAAAGTCCTTTCAAAGGAAGAGGTCATCAAAATTCTGATAGATTATATAGAATTAACGATATTAGAACTTAAAATTTCAATCCTCAATAATATAGTACCTCTAAATTGCCTAAAGATCATGATTCTTCAAAAGCTGAAATTACTATAAAGTCTTATAAAAATCTGAATAGTGCTAATAGTTTATATTCCCCCACAAAAGGTTCACAGAATCTTATTTAATCAGAAAATAATATATATGAGAATTATAATGTATTTTAGAGACTAATCCTTTATCATGTGTTCAGCTTTATGAGAGAGATGAAAACTTTACTGAAAACTTCTGTCTAAAAAATTAATATCAACCATCTTCCAAAATAAGCAGTAAGTGACTCTATTTAATTCAATTTAAAAATCCTATATCAGCAAATCAAAAATAATGTATATTTTCAGAATTTAATTAAAAATAGGAATATTAAAATTTTAATGCATCAACTCTTTTCAAAATCTTTTTTTGGAAAATTAACAAATTAATGACACTTCTAATTGTATTTCTAGCAATGCTTGAAACATACTCTAGATTTATAATGGCCATTTTAACAGAGACATTGATTTCTGCAGTTGAAAATCAAAATATAGGTGATGCTTATATCTAAGCATTTGCCCTTGCTGTATTATCATTAATAGCACTTATGAGTAAACATTTTTAATAGTATTTATATTTAATCAATTTTAGATATATAATCAGTAATGCAGCAACTAAAATGAGAATGATCTTAATTAATTTAATTTATGATAGAATTATAGAATTACATTCATCATAAATTGCTCATTTAAATATAGGCAAAATTATGAATCTTGTCAGTAGTGATTTGAATGTAATCGAATATTAACTTGCTTATATATATTAAGTAACAGTGATACCAGGTTCATTGCTTTTAACATCTATTATATTATGGGTAAAATTGCTTTTAAGTTTAGTTAAGATTTGATGGTCCTATTGGATTAATTGCGATTCTTTTTTGTGGCATCCTTTATCCTTTATAAATTATTATTCAAAAAGTAAACAAGACTATTTTATTGAAAACAAGAAAATTGTAAGATTAAAGAATTTAGGTATTTTTAATTTTCTATCAAAGCAAACTAATACAGTTATTGAAGGGATCAAATATATCAAAATGTATGTTTGGGAAAGTATTTTTGAAAAAAAGATTATGTCTTTAAGAGAAAAAGAATTTTTATACTATTTAAATATTCATGTATTGAATTTGATAGATAGATCATTCAATTTTAGTGTGCATATTTGGGGATCTTTCTGTTTCATATTATTTTTATATTTTAATAACATACCTCTAAGCATTTCATCAATAATGGGAACGATTTAATTAATGTCAATGATAAAATACTATTGTATATTTTAGGTGTCATATGCTTTTCAAGCCTTAATGAATTTTAGTGTAATATTTTAAAGGGTCTCTGATATTCTCAAATATCAAAGTAATAACTTAACAACAATTGATTGTTATAATAAAACAACATTTACAGGTTATGATCTTTAACATTAGCCTATATAGCAATTAATATAAGAGAGAGGAAGAGGTTTAAATCGAAAAGGAAGTATTAATCTGTAATCTACAACTCTATTGACAATATATTAATACTTTGGAAGATGGTAGAAGGATGGAATTCCAGCAATTAATGGAATCAACTTGGATATTAAATCTGGAGAGATAGTGGCTGTAATAGGGAAAGTTGGTTCTGGAAAATCAACTCTACTTTCAGCCATATTGTAAGATGTTCCATTTTATGAAGGAATGATAAATCAATAGAGAAAACTTAAATTAGCATATGTAGAATAAGACCCGTTTATTTATGCAGGATCTATACGCGAAAATATATTGTTTGGTAAAGAATATGATTACACTCTTTACTTAAAGGTTTTAGAAGTAAGTTGCTTAGATTAAGATATTCTCTCTTTTAAATAAGGAGATAAAACTGAAATAGGAGAAAAAGGAACTAATCTATCTGGTGGTTAAAAAGCTAGATTAAGTTTGGCTAGAGCTTTATATTAAATGGCAGATTTATATTTATTTGATGATCCTTTATCTGCAGTGGATTCTAAAGTGGCTAATAAAATATTTGATAATGCAATTAAAGATTTCATTTTTAAATTTCAGCCTAATTATAGACCATCATTAATTCGATCTCATTAAGCCTTTCTCTCTTAACTTCCATCAGTTATTTTAGTTACTCATTAGATTTCATTTGCATTAGAATGTGATTATGTAATCATTTTAGATGGAGGTAAAATCATACATTAAGGACCAAAAAATAAAATTAAAAAGCATATTCTAGAAACATCTAATATTGAATCCAACAACACAAACATTGAAAAGCCTAATTTGATAAGATCTCTTAAAATTAGAAGACCAAGTAAATTAATAAGTAGAGTAGTTACTTAGATAACAAAAATAAATAAAGAAGAACATACTCCTTAACTTTATGTAGCAGAAGATCAAATTTAATAAGATGCATCTTTATCTACATATAAAAGATATTTTAGTTATTGGAAACCATTTCTTTTAATTTTTCTTATTCTATGCTAAAATATAGCAAGTGAAATTATTAATAATTATTATTACAAGGAAATGGCTTAATTCAAATAAGATGATACTTAAAATAATGAAATTGTCTTTAAAAATGCAAGTATTCTTGTTATAGGATCATATATTAATAATGTTATCAAATATTTTTTAAATATTTTTGGTGTTCTTACTTCCAATAATATAATTCATAATAAAATGTTAAAAACATTAATAAGATCTCCAATTGAATATTTTGATACAAACCCTTCTGGTAGATTAATTAATAGATTTTCAACGGATTTATCTTTGGCTGACACTTAAATTTAATAAACTATAACAGACATTTTTGAACAAGGTTCTTAATTCATTGTCTCTTTAGTTACTATTGCAATATTGTAACCTTATTTTACATTCCCTGCTCTTTTTACAGTTGCAAGTACCGTATTCATATTTAGAATCACTAGAATAGTAATATCATAACTTAAGATTTGTGATTTAATATCAAGATCTCCTTTATTTGATTAATTTAAAATATCTATTTATGGTGTTACACAAATTAGAATTAATGAAAACTATTCTTGGATTAAAGACAAATTTCTCAAATTGTCAAACTAATCTATGTAAGCAAACTTATTATTTTTATATTCTCAAAAATGTTTTGGCTTTTATATTGACTTATTTGGTTAATTTGCTAATATAACAGGAATATTTTTGATTATTTTCATGATTGATGATCCTAAAATTTTTTCTCAGGCATTATTACTATTATCTACTTTCAATACTTAAGCAGGTACACTTCGATAATTCATGGCTTTTGATTCTATGATGAATAGTATAAATCGAATGTTTGAAATTTGTGATATCGAAATAGAAGATTAAAGTAAGTAATTATGCGATTTGGAAGTCTAAATTTGGCCCAGATTAGGAACGATTCAATTTTCTAATGTAGAAATGCAATACAGAAAAAATACTCCTTTTGTCTTAAAAGGAATGAGTTTTAATATTAAAGATAAAGAGAAAATAGGTATAGTTGGGCGAACTGGATCTGGTAAGTCTTCTATCATTTACAGTCTCTTTAGAATGACAGAAATTGAAGAAGAAGGGTATTTTATTTTAAATATTATATAGAACAATCTCTATTGATGATTAAGATATCAAAAAGATAGCCCTTAATAAATTAAGACAAGAAATAAGTATCATTCCTTAAGTTCCATTCCTTTTCAAAGGAACTTTGAGAGAAAACCTAGATCCTCTTAGAAAATTTGATGATAATAAAATTATAACTGCACTTATAGAAACAGGATTAGATGGCTTTTTATAATTATTGCCTGAAGAATTGAATCATGAAATTGATCCAGATTTATTTTCAATTGGATAAAAATAATTAATTTGCTTGAGTCGAGTTTTACTCAATAAAAAAAAGATTCTTGTTTTAGATGAAGCTACTGCAAATGTAGACATGATTACAGATTGTTTAATTTAATAAATAATTAAAGAGAAATTTAATGATTGCACTATTCTTACGATTGCTCATAGATTAAATACAATTGCAGATTATGATCGAATATTTGTCTTAGATGATGGAAAGGTTTTAGAATAAGGACATCCTTATGAACTCTTAGTATAAAATCCAAAGATTTCAACTTATATTAATAGTGATTCAGTATTTGCCAAAATGGTACTTTAAACTGGATCGAAGAACAGCAGTTAGATTTATGGAATAGCAAGAAAATGTTATCAAAAATATCATGATATTGGAAGTCGAAGTAATTGTAATAGTAAAATTTTTGATGTATCTCCAAGTAGTATAAATGAGTTTAACTTTTGATACTGCTAAATTTTAAATAATTATAACAATTTTATTCGAATATTTAAGGATCAGAACAAATTTTCAAGATGTTCATACTCTTCATTCAATGTTACTTTTCTATACATGAATCTAGTGGCAGCTAAATTATTACGATCTTCAGTATCTATTAATTGTATTATTTAATAAAATTAATTTTTATGCAATTCTATCATTATAGTTTTCTCCAATCCAAAATTCTTTAATTTCCTTTTCGAAACTACTCTATCTAACATATCTAACAGAATTTCAAGCTAATTCAGCTAAATCTATTCCTGAAAAATCAAAAATTTATGATGCTTTTTTTGCATATAACAAAGGCTCATTTGTTAGATGTAAAATTAAAGGATCATCAGTTGATAAACATACATTAAGACCAATTTAAAAATATTTTTAAAAAGGGGATTTTGAATAACGACAAAATAATTTATTATTTGATACAGGTGATATTGCAATTCCTATTTATTCAAAATAAAACAGATATTACAAACAGGAGATTTTTATAATTCTAATCCATGATTAATGCCATCAGAAACTAAATATGCTGTTGTTAAATGATCTATATTTGCAGCTTCTCCGTAATGAGGTCGAAATTTAAATGTATTTAAACCTCTCTATTATCTTAAAGCATTCAATTTATATAAATTTGCATATATGTAATAATCCAATATGTATGCGGTGAATTACGATCTCATGACCAATCTTTTAGAGATTATTTAAGATCAGAAATTGCAAAATATTCGTACAAAGATTCATCATCAACAGTATTAAAACATGTTATTTAGAATAAGGCTTAATATAAAATGGATCTATTGTAGGATTAATAGTAATATAAAACAATGGTCTAAGTATATTATCAATCATATCATAAAAACAATCGATCATACCAGATTTTTGTAAACACTATAAAGTCTAGGTATTTATACCATCCATCTACTTTTGATGAATAGAGTTTATTTATAATAAACCATTTTCCAATTTTATGCCAATCTTCCATAGATTTCCCATTTATGGACATCCAATATCTTATTGCTATTCTAATAAATCCATCAATTGTTAAGTCAAATCTGCTAAGATATTTCCCTTTAATATAATTGTCAGTTCAAAAATATCTCTCTTATTTTAGGAGTTAAAGGATTATATTTTTTGTTATATCTATCAGATTGTTTATAAATTCCTTTAGCTGCTAGATTACTCTCTCAACACTATTTTTTACTTTATTAAGTAAAAACTTTTGTCATACTGAGTTAATAGATACTAAATAAGTGCAAGTTGTTTTTGGAATATTTATTTGAATATTTAATTTTAAAAATTTTGAATGAAATGATCAAGGTGTCAATAGATGGATTTATTTATTTTGTTTAAAACAATTTAATCTAGTTATCATAATTCTATACCGCTATTATGTAAGTTTAATTATCAGTGGAAAAGAAGGATAATAAATATCTAGTTACTTAAAATTTTTCAGCTTAATTGAATCATAGTATTAAGTAAAAATATACTGTTTAAATAACTGCAAAATAGCTCAGAAATTAAAAATTTGTTTTGAAATCTTAAATAAATCTAATTTTTTATTTCTTCAAAGGCAAAAGAATTCTATCCAAAAATAAGTTAGTACATTAAGATACGTGACATTGTCAAAAATAACTTTCTTGTCAAAAAAAGTTCTTATCTATTAATATTGTGTATTTTTCTTTGTAATCATTTAGCTGCTATTTCTTTTTGTCAATTATGTGGATTAATTCAATCCACTTCATTTAATTGTGCTTTTAGAATAATTAATACAATTCATTAAAAAATGAAGATTCACTTGATGTTTATAATGAATAATCTTTCCAAAAACTATCTAATAAATCGTTATCTTCAATTATAGAAATTGGTGGCCCACTACTTTCACTGTTATTTAAATACAACTTAATCTTATCTAGAGTGAGTATCAAATTCTGAATTCTATTGAATTTTGAGTTGTAGTAAATTAGTTCCATTGCTCTACTTCTGCTGTTTATTCATATTTTAAGTTCAACTTACTCTTATATGTTTAGCGTCTAATTATACGTTATTAAAATAATAATTCTCTTAATCTATGAATTTCAATATATAACCAACCCAATTCTTTAACCATAATGAACAAAACTATAACATTAATATTATCATCTGTTTTTGTAAAAATTCTTCAATTTTCTTGAAGTACTTCATATTCTCTAAGTTAGATAGAACTTCCATTCTAATATTCCAAATAATATAAGGCTCCTTTTTTGCATTATGTTAAATGAATTTACTTGATATCTCACTATATTCATGACCATCAAATGAATAATAATCTCTTAGTTTTAAAATCTCAAGAATTTTTGATGCAGATTCTCTTGATTCCTAAGTCTTTGCTCCTTTATATGGTTTTCTTGGTTTAATTATTTAAAAAATATCAAAATTTAATGCTTCTTTTTTTTCATCATCTGTTGTATCACTAAATAGTTTTAAACGCATTAACAAATACAGTTTTTTACTATTTTTAGGATTCAATTCATACACTTTTAGAATAATCTCTCGTTAATTTTAAATCAAGATATTATGTTTATAAATTTTAATCATCAGCAAAATATTAAATTGACCATCCTTTAGCATCTGGTTCTCCTTTAAAATTCATTCATATTATTTAATTAATCTATTTTATAAAATAAAATACTCTCTTAAACTTTAATAAAAATTTTAAACTGCTTAAGAAGATAAAAAACTTCTTCAAACTCAATTATAGTATATAAATATTTAAATAATACTTGATTACAATTCATAAATATCTAAATTGATGGAAAAACTATAGTTAAGAATAAAGATGCTTAATATAAGAGATTATAAAATAATAAAAATGGTTGAGAAGATACAAAATAATGAAAAGTCAATAGAAACTAATAAAAAGTAACTATTTTAATTAAATTGGATTTACATACGAATTACTTTGGCAGGAAGAAAGATTAAAAGATGAAATATAGTATTTATCGGAAATGATTAATATAATACAAAGAAACAAAGAGCAATTAAACAGTTAATAATAGAAATCATAGTTTCTTTATAAATATATTCATTATACAAAAATTTAAATATGTATTACAAACATAAGTTTGGAGAGTACAAAGAAAAAAATAGGATATACAAAGTTAAGAATAGGAATTACAAAGAGTAGAATAGGATATACAAAGAAATGAAGAGGAATTAAATGAAAATAAAAAAGAACTATTGTTAAATGACAATTATTTTATTATAATTGCTTAATTATCGTTAGGAAGCAAAGATATTTTAATAAATCATAATGATCAATGGATAACTCTCACTGATTTGATAGAAATATTAGTTTCTTTAAATGAACAAATGAATCACTAAATAACTTAAATATGAAGAAAACAATTACATAAATGAAATACATTATTTTTAAAAAATGAAAATGCTTTTTTTTAAACAATATTATATAAATTTTTTCATTTTTGTCACTACTTATTTTACTTAACTAGAAACACAAATGATTGATTTTTTGAAGAAAGTTTTAATCCTTATCCTTATTTCAGTTTCTAATTAAATTAATCATAAAATATTTTCTCAACCTACTAAACTATTTTTAGACTTTAGAAACAGCTAAATTCTGAAATTGACTGTCAAATTGAATAATAATGATATCATCTATTTGAAAAAGCATAATATTAATAGTCCTAAATAATTAATTAGAATAAATTTTAAATGTGAAAATATTTGATATTATTCATAATTATTGTTTCTATTGTTGAATAAAAAGAAAACTTTCAGTCTATTTGATAGAACTAATGATATATTTATTTTTGAGTATTTTATGAAGAATCTTTATAAATAAAGGGATTATTAGAATTATTCGAAAGTAAATTCATTTTTATCTTCAAAATATTAAGAGAAACTTAGTATAAGCAACCACTTTTTTTAAATGGTTAAGAGGCAAAATGTTAGATTATAATTAGTTGAGCTGAATATATGTAATCTTATTTAAAAATTAATATTGTATGAATGATTCAGAATTAAATACATCAATATTATAGATAGATCAATTTATTTAAAAATAAGATAATGGATATTGTTCATAAACTATATATAAACATGATCAATTTAATCTAAAAGATTATATTTAATGGTATTGTTTTGTATGGGCAGATAATTTAATAAGGATTAGATCGTCTTAAACAAATTTGATAGCGAAGGAACCTAGAATAAAGGTTTAATATTTTACCTTTTAGTTTTTCTCCTTTAGAAGCAGGTATTTCATCATTGAAATAAAAAATGACTGGTTTCCAAAATGGAGATTTGGTTGGACCCATGATGACATTGATTGGAAGATGAGTAAAAGTAAATGAATATTTCATCCATATAATTACTCCAGTGACAAAGTCTTATCTATTGATTTGAACTTAATATGAATTGCTAAATGATANTAATTGCTTAATTATCGTTAGGAAGCAAAGATATTTTAATAAATCATAATGATCAATGGATAACTCTCACTGATTTGATAGAAATATTAGTTTCTTTAAATGAACAAATGAATCACTAAATAACTTAAATATGAAGAAAACAATTACATAAATGAAATACATTATTTTTAAAAAATGAAAATGCTTTTTTTTAAACAATATTATATAAATTTTTTCATTTTTGTCACTACTTATTTTACTTAACTAGAAACACAAATGATTGATTTTTTGAAGAAAGTTTTAATCCTTATCCTTATTTCAGTTTCTAATTAAATTAATCATAAAATATTTTCTCAACCTACTAAACTATTTTTAGACTTTAGAAACAGCTAAATTCTGAAATTGACTGTCAAATTGAATAATAATGATATCATCTATTTGAAAAAGCATAATATTAATAGTCCTAAATAATTAATTAGAATAAATTTTAAATGTGAAAATATTTGATATTATTCATAATTATTGTTTCTATTGTTGAATAAAAAGAAAACTTTCAGTCTATTTGATAGAACTAATGATATATTTATTTTTGAGTATTTTATGAAGAATCTTTATAAATAAAGGGATTATTAGAATTATTCGAAAGTAAATTCATTTTTATCTTCAAAATATTAAGAGAAACTTAGTATAAGCAACCACTTTTTTTAAATGGTTAAGAGGCAAAATGTTAGATTATAATTAGTTGAGCTGAATATATGTAATCTTATTTAAAAATTAATATTGTATGAATGATTCAGAATTAAATACATCAATATTATAGATAGATCAATTTATTTAAAAATAAGATAATGGATATTGTTCATAAACTATATATAAACATGATCAATTTAATCTAAAAGATTATATTTAATGGTATTGTTTTGTATGGGCAGATAATTTAATAAGGATTAGATCGTCTTAAACAAATTTGATAGCGAAGGAACCTAGAATAAAGGTTTAATATTTTACCTTTTAGTTTTTCTCCTTTAGAAGCAGGTATTTCATCATTGAAATAAAAAATGACTGGTTTCCAAAATGGAGATTTGGTTGGACCCATGATGACATTGATTGGAAGATGAGTAAAAGTAAATGAATATTTCATCCATATAATTACTCCAGTGACAAAGTCTTATCTATTGATTTGAACTTAATATGAATTGCTAAATGATAGATCTTCAAAAGTGCATTTCATTAAGTCCACTTCATAAATTAAAACAGGATCACTATTTAATTAGTCTTTTCTGATGCTTTCAAGTAGAGGTTCATGTTTAATCCACTGTTTCATCCATTTCATATTGACTCCATAGACAGAATCCCTTATTTAGGGGTAGGAAAGCATACCAAAATGTCAATTTTTAATCCCGATATTCACCATCTTCGATCGACTGGAGATACAATTAACCTTTGTCAGGCAAGACTAGTCCATCTTAATTTAGGTATTTGTCTCTTGCTTATATTAACTCTTAAATGTTTCCCCGATAGAATAACATATTGCCCATCCATGCAGATATGATAATATCAACCTTGCAATCTAATTCTACTTCTTTTATGGCTTTTTTATGGAGGGTGACATTGTTTATTTAATTGGATTCTAATATTTTATTTGCATGATCATGTGATTTCATAGCATATACATGTTTAGCTCCAGATCTAATAAGTAAAATTGGAATTAGACCAAGACCAGCATTAAGATCTAAAATTACTTTATCTTTAAAGAGATGCTTATTGCGTGTGATTGCATTTATAAATGGCTGGATGCGATCTTAATCTTTAAGAATATCCTCATCATTAAGAAAATTGTTACAATCCATTTAATTAAAATGTCTGAATTTGCATGTGATACTTGTGAAAAGCAATTCAAATTAAAAAGAACATTAGAAGCTCATAAAATGATACATACAGGAGAGAAACCTTATTAATGGTATAAAATAACTTATTTAAATATGGAAAAGTCCTCAGTGTCAACAACGTTTTAGATAATATTCTTCCCTATAAAAGCATCAAAGAACCCATTCTGGTGCAAAGCCGTATGAGTGTGAGGAATGCAAATAAGCTTTCTCTCAAGTATATAGTTATATTTGAGTAGATCTCTAATTTAAAGAGACACTAACGCAAACACTCTAATGAAAAACCTTATAAATGTGAGGATTGTGGAAAATAGTTCATTACAAGTCAGAATTATTAATAACACAATTCAAAACATTAGTAAGATCGAAAATAATACAAATGTGAGAGTGGATGTGGAAAAACTTATTTTTATATGTGTAGTTTAAAGAAACATGAAAAAGAAATGCATTAGAAGAAAGAAAAGCCTATTTTCACGAATGAATCATTAAACCAATAAATAAAAAACCTTAAAGATTTCTTTACATGCAATCATCCTTAAATAATTCATAAGAATCATGTAGATGTTCTGTTTAATGGATGTTTGTATTATTACAATGAAGGTAGTACAATATGATAACTAGAAAATCAAAAAATTGAATATCATGAACTTGTTGATGCTGCTAAACAAGAATGTGATCCAGTGAAAGAACATCAACATTTTTAAAAGAATTAGCAATTTGCATAGATAGATTGTTAACAATGTCCTTAAGAAATAGATTGTTGTTTAGCTAAAAATTAAGGCAATATCCAAGAATAAGAATATCCACAATCCTATGTTTTACATTATCATGGACCGAATTGTGGACATCCTATTGTCTTGCATAATGGGCATGTCGATTATTTAGTCAATGAAATGCTTCATTATCCACATGATGGGCATTGTGACAATCATGGAATTCTGAATAGAATCACAGTATAATGAAAAACATTAATAATTATATAATTCAAAAATAATGTCATTAAGAAGCGTTGTCGAAATTGTAACTCATGTGGAAAGCTTTAGAAATGTTGATCTCTATTATTAAGGTGTTTACTTCTTAAGAATCACTATTCATAATGATGCTCCATAAGATGTATTCAAATTTATAATTTTTAGGTTAATAAAATCTATGCTCATCCACATGATCCTTGTGAATCCTATAAAACTTATCCATAGGAGGCTTAATAGAATGTTAATCCACCTAAATACTATGAGACTCATATTTTTAGACCAGCATCAATAGTTACATCAAATTCAGCATTTTATACTAAAGCATTTTTCATCAAATTCTGTGAAGAGGAAATAGAACTAAATGATATTTGTAATTTCAGAATAGAATTTGATGCAGGTCCAAAAAAAGAATAATCACTAATCATGTAGGTTGATTTAATGTTTTTTGATTGTTTGAATTCTTAAAAAGATTAACCCAAACAAGAACCACTTTATACAAAATAAGATAAAGAAGATTATGCTATTCCAGATGGAAAAATTTAAGCAACTGCTAAATTTAAGATCAAAAATGTTTTACAAACAAATCACTAATTTGTACCAATCATCTTTGAAGAATAAAATTTTTGTTAAGCAAACATGGTTGTACATACTATTACTTTGGATTATCGTTTTCGTACTCATCCTATTTAATTATTTTAATTTGCTAGACTTAAATTTGAAGAGCGTAATCAATTATTAGAAGGAAAAGTGCCTAGCACTCTTGATAAAAATAAAAATCAATCAAAACCCTTAATAAATTCAGATTAAATTTCAATGTTTGAAACAATTTAAAAATAATACAAAGAGTTGAAAGGATTAGATTATTATGGAATGTAGTAGGAATTTGTAGAAAGCTTAAAAGGCTATTATGAATAACTTTACTAACATTATAATTTAATATATTCTAAATGCATATTAGAGAAATAGAGAAAACATTTCAAAAAGTATTTATATCCACCTCTTAAATTGATTGTCCCTGAATATATAACAAGTGAAACTTATTAGAATATAAAGGGATAATTAACCAGGAAGGAATTAAATTAAAGAATAGAAGAGAAATTCCATACTTCAGATCCTGAGACTATCATACATTCAATACTTAATGAAACAAATTTGATTAGCTGTTAATTATTTTAAATGTGGATTAAAGTGCTTGATTTGTATCGCATAAGTCCAAGATTCTGTGTAGCATTATTATAATTTGATTACTAAAAGATTATTAAAAATAGATGGCAATAATTTTGTATAAAATCTCCAACACAATAATTACTGGACAAAAATTTAGGAATAGAACATAAATAAAAAAGTGATAAAATTAGATAAGAATCTAAAGTTTAAGAATTAGGAGTAGAAGATTTAAATTCCTATCCTAAAATAGAAACTTAGCCAATTATCTTTGAAGAATTTACTCCTAGAGAAGATAAAGATAAAAATGAAGAAAATATAGTTGATGCAGATATAACTAATAGTGAATATGATATAATGTCATATAGAGGAATTCATTTAATAGTTTTGGTACATGGTTTTTAGGGTAATTCATATGATATGAAATTATTTAAGAATTACATTTCATTAGCCCATCCTGAAGCAATGTTTTTATGTTCATCAATAAATGAAGAAAATACTGAAGGTAATATATAAGAAATGGGAGAAAAGCTAGCTACTGAAGTAATTAATTTTATATCTGAAAATTGTCCTGAAAATACTTTAGGAAGACTAAGCTTTATTGGACATTCATTAGGAGGAGTAATAATCAGAGCTTCATTACCTTATCTTGATAAATACTAAGATAAAATGTATACTTACATTAGTCTTTCATCTCCATAATTAGGATATTTTTACAATGCTAGCAAAATTGTAGATGCTGGGATGTGGGTATTAAAATAATGGAGAAAAAGTAAATGTTTAGAATAGTTATAAATGACTGATAATCGTAATATTGAAGAAACATGTCTTTAAAAATTGGCTTAGGCAAAAGGTTTAGCTTGGTTTAAAAATGTTTGCTTTTTTAGTTGTATCTAAGATAGTTATGCTCCTTATGATTCTGCTCGAGTTCAATTATCTAAAGAAGCTATTGAAGATCAGTATTTATATAAACAATAACTTTAGGAGAAATAAACCATATGTTTAAATGGTCAAGGCTTTATTAAGACATCTTGAAAATACCAATGTTTATCGTATTGATGTCAATTTTGAAATTTAAGAAAAGTAATTATATATTAATTGTTTTAGAAATCTTGATACATTAATTGGTAGAACTGCTCATATTTAATTCTTAGAATGCCAACCCCTATTAAGAATGGTTGTTAGTTTATATGATCAATTCTTCTGTTGAAAAATTGATATTTTATAATTTATTTAAAAGTCGATTAAATATAAATTATATAATGACATCAGCCTCAATTAATAATTCGTATTAAATTTAATGTAAAGAATTTAAGCACTTTCCAATTAGTTCAATCCTACAATTGCTCCTCCTGCTGCAAATGTAACTTATCCTTGGGTTATGAAATATCCTGATTTCTTCCCTTTTGAATAAGTTGGTAATCTGAAAGGCAAAACTATAATAATAAGTGGAGGATCAAGAGTATATTCAAATTTTTACATATTCTTAGGGAATTGGATTGGCTATTGGAATTAGAGCTGCTAAAGATGGTGCGAATGTTGTTATTCTTGCCAAAACAGTAGATCCACACCCTAAATTACCTGGTACAATTGCTTCAGCTTGCGCAGAAATTGAAAAAGCAGGAGGAAAGGCTCTAGGAATTTAATGCGATATCAGATTTGAAAAGGATATTCAAGCTGCTGTTTAAAAAACTGTTGAAACCTTTGGTGGAATTGATATTGTCGTGAATAGTGCAAGTGCAATTTCACTTACTGATTCTGAATCTACAGATATGAAGAAATATGACTTGATGCATTAAATCAATACAAGAGGAACTTATTTAATGAGCAAAACTTGCATTCCTTATCTTAAGAAATCATCAAATGCTCATATTCTTAATTTGTCACCACCATTAAACATGCAATCAAAATGGTTTGCACCACATTTAGCTTATACAATGGCTAAATATGGTATGAGTATGTGTGTACTTGGTATGAGTGAAGAATTTAAAGGCTAAATTGGAGTAAATGCTTTATGGCCACGAACTTCAATTGCAACAGCTGCAGTATAGAATGTTCTTGGTGGAGATTCTATGATGTAAGCATCTAGAAATGTGGAAATTATGGCTGATTCTGCATATGTTATATTAACAAGTTGTCACAAGAAGACAACTGGAAACTTTTTTATTGATGATGAAGTCTTAGCAAGTGTTGGAGTTAAAGATTTTAGCATATACAGATGCGATCCAAAATTCACTGATTCATAATTAGCACCTGATTTTTTTATCTGAGATAATTAAAAATGTTCACAACCAGTTAATATATATATTTGTCCAATAATATATATATAAAAATATTTATATAGAATTTAGAATATTAAAATTTTTGTTCATTAAACTTTTTATTGAATAATAAAAAAGTAGTTTTTTTCTAGAATTAAATATTAATTTAATCATCTTCATATTCGAGAATATATTTAATAATGCGAGCTATTTAAGAAATTTAACTCTCTTATTATTCACTTTTTAAGACTAGAAAGTGAAGAATTTTTTTCTATTTTTAAATTATTTACAAATGGAAACATAGCAAAAATAACTTGATGTAATTAGTTTCTTTTAAAATATAGGTCTCTGTATTTTCATACAAACCTGATCTCAATGATAAATCAAAAATAAAGTACAATATATCAATTACTTTTGATAACCAATCTTGGATCATTACAAAAAGGTAATTGATCTTACTAGATTTATAGATATTCTGAATTTGATGATCTCTAAAAATAATTAAAGATTTGTTTTAGAAATTAGTTGCCAGAGTTACCAAAAAAGACATATACGTCTTTTTTGTTATCAAAAACTCATGACGATATTGAGTAAAGGAGAATAGGACTTGATAAATACTTAAAGGTAGATTAATTATGTATAATTAGATGTTAACTTAAAAAAAAGAGATTTTGTCATCAAATCAAATGAAAGAGTTCTTATAATTAGAGGAACATGCAAAAATATTAGTTGTAAATGAGCCATAAATAGTTCATGAATTTAGTGGTTTTCTACATGGAATAAGAGATTTTAACCTTTGTGTGGGGTAGGGAATATTATATGTTGTGAATTCTGATTATTCTATATTTAACCGATTGGATGCATATCTTTAAAACATGAAGGGACCCTGGGAAAAAGAGGATGGAAAATAGACAGTAATGCCTGTGGGATGTATAGAATGTTGGACAGAATCATAAGATGGAATTTATACACGTTAATGGGCTAAGATGTATAATTCATAAGCAATCTGTTGTTTTTGGGATCCATCAGCATTTGTTTTGTTAGTAGGGTATTTTTAAGAATTAATTCAAATATAGTCTTGATAGTGGTTCAATTAATTATTTAAAGGTACCTTACAGCTTAGGATTCAAGAGATGTGAAAATGACACGGAGATTGAATAACATTCAAGCAGAGTTACAGGATTATATTTTGATAATGAAAGATCTTTAATTCATTCAGTTTCGAAGGATTAAAGATATAAAATTAGAAATACCGTTAAATCTATACTCATTTATGGTATTGATAGAATTTATAAATATAAATAGATAATGAAATTAGTCCATATGAATTGACTGATATTGTAGTTAGTAAGTCTCGTAAGAAATCATTTGTGTCTGATAAGAATGGATTTATTTATATGTTTAACATAAATGAGGTATTACAATATTTAAAAACAGGATAAAGTGGTTTAGCTGAATATGATTAACATAAATATAAGACTTTTGAAATGTTTAAAATTAGATTCAAATCAAAATCTTCTAATGGCAATGGGTTAAGAAAATGGAGAAATTATTATGATAGACATAGGACCAGTAAATTGTGAAAAGCAACTTCAATAGATTAATTAACTTAATACTTAAATTAAAGGATATAGATACTGTTATTCATATAAACGTAAGGAATTGTTTGTTGGAACAATTGAAGGTACAATTTAATTTTGGGATCTTAATACAAAATAATTAATATATGTAATAAAAGCACATGATTCAGAAATTACACAAATGTAGTGGATTGAAGAGGATCAACATTTATTAACTTCGAGTAGAGATAAAGAAATTAAAACATGGAAATTACCTTAAAATTGGAGAGATAAACCAGTTATATGAATTTAATACTCAATAACTAAAAATTATTATTAATTGTCTCATAAGTTTTTTAGATTTTTTTAATATTTTATTTATAAGTGTTAATAAAATTGTATTGAGAATACAAATTTGTGATAATCAAATAATTTATAATCAAAATATTAATAAATTTCAATACTTTATTTCTTTTTTTGTACTCAGTATAGTATTTCTAATATGAATACCAGAGAATGTCTTTAAATAACAAGTTTAAATCATTCTTTTGGAGAAATTCCTTTGAGTCAATACTTGAATGTCTTATTTTATGTTTTAATTTGATTATCCTCTTCTTGGACTACTTTGTTTAGATGAATAATCGAATGTTTCTAAATTAGGAGCAGATGCTCTAAGTGATATTGGTCTAAGGATTAACTATGTAGAGTCTGTTTAAAGATGATTGACTTTTTTTTAAGGTGATTATTCAGAAAGATATGGTTTCTAATTTAAAGAAGGTACAGAAATTAATTTATAATTGAAGTTTAATTTCTTTTAGATAGGACTCTCAATTTTAGATCTAACTTTTTATGGACTTGTATCTGGAATAGATAGTAAGGTTGTAGTAGACTTCAATGATTTAGTTGATATTGTGAGCAAAGATTATTATTATGGTTGTAAATTTGAACTGGACCAGAATTCTTATGTTGGTTTCTCTGATTTCAGTAATATATTATGAAATTTAGTCATTTTATTTGAACTTTTGCCACATTCATTACAATGACAGCTAAGTCTTCGTTACTGGGATTCATTAATTTCATACATCTTTTCTCTTAATACTTTCTTCTTTTATTATTTCTTATCCCTTTATATGAGTTTATCTATCAACATAGTACGATGATGAAATAATAATCTTCTTGATTTCTCTTAATTATCTGTTTTTATTATTGAAGCCTAAGACACTCGATATTTTGGTACTTCTGCAAATTAGAAATAATGTGATGCATTTAAACTTCGAGCTATTATACTTATATTTATTCTACCTCTTAATCTTCCCTCAATAGAACAACTCTAACTAATGGTTTTTGTTTTCATCTTCCAACTCAATTATTATTATATTGATATTTTATCTCAATTTATGGATACTATTTACAAGAATACAACTCTCAATTCTCATGCTAAATCATCAAGCACTTCACATATGATGGCAAGTCCATTTTCAACTTATACTCCATAAACATGTTATTCAATTCTACAATTTCTACCATATATCTAATCATCTGTTAAAAAATAGCAAATGAAAAAATTTATAATTAAAGAAAGGACTGAATATGATAAGAAAAAAACAATTATAGAATCAGGTTTATTAACTTAAAGAGGCATGACTAAATATCTTAAACCAAATAGTATTACAATATATCATTCAAAGGGTTGAAATGGTAAAAAAAAGAATTAAGACTTTCTGATAGTATTATAGAAACAAAATTGAAAATTGCTGATTTAATATTGAATACAAAAGGAGGATAATCTCGTAAGGAATTATTAATCGAAAAAATTTAGACTCAAATCGAAAGCCCAAGATAAATTTTTAGCTCAAGAACTATTAAGAGTGAACATAATGTCAATTAATTTATAGATAGAATAAAGTCTTAAACTATCCCACATAAATTAAGACAATAAGTATAATCTCCATCGAAAATTAATCAATCTCAATAAAAAATCATCCAAAATTTCACAACTACATATTAAACAGAATGATTTTATTATACAATAATTTCATATCATTATTTAAATTGTTTTAGCTTCGCTATTTGTTTTTCATTATTTTTTGTAACTGTACAACCACACTCTTTGCAGTACATTGTTAATTTTTTAATATCTAATTTTAAGTGTTTTGCTAATGGAACTATGTCAAATTAAAACTTATGAATAAATAAATGCAAAACTATTATGTAACTTATGTATTTATCCTTCAAAAAGTTTGATCTGCTAAAATTATATACATTTTCTCCTTGACCAGGAGTTGCTTAATAAAATTTCTCCAAAATAGGAGTTACTAATTTATAATTATATATTCCTAGTTCATGAGCTATATTTTATGCATTTTTATTTTAAAAAACTTATTTAAATTGGAACTTAAATAAAATATTCAAATATTCCAAATATTTTAAAATTGTCAATTTTGTTTTGTTATCAAAAATTAATCCAGATGCTATTTATATTACTTAAGGATGATAATGATATAAAGTATCTTCTCTTTTAGTGCTTATAAATACTTATAATTTTGAAATGTCTAATAATTCCATATCCTCTTCAGATACTATTGACCTTATATTATATATTTAGAAAATCGGAACGTTGCCTTTAACAAATTCAGGAAGTAACTCTTCTTTAATTGCAGCTTCTTCCATTTAATGAATTTCTTTTTCTATCTCTAACTGTTCTTAAATCTCTTACTATTTTTAATTAAACTTTTCTTTAATTGAATCTGCCTAAACAATATTCTCTTCTTCAACTTTATTAGTTTCCATCTACCTCATTTTTCTTCTACTTTTATTTGTTCCCATTTCTTCAGCCACCATTTTCCTTTATTCAAAATAACTTAATCCATCTTCAAGTGCTGAATTCCTAGATTGTTATTGTTTGTTCTATTTGTTTATTTATTATTAAAGAGTAGCTTAGATTAATACAGGATGTAATGAAATAGTATTTCCTTAATGCACACCTGTGATTATTTGAAATATTACCAACAAAAATATTAGATTATGTATGATTTTATCTTCCAATCCAAGTCATTTAATCATTCGATAATTTAATTACTTTTCTAGTTTAAGGTTCACTTACATCATCACCATTTTTTGTTAGTATTTAAATATTAGAATAGTTTGGAATCCCTTAAGGACATCCTAAAACTATTGGATTAGGTTCTTCTTTAAAATTTAATGAGACTTCCATAAATATTTATTATTAAAATTAGATTAATTTCTAAAATTTATTTTTTATCATTTAAAAAACAATTAATTTTGCTTAATCTAAATGAGAATTTATTTTTCCTATTTCTAGAGTAACAAAATCAATTAATTTGACATCATATTATTTTAACAAAAAATATCAATTTTAATCAATGACTTCAGGATCCTTATTATCTAATTTCTCTATCTTTTAAGGTTGAACTTAAGAAGAATTTTGCTCTTAGATATTTGCTTATTTAATACTTTCATCTTACATTTTACTATTTTCAATTACATTACCTTATACTAATATTACTTATTCCTTTTTTTACAATTGAGAATCATTTAATTCAATATTCTAAGGGTCTTCATCAAGTACAGAATTATCTTTTTCTTTAGGTTGATTTTAATTATTACTTCCTTAAGTTTCATTTACTATCACTTATGATTATTAAAGTTTTTTAGTGCTATTTTATCTTCTAAGCTTATCAGATATAACATTTTCATTTTTTACTTCATCACTTTTTTGGTTATTTTAATCAATTTTTTTCGTTTTGTTTAACATTTTTATAAATTCCTCATCAAGTTCCTCTTTATCATGTAGGATTTAGCTTTTAGTATTAGTTTTTTTATTTTCATCATTTTATTTACTTTCAATTATTTACAAAGATTTATGAGTCTTGACATTGTACCATTGTTTTTCAGTTTAATCAATTATTTATTCCTTAGATTTTTATTCATCATCACAATCATTAATAATTTTTGTTTTTCCTTGATTATAATTTTTATATTTAGTTTTATCAAAAATAATTGAATAAGCTCCACTTTATTAAAAATTCTTTGGCTAAAACTTGAATCCTGTTTAATCTGATTTAACTTGATGCGATTAAGCAAAATTAGCTTTTAAATGAGTTTTTTTTTCTATATCTTATCTTTCTTATTTATTTACAGAATTTTTAGATTAGGCTTCGTTAATTAATAATGATTCTCCAAGATCTTCATTATTTTTTAAAATTAATTTTTGATTTTATAATTTATCCATTATTTGGTCTTTCCTAGAATTATCAAATTAGGTTATTTATTAATTATTATTTAATTATTATGATTGAGTTTATATCTCTTCATTTTTATCTAATTAAATATCAGTTTGATGATTATTTTTCTAATAAGCAAAATCATTAGGTTAAACATAAATACTGTTTACAATAGAATTAAGTTCTGAATACTCATCTTAATTTTATTTTACACTTTAAGGTCTGAAATCTTTAGAATTTTATATTTCTTCCTTATTTTGGGGAACACCTTAAGAAATATCTGAAGAAATAAATTATTATTTATTTTCTAAACTTTCTACTTGCTCTAAATTTTTTATAGACTTTTAAGATTTTTAATCAGGAATCTAAGATTTTTATTAATCATTCTAAATTTGTATTAATTAAGATTAATTTTAAACTTCAGGATTTTTTTATTGATTTTGATAAGTTAGTTTTTATTCCGTTGTCTCAAAATTTGTATCAATTTTATTTAGTTGTTCATTTAATTAATTCATTTTATCATCTATTTGATCATTTTAATGAGAATCTTCGTATTATTCATTTTGTTTGTCATATTATTTATCTTATTATTAAGCATCGTCTGGATAAAAATCAGGGTCAGGATTAATTTATAATATTTTTTTTGACGAATTCTGTTTCTAAGTCAAATTATTAATTTATTATTTTTTTGTATTTGAACTATTTTTGGTTTAAGGTTTAGTTTATTCTGATAAAAATTCATTTGAAAATTCTTGATCCTCATTATTTAAATGACTTTAAAATTATTGAGCTTTACACTATTATTCATTAGTGTTCTATCTTAATTCTATAGTTTTTTAATCCAATTATTTATGATGTTCATCTTAGTCATTAGTTTCAATTTAATTTTTAATTTATATTGAGCGTTTATTAACTTTTGGAGTTTGCTTTTCATTATCTTACTTTTTCTAACTAATTTATTAATCCTATTAAGAACTTTTGCTTATAAGTACATCTTGATCGACATCTTCAAAATCGCTTAGTGAATAGCGATTAGAACTAATCTATTAAATGGATTGATTTTGATCCTATTTATTTTAAATTTGTATGATCATAGCATTTGAATTTGTTTTCTTTAATTAATTTGCACTATTGTTTATTGATTTTTATTATTTTTTTTGAGTTTCAACTAAATTGGTTGAACTTGAAGGTGTGCTTTATCGTTGGTTTTTGAGATCAATATTAATTTTGATTTAATTTTATTAAGAAGATTCATAAATAATATTTGATTGTTCACTATTTTATTATGTTTCATTACTACTAATTTATTTATTAGTATTTTCTTTTTAGATTTAATCATTCTCTTTTTAATTGACATAACTAAATGATATAACTTGAGATTGAACTCTGTTTTTTCTATTTTCAGGTAATATTTTTTTAATTTTTTATTTTTGAGATTTTTAGATTATATTTGGAAATCTAGTATGTCTTTTTTCAGTTCCATCACTTTCTTCTGTAAATTCAGTTTTAATTTTTGTTGTTTTTTTATTTATTTTTTGTTAATCACAAATTTCAGAATTAGCTCTTATTTATTTATTAGGTGTTTGTGTATTTTTATTGGCTTTGTTAATATATGATTACTTATTTTTTATCTAGGATTGAATATAAGAATGCTCAGTTTATTATTCCTGTTTAATTTTAAATTTTGCCATTTATCTGACTGGCTATGATTGATAAATTTCTCTAGGAGGATTATCATATTATGATACAATTTATTATACATTTTCAACAGCAAACATTATTTAATCAAGGAATTGTAATAATTGTGATCTAGTGACTGGTTTTTAGAGGTTGCTGTTAGTGGAATCTAATTTTGGCAACGATACACCACCTTCTCTTTTATTTTTGGGTATATTTTATAATCTAGTTTGAATATTTGGAGACATAGATTTGTCAGGATATTGATTTTAAGTGTAAAGACGATTAAGGTGATTTGATTTAATGCTAGGTCGTTGATGGAATTGCTTCAAAGATTATAATTATTTATTTACTATGCTTTAATTTAATGATATAATAGAAGAATTATTAGGATGTCGATTACTCTCTGTTTGAAATCTTGAAGTTCCTTTTTCCTTTTACTTTTTGAGGAGATTTGAATTGAAATCTTTTAGGTATTTATCTTTTTTTGAATCATATTATTTGACTCCTCCTTGATTTGCTGTTTAAATTCCATCAAGTTGAAATGCCGGGCGTCTACACTGTTATTCTAAAAGTGTACTTTTAAGGATTCATCTAGAAAATATAATAAATTAAAAAATTTAAGCAATATAATGAATTAAAATATTTTCGAGAGTGCTAACCAAAAATAAGTAATTGTTATGTTATTTATTGAATAATAGTAACTTTATAAAGCATTATCAAAATATAATGGTCCAACAACTTCGACACCAAGTATATTGTCAGAATATTTATCATCTGCAAAAACATAGACATCAAATAATAAAAACAACTTTAATAAAACAAAGCCTTTGTTAAGTCCATAAAATATTACTAAGCCTATTTAAAATGATTCATTAAGAATTAAGACTTCCACTCTTCACATTACATAAAAACAACAGGTTTCTCATCATATTAAAAGTCTTTCCTCAGATATAAAATAGCAACCATAACCTCCTATAAGAAGGAGATTAAGATAAGAAAGAATGATTTTTCAATCAGAAACATAACAAGCTCCATTTTTGATCATTTAAAATAAAGTAAGAGATTCAAGAAGAATGGATACTTTTAGAAAGAGTACTTTACCTTCATTGTAGTTAGAATCACAAAGAAGTATCTAAAATACATCTCCAAGAATAACAGATATTCCTTTAGTGCCCATTCAATAAATAACTGAAATTCATGATTCAAAAAGCCAATTATTTTAAGAAGCAGAAAAAATATAAATGGACTAAGTAAATAAGCCAAATGAAATTGAATTTGTAGATGAATGCAAAAAATCATCTGAGTTATTCAATCATATAAAAAGATAGGTAAGTATAACTGAACCAAATAATGTACCAGAATCTCATAATACTAATGAATTTGAATAAGAGAACTTACATACTGAAAAAGAAGTTAATTGGGATGAAGAAGAATTATAATCATCAAATGCTATGAAAAAATTAAGCGTTAAAATGAAATTCAAAAATGCTGTTTCTCAATAAGTGTAGAATATGTTTAAAAATAGAGAGGTAATATTTTTATTAAGGTAGTTAAAATCCCTATTTACTGTTATCATTTCACCTGAATTTAGTTCAAAACATGAAGAGGAAAGGTAAAAAATTAGCCATTAATTTGAATAAGGAAATTTTATATTAGCAAAAAATTTTTAAAATATGAAAGATAAATTTTAACCCAAATAAACTAATAAATATATTAAAGATAAATATATTTTAAAACATCATCACAAAATTAATGCTGTAATTTAAAATTAAATACAAAAATTACATACTACCAACAAAGCATTCTAAAGAAAAATATAAATGATTAAGGATACTTAATGGACAACCAAAGAATGCGATTAACCATAATAATAATAATTCTCATTATTGAATAAATTCAAAAAATAATCCATCTTTTCCAACCAGATTAATTAAGCTTAAATACTATAGAGTAATTTAGAATAAATTCTACCAAATCTTATGGATGATGCTAATAAAATTACCATTACTATTACTAATACACTTTTGTAAAATACAACTTTAGAATTTAATAAACCTAAATTTATTGTTCATATGGATTCTATTATTGATGAATAATTAATTCAGCCAATTACATCACCTAAAAAAACAATTCTGCATTCATCTTCTTTACATTCCTCTTTTAAATTACAAAAAATTTAAAATTCAGCTTCTTAATCTGTTATTATCAATAAAGATCATATTTCAAATCATAATATTTATAATAGTATTTAAAATGCAAATATTATTGAAGATAATAGCAATTTAGATTTTAATTAAGAATATTCTAAAGTAAGTATGCAAATATTATAATTAGTCAAATTTATATGTGAGATTATATTATTAAAATAGATTACATAAAATGCCACAAAAGATTTAATATACACAACATCATTTGAAAGAGATTGAAGAGGGTTTTTACTAATATGTCTCTATGATAACTGGTTCTTAGATGTAAATCTTGTTTTTTGATTTAGTTCTTTCTAAACTAGCCATTTTACGAAATAAGTTAAAAGCATAGAGATATCAAATTTAGTGTAGGAATCATAAATTTAGCTTGAGAGATATGATATTGCTTAGATAAGAAAATAGTTCTCATTTGATTTTGATAATTCGATTAGTTCTATAAGTAGTTAATCAGATTAGAGTAATTCATTTGATCAGATTTTAGAAGAACCTAATTAAAGTAATTGATTTCATAAAATTAGATTAGGATTGAAAGTTGATGATAGACATGAGAGTAAGATGAAAAATATAATATAATCGATGAAAAATTTGAGTGATGATTCTGAATCATAAATCTTTGTTGAGGATGTTGTTAAAAATTAAAAATGTATTTGAAATATCTTAAAATTTAGAAGTTTCAACTGGATTGTTAAATACAATAAAAAAAGTGAAAAATAAATTTCATTGTCCATTGAATGGATAGGCGATATTGAGTATTTTAGATTAAAGTACAAAGAATGATTTATTAACATTTTAAATAATGGAATAATCAGAAGAATAGATTTAAAAATTAATACATGGAGATTAAGACACAAATGCATTAACAAATTTAGATTATTTTTATACGTAATAATAATTACGAAAGATGATATATCATGGCATAGAAATGAGATATGAAGATATACTTATTGGAAGATATTAAAGTTAATCAAGAATGATTGATGTCGAACATTATGATTTGGTATAATCATCAATTCTTGAAGCACCTTAATAACATATTTCTTCATCTTAATAGTCTCAATAATCTCAGTAATCTTCAGAATTCTTATTGCTTCAAAAGTAAAAACTAATAAGCCTCAAAAATTAAGGGAAAAGTAGAAATTTATAAAGGGATAGTTTAACAGTTCTTATAAAGCCAAAGTTATATTCCAAGAATACTATAAATTCACCTGATGTAACTAATGTTCATAGTAAACCAACATCATAATATACAAACTAACTCACGTATAATATTTTTACTTCAGCTTCAACATAATATCTTACTAAACCCACTAATTAGTCATAATAATCTGTTAAAGTTTCAAGTGTTTAAAATTTAGAAGAAAATCTATCACATTTAGAAATGAGTCCATAATCATCATTAAAATCAATAAAATCTAAATCAGCCATTGATTCCTCAAATATTATAAGTTAAACAAATCCTCCTAAAATTAGAAAAAGTTAAAATATTAAAGAATTAGATAAAATGACAAAAGAAAAAGCAAATCAACATAAAGAATAAATTGAATTAAAAGAGGAAATAATTTATTCAAAAAAATAAAAATCATCTAATATTTCATTAATTTAATAACCAATTTTAGAAAATAAAGTATTTGTATTTATTTAATTTAGACTTTAAGTATGTTTTCTTATTCTTTACGTATGAGAAACTAGGCTCTTGGTCATAGCAGAAGATAAAACCTCGATTAATTCAAGATATTAGAATAATTAATATATGATAATGATTTCTAAGAAGTACTTTAATATAAATAGATAGTTTTATGAACATCTTTAATAAGTTCCATCAATGTATATAGATAGAAGATTAGAAAACAATGACACTTTATTGACTTTAGCTTCTAAAAGTGGATGCAAAGAAATGATAAAAGAACTTGTAAAGAAAGGAGCAGATATTAACATTTAAAATGTATTTTTTTACTTAAGCAGGATGATGGAAACACAGCTGTCCATCTAGCTCTTTCGTATGGCCATTATAAAATTGCAGACATACTAATTGGAGCCGGAGCCAACACTAATATTCTAAATAATATTGGTAAAAATGCTTGGAGTATATTATGATGAATAATCTCTACTATCAAATTCGTTTTATTTACTAACTTTAAGTATGTAAAAAATCTTTATAGGAGATTGGTTTATCTCCTCTGACTTCAGAATTACAAACATTCAGAGTAAATGTATAGTCAGAACCACTTATCGAAGGTCTTGGAGATTATGAACTCTCTTCTTTTAGTATAAGCAATCCTTGTATTTATTTTTTAAGCAATTCCACTTCTTAATTTAAACAATTAATTTTCTCATCTCTTTATTTATTTTCTTAAACTATTTAATCTACTTTCTTTTAAAGTTATTCTTTCTCATTTAAAGCTTGAGTGTATAACTTTTTATAGTCTTATCTATTCTCATACAAATATTCATGATTTTCATCATCTTCTGTCAAAAGATTCTTATATTTTAATGTCATATTGTTTCTACAATCTTACTTGTTTTATAAATTTATGATTTTATGCTCTAACTAATTCAAACCTTGTTTTGCTTCATTTATCATGATTCCGAACTTTTTTCTATCGTTTTCATCTTATACTGTCCTTAACATTGGTGATGTACTTTTTCTAGTCTATTAATCACGTTAAGCATCTAAAAATTTAAGTAATCCATTAATGTTATCAAATCCTTATTTTTTAAAAAGCGAATATAACTAATTTATAGTCTTTTCATCAGGTTTTGTCTTTTGATTAGACTCTGCATATGATGAATTTGATGAATATACTGCTGACTATCTTTTAGATGAACCTTTCAATATTAATTTATTGTACATTAAGATATATAAGGACTATTACATCGAGTTTTGTTTGTTTTATTCAATATGTCTTGAAAAGGAACAGAATTCATGTTAACTGATAAATTAATAATAATTTTATAAGAAATTGAGTATTATTATTTTTATAAACAATTATTATGATGCTTATCAAAATAATTTATGAATCATTATCAGATAATTAATTTTGATAACTTTCAATATGAACTCTTTTATATCATTTACATTTTTCAAAATAACTAATAAAGATTTATATAAGCTAATATAATATATATAATTCTAATTTTATTTCATTTTTACTAAATTGTTTGATTGCATCTAATTTTAGAAGATTTTTATTTATAAAATTACGATGATTGATTCATAAAATAATTATCTTTAAAATAATAGTTAATCTCAATATCATCAAAGTTGAATCTAGAGATGACTTGATAAAATCTAAGGATCAATATTTTATTTAATATTTATACTAATTTATAAGGAAGAAAAAAAGATTATTACTAAAGAGGAAGGATTTGGATGGGAATTATAAAGTAAATTCTTTTGAGATGATTTTATATATAATTAAATATACAAAATGAAAGGATTGTAGAGCACCAATAGAAAATTTGTGAATAATCACAAAAATTATTAATTATTTAATTATTATGGATCCCTCTAAAACATAAATGTTAAAGTTGTCACAATCAACAAAAGAGAGAGTGGAGGCCGCAAAATAATATATAGAAAAGAAATACTAAAAACTGCTATATGAATAAAAAGAGAAGAGAGAGAAGTGGGAATAATTAATTCAAAAATTGACAAATTTGAATTATACTTAGATTGAGCAATAAGTAATAAAATAGGACTTGCTTCATAAAGAAGCAGAAATATTGAGATTATAAAGATAGAAGTTGAGTATAAAAGACTTTGAACCAGTTGAGATAATAGGAAGAGGAGCATTTGGTGAAGTTAGATTATGTAGAAATAAGGTTTCAAATGATATAGTGGCAGTAAAAAAGATGAAGAAATCAGAGATGCTTTATAAAAACTAAGTATTGAATTAATAAACCAGGTATGTCACGTAAGAGCAGAAAGAGATTTATTAGCAGCATCAGACAATGCTTGGATAGTTTAATTGAAGTGTTCATTTTAAGATGAGAAGTAAAAATATATGTTTATGATAGATACTTATATTTAGTGATGGAATATTTACCAGGAGGAGATTTGATGACTTTATTAATGAAGAAAGACATCTTTACAGAGAAAGAATCTTAATTTTATATGGCAGAATCAATAATGTATATAAGATATGAATATATAAAAAAGGGCAGTTGATTCAGTTCATAAATTGAAATATATACATAGAGATTTAAAACCAGATAATATTTTACTTTAAGCAGATGGACATATTAAATTGAGTGATTTTGGATTATGTAAATATGTAGAATCTCGTGGAACAAGATTAGATGAAAGAATTAGTGTACATAAACCAGAAGATAAAGGTAGTAACACAACGAGCTTTAAAAGAAATAGAATTAAAGCATATAGTACAGTAGGAACTCCAGATTACATAGCCCCTGAAGTATTTGGGAAATCTGGTTATAATGAGACTGCAGATTGGTGGTCTTTAGGAGCTATTCTATTTGAAATGCTTGTAGGATATCCTCCATTTTTTTCTGATGATCCATCGTCTACTTGTTAAAAAATAATTAATTGGAAAAAAACTCTTGTTATTCCTCCTGAAGCTAAGTTATCTCCAGCTGCTACAGATCTTATTCTTAGGCTAATGACTGATGCTTCAAATAGATTGGGTGTTAATGGAGTTAATGAAATCAAAGCACATCCATTTTTTGCTGGAATTGATTGGAAGAATTTAAGATCTAAAGTATCTCCTTATATTCCAGAAATTAAATCTGAATTAGATACTAGAAATTTTGATAAATTTGAAGAATAAGAACCTTGGGTCCCTTAAGAGTAATTATTAAATTTAATTAATAAGTTCTGGTAAATCTATTAGAAAAGATGTCAATTTTATAGGTTATACATTTAATAGAGAAGTAGAAGTTTAAAGATCTTATCTTCTCTAAGCCTTACTTGATCTTGATGCTTTATAAGCACAAAAAACAGTAACTTTATATTTTTATTCAGGTTCCCACTGAATCTACTTCAAGTAAGTCTTAAGAAAAAAGAGATCCATTTTCCGTTTAACCAAAACCTAATAGTTTATAATTAGATTCAGATTTATAAAGTAAATTACTCAAAACTTAAAAATTATTATAAAATGCTTAATCCAAGTACTATTCAACTTCTATTTATTAGACCTGTTCTTACTACTAAATAGCAATAAGCACCAGGTTCAAAACTTCAATAGTAATTGAGTTTAAGTCCAACTCATTAGAATTTTAATTAATAAAGCTACCTTAAATAATTAATTAGTCCACAAAATAAAAAAATGGCTATATCCCCATAATCTAAACCTGTAAGTGAGCACTAAAATCCTTCTTTGGCATAACTCTATAAACAATTTGAAGTTTAAAAATAAGCAAGTAATACATAAAGAGCATAACCTAAATCATAGATTCAGATTCCAATTAATAATAATATTATTCCAAAGAAATGAGTCTTTAAATAACATATATGATTTAATAAAATTAATAGTAACTAATATTTTAATTATATATATTACTTTAATAAAAAATTAAAATCATTGCTCAATATTTTTTGGATTTATTGGTTATTATTAAGAATCTGATTCAAAAATCGATTATGTAAAAGAATCTTACTTTAATCGATTTGGTGACTATAACATTGTTTCAGCTCTTTTATATTAGTTTTTTAATATTTTCTTTAAATAAGCCTTTTTTGCTAAATCATAAATAGCCTAACCATTTTTTACTCCTGTTTAAATTGCCATCATTGCAAAAACAGATTCTTTATCGATTCCAATTGATGTTTTTGTATTAGTAACTAATAACTCATATGGATGTCCACATTCTAAGACTTTTCCCTCTTCTAATACTAATATCTTATCATAATCTGCAATAGTATTAAGTCTATGAGCAATTGTAATAATTGTACAATCACTAAACTTATCCTTGATAGTATTCTAAATGAAAGCATCTGTAGCCATATCTACATTAGCAGTAGCTTCATCAAGTATAAGAATCTTCTTTTTATTCAATAAGACCCTGGATAGACAGATTAGTTATTTTTATCCAATTGAAAATAATTCAGGTTGAACTTCTGATTATAATTATTTTGGAAGTTATAACACATAATCTACTAATCCAGTTTCTTTGAGAACCTTCCAAATTTTAGAATCATCAAATATATTTAAAGGATCTAAATTCTACCTTATTGTTGCTCTAAATAAAAATGGAACTTATGGTATAATGGCTACTTCTTATCTAAGTTTAGCTAAACCTATCTCTCTAATATCTTGATTGTCTATGAATATACTTCTAAATTAAATATATAATATATATTAATACCCATTTGGAGATATTTCTGTAATTCTTAACAAAGTTTAAATTATTGAAGATTTTCCAGCACCAGTTCTACCTACTACTCCTACTTTCTCTGTTCCTTCAATTATAAAACTCATTCCTTTCAATATTAATGGCATATTAATTCTATATTGCATTTCTACATTTTCAAATTCTATTTTTCCATTTTCTGGCCATCCTATTACTGTTAATTCATTATCAATTGGCTTATTAAGTTATGCTTCTATCTCTATATCACAAATTTCAAACATTCTATTTACACTATTCATTATTGAATCAAAAGCCATAAACTATCTTAATGTTCCTGCTTAAGTATTAAATGTAGATAAAAGTAAAAGAGCTTATGAAAATAATGTTGGATCTTCAATCATTGCTATTATTAAAAATATTCCTGTAATATTAGTAAATTAACCAAAAATATCTATGTAAAAACCAAAACATCTTTATGAATATGAAAATATTAAATTTGCTTACATTGATTGATTACAAAGAGTAAAAAATTACTCACGAATCCACTCTTAATTACAATTAATTCTTATTTATGTAATCCCATATAAACAAACTTTAAATTAATCAAATAAAGGAGATCTTTAAATAAGATCACAAACTTTTAATTATGACACAACTTATCTTGTAATTATAAAAATTATAATTGTCATCATAATTGTAAATACCAAAGGAAATGCAAAAAAAGGTTACAGAATTGCTATTGTGACTAAAGATACTAAAAATTATGAGCCTTATTCAAAGATATCTGTTATTATCTATTATATTTAATTATCAGCCAAAGACAAATCAGTTGAGAATCTATTTATTAATCTCCCTGAAGGATTTGTATCAAAATAACTAATAGGAGCTCTAATAAGTCTATTTAACATTGAATTATGGATTTAATTGTTGGATGTTAATACACCAACAATATTCAAAAAATACTTAATAATATTATTACAATAAGCTGCTAATACTAATAGACCTGCATTAGTAAATAATAGGGTGTTAGCCTATCTATTAGTTTCATCATACAAAGCCATAGCTCTATAATAATAATTATTAATAATTTCAGTAGCTACATTCTATCCAATAATAATTATTATCATAAAAACAGGTGTCCAAAATTAAAAATAGCGTTTATATGTATTCCAATCAGCGTCTGTCTAATTTTAGTCTTCTCTTGAAAACAATTGAATAATTTCTTTTTTTTCAATTCTTTCTGATTATTTATTCAATAGAGTTGCCAATCTTGTTTATTTTCTGATTAATTACTTTTTTACAGGCTCTACAATAGTAGAATTAAACAATGCCAAACTTTCTTTTACCTACTTATAAGTACCTTAATTTATGATTGTGCCTTTATCCAAAATAATCACATGATCACATTCTAAAGCAAATTAAATTTAATGAGTTGATAAAATAACAGCAGGAATAGAAAGTTAAAATTATTCATGATATTTATTGTGCTATTCTTATTTGTATTGTGGTTAAAATTTAAATATAAATTCTTTTATGCCATATGTAAATATCTTTCTTGCCACTTTTGCATCTACTGCTGATAATGGATCATCAAATAAATATAAATCAGCCAAAGAATACAAAGCTCTTGCTAAACTTAATCTTGCTCTTTGACCTCCTGATAAATTAGCTCCTTTTTCACCAATTTAAGTTTTATCACCATCTTAAAAAGATAAGACATCTTAATCTAAACAAGAAACTTGCATTACTTTTCTATACAATTCATGTTCAAATTTTTTGCCAAATAAAATATTATCTCTTACTGTTCCAGTGTAAATAAATGGATCTTATTCAACAAATGCTATATTAATATTCTTTTTAATAGAAAATTCTCCATCTATCTAAGGTAATTCTTCCAAAATTCCTGATAAAAGTGTCGTCTTTCCAGATCCAACTCTACCTATTAATCCAATTAATTAACCTGGAAATACTTCCATATTTAAATCTGATAATACTGGAAATGATCTTGCCTTCCATCTTAACCCTACTTCACTCATTGTTACATATGGCGCTCTTTTTATCATTGAACTCTATTTCTTTATTAAATTTGCTTACTATTCTTTTCCTTTTAAATTTATCGTATTTGATTTTCTTATCACACTTCCATTTTCAATACTAGTTAAAATGTGTCTTTTTTTTTCACTCAATGAAGAATTAGATGTTATTATTTAAACCACTCTTTAAAAAATTACATTTAAAGTCATAAACGCTTAAAATGCATATGAAACCTAAAATACACAATAATATTTTATCATTGACATTAATTATATCGTCCCAATAATTGATGATACATCAATATAAATATCATTAAAGTATATTATCAACAAAAATACAAATGATCCCCAAATATGAACACTATAATTAAATGATCTATCAATCAAATTTAAAAAATGAATTTTGAAATAACACATTACTTCTTCTTTTCTAAGTTATTCTATCTTATCTGAAAAAGCTTTCTCCCAAACATACATTTTTATCAACCTTATTCCCTCAATTAATTAATTTTAAGAAGTTATTCTATTATCTTATTTTTACTTTGCTCTCGTCAAAACTCTTTAGACTTGTTTTTAAATAAAAACTTATAATGGATAAATTAATATGCATATCACAATTGCAATTAAACCTATTGGACCATCAAATCTTAACTAATTTAATATTTTTATTTACCCATAAAATTACTGATGCAAATATTATTGAACCAGGAATTATAGCCAAAGCATATACAAAGTTCAGTTGGAATTCAATAGCATTTATATCACCACTTACTAAATTCATTATTTTTCCCATATTTAATTCATGAATTTAATACGCTTTTAATTCTAAAATTCTGTCAAATACAAAATTAGTTAAAATCATCCTCATTTTAGTTGAAAAATTATTGATTATATATAATTAATAATGTTTACTAATTAAAGCTATTAACGATAAAACACCCAAAATCATTGCTTAAATAAAGGCATACTATTTATCTCCTTCTTTTACTGATGCAATAAGAGTTTATGTTAAAATCGACATTACAAATCTTGAATATGTTTCACTCATGGCTAAAATGACAATTTTTAATGTTAACCATTTATTATCTTGAAAAAAAAACAATTTAAATAATTAAAATGATGTCAGCTATTCAGATATCTATATTATATTATTTATACTATTACTTTCAAATTAAATAGTCTCTTAGCCTTTTAAAAATTCGGCTATATTGTATCATCCTCATCTTATTTAGGAAGATGATCGAGGTTTAATTTAATATTCTATTATTTAATAAGCTTCTAAGCTGCTCTCATGTAATTAAATATATGAATCAGAAAAATTTAGGACAATATTGAATAATTCTAATAAATAGTATTTGTTTGAAATTCTTAACGTTTTTGTGAGGATTCTGGAGTTTGAGGTTCTGGAACAATTTTATTAAATTTATTTTTAAAAATTTCCAATAAACCTTGCTCTGTTCTTTAAGTATGCTCTACACTTGTGAATTACGAAGTTTAAGGTAATTACTTGAAGTTACCTTAATTTTCTTATTTTTGATAAGTAGTGTCTTTACTTATCATATACTAATTCTCTTAATCATGTTCATCGATTTATTCTGAAGGTTGTGATGGTGGCAAACTCTTTTCAATATTTACCATTTCATTTCTATATATTGAAATAAAATCTATATTATTAGAAGGAGAATCATCATCAGAAAGATCTTCTTTCTTTTTCTCATCTTGAATATTTGTAAATTCGATTTACATTCTTTAAGTTACAGCTTTATTATCAATATCTTGAGGCTGCTAAATTTAAATCAATCTTAACTTCGTCTTCATTAATAGTCCCATCTATAATTTGATCTGTCTTGGCAAAAGCAGACTTTTTTGCAAACTGAGATAAATTATCTTTGTTTTTCATTAATGGTATTTTTTTAAAATTGAATCAAATTCTTTAATTTTATTAACAAAATTAAATAGTTACAGAGATTTATTAGTTATGACAGTATTTAACTATTATTTTCTATTTATCATAATCAAAATGAATAAAAATACTTGGTTAAATCAAAATATTCAATTTTATATATCTCTATTTTTTATGAAAAAACATTCATCTTGCAGAATAAATTTTTAAGTTTTTTGCTACTTAGTTTATCTTGTAAGTGAAAAACCTTACTTTTTAATAGTTATATAGATTCAATATTAATAATATTTTATATCTTTATTCAAAATATAAAAAACTCTAAATTCAATTTGAGCAAATGTTTAACTTTGTTATTTTGGGACTCAATTTGATTTAAGTTTAATAAATAAAAGAATTTTATAAGTAATTATGTTACTAAATCCTTAATTTATAAGTGTTTTGCTTTGGTTATTTAATAGTTTCTCTTTAACTACTTGGTGTCTTTAAAATATTATGTCTAACACAATTATTTTTAATAGGAGGACTACAACATCTGTAAGTGATGAATGAATTGATTTATGCTTCATCTGAATAAACGAAATGACTGTTGCTTCCAAACTATCTATTTTAGCATTCTAAAACAGAAGGACTTTATTATCTTTAATTTAAAGTTGAATCCTATATTCCTCTATGAGATTTAAGAAAAATTTAGAATAAACCATTTATCTAAGGAGTTTTTTATTAATCTTTTTTTTTCCTTCTTGATATTTCAATCAAATTATCCATTTTCTATTGTATTATTTAATTTCTTGTTTTATGATCGAAAACTTTTAATTTCTAACTTTTTTTTAATTTTGCTAAATTCTAATCTAATTAAAGATCATATTCTTCTTCTACCTCCGTTTTATTTTAGAAAAATCTTGGATATTTAATATGTGTTGATTATTCTTAACTAACTTTAAAATTTGCATAAAAATTAATTTCGTTTTTATGCTTGTCTAGATCTTATGAATATGATTCAAAAATTTTTTCAATTAATGAATTTCTTTATATTTTATATATCAAGCCTTTGGAAGATGAACAAACTATGGAATACTCATAAGGGATTTTATTATGTAGATGGTAAAATCCAAAAATTTACATCTCCCCAATCTCAAATAGCTACAATCAAAGACATTATTTACAATTAGGGGTTAAGATTTGTTGATTTATTTTTTAACTTAAAATAGTCCTTATTTAACTATAAGAAAACTATCGGATTTTTCTCCTTCTTAAACTACTAATTGATTCTTCTCATATTCATATAAAAAAGAATTTAAATATATTGATGTTAATTATGTCCGATTCAGTTAATTAAAAATAGAAATTTATGCAAAGAAATCAATATTCTAATATATAGTAATAAATACTTGTTCTATCTTTTTTTTTTATTCATAATGTAATATCTATTAAAATTATTATTTATCCAAAATAGCAAAAATACAATCGGTGACACATCTGATAGTAGCTAACCTAGGTTGCCTATGAATAAGTGCCAATTCACCAAAGGATTCTCCCTTTCTTAGAATTCTTACCTATTCTAACTCATCAAAGCCTCTCCTTCTTATTAGCACTTCCACCTATCCTTCTAAAATCACATAAAATTTTGTTCCGATTGTATCTATATAAGATAAGGTTTGATACCTACATGAAAGACAACTTCATTTACTTGAAATTTTTCGATAATCATATGCTTGCAACACTCACGATGAATAATTACTCCATCTTCTTGCTTCTAATATTACTTAAAGAATGGTAGTTCTTAGGTCAATTAGACTAAAAGATCTAATTCTACTTTGTCTCGGTGTTATGGTTATTTTTTGAGCAAATGCAAAGTGTCTGTAAGGTGAGAATCTAGCATTTTATCAATTTTAGTTTAATTATTGAATTAATTAATATAAATTCATATAGCAAAGTTATTTATAAAATTTCAAGTTTTAGTTTAAATTATTATGATTTTTATGATTTTCAATTAAAAAACTATTTTGAATATAATATATATAAACGCAATATAACAATCAATCATATTTTTTTTTAAGCAGGTCTTTAATTATTATTTATTCTATAAATATCATCACTAACTTTTCCGAATTTTTCATTATATTAATTTAAAATGGCATGAATTCTTAGAGGTAGATTTTTCATCATACCAAGTTACTTTAATTATTTAAATTTAGGTTATTTGTCTAAATTAATAATAATGCTATTTACCAATTTTTTAGAACCAATCTAATGCATTAATAACTTTTTCTTCATCTGCTAATAATATGGCAGCATCTAAATAAAATGAAATGCTTTAGAAGGTTGGTTACATTTAAGCGGCAACAGTATCAAAAATTTTATAGAGATCTAATAATCTTTTTTCAATAAACAGAATTTCTAAAATTAGAATTGAAATTACTTATAATCTATTCGTATGTAAATTAATCTTTAGGAATTTAATATTAATCGAATAATGGCAAAACTTAACCTTCAAGATCAGGTAATCTATTTGCTGTTACCATTAATTCACACATAGAATTTAATGATCTTTAAGTTATCATTTATTTTGATGCTGCTTCATTAAAAATCTTCCATGCATCCTAAATGTATAAGTCAACAATTTTATTTTCTAAGTTAGGTAAAGAACAAGCCCCAATATATACTCTAATAATTTAAGTATAGATGTATTTATTAAGTGTAATTTTATGCTAAGACATTTACTTTAAGACTTCATGAGCAATTTTGACATCTCCACATTGTGAACAAGCTTTTAAAGTACAAACAATAGTATCAGAATCCATTTTAATATTAGTTAAGACCATTTTTCTATAGTACTCTAAAGCTCTTTCAGCATACTAAGATTAAAAAAAGTAGAATTACATCTTTTCTTGATCCTAGAGCTTTGATGATTGAATTATATATGTAGGTAGTGTCTCTAAATTCCATATCATTCATTTATTCATATAATTGAATTGCTTTTTCAGCTTCATGAGTCTATGAGAAATAAAAAGATTTACATCAGCACATATTTCAATCATTAATCCAATTAAATTCTCATCTGGTTTAAGACGGGATTCTAATCTAGCCTCATCAAACAAATCCCAACATTTCTTCCATTATTTAACTCTGTAGAAAGAATTGATGAGAGTTGTGTAAATTGGAATATCAGGTTCGAATCCATCCCTTTTTAGATCATTAAATATTGTCATAGCATTTTCAGATTAGAGATTTTTGCAATATACATTTATCAATGTATTATAGAGATGCAAGGACTATCCAAATTCTCAATAATATTAAGTTATACATTTTTTAGCTATTTCATAACAAGCCTCAGCTTTCTCCACATTTCTCTACTTACCATATGCATTAATGAAGCACATGTATGTTTATAAATTTGGTTTAATTTTTAGTTCATTCATAAATTATCTTATTTCTTCTATTTATTCAAATTTATTTTATGCAATTACTGCTTATATTAAGAAATTGATAGATTTGATTTCTACGCTACGTTTTTAGAAATAGTTGGTCAAATTAGTGTCAATTTATTTCAGAATATGTTAAGGTTAATAACTATCTAAGATGCTCTCTTTAATGTTATCTTCATTATTAATATTTTAAAATAGTTTCTTAACTTCTTTGAATTCTTCACTTTATTTAGTTTGCTGAGGCTTAGCTATAGGTGCAAACATGGATTTGATGAATTACTTCTTGGCAAATTAGGCTATTAATTTTGTATGAATTAGAAACATAAATTAAAATAATTTATAAATGTTGAGAAATATGAATATTGTATATAAGTTAATTAAGATATCAATTGAGTATAGGATTATTAAAATGAAATAAATAATTGATTATACATAAAATAAAAATAAATAATTAATAAATGGAGCAACTCAAATAGCAAATCCAAGAGCAAGTGGAGGAATAAGATATAGTTGAGGATTTAAATATTGAAGGTGTGAAAATTCAAAAATTCACAGAGGAAATGGCTGCTCTCTTTACTCAACATTAATAACTTCTTGGTTTGACATTTGAGAAATGTGGATTGACAACACTTGATGGTTTTCCAAAATTAAGCAAGTTATAAAATTTAGAGTTGGAAAACAATTCTTTAACAGGAACAGCAATAAAATTTATAGCAGATAATTTCAAAGAGTTGATAAACTTGAATTTATCACAAAATAATATTAAATCAGTTGATGTAATGATGAAGTATATCATAATAGGAATTGAAGCCTTTAGCATCTTTAACTAAATTGGAATCTTTAGAGTTGAAAGATAATCCATTGACCAAAGAAGCAGGATATCATAAAAATGTATTCTAGCTTTTATCATCACTTAAAGTTTTAGACAATAAAAATTAAAAGGGAGAAGAAGTTCTAAATGTATAATTTTATATTATTAAATATTAGGATGATGAAGATGAAGATATAGATGATGATGAATTTGATGAAGATGGTGGAGATGATTCTTTTGATGATAGTGAAGAAGATGATGAATCAGAAGAGCCAGTTAAACCAATAAAAAAAAACAAAAAATGACATTCTTTTGTTTTGCCCATAAAAAATATAAAATACCGCCAAATTATCATTTCAATATTCCATCTTTTATCAATTCATCAACATTTCTAATACCAAATTACTTACAAATCTAATCTCTATGTTCATTTAAATAAGGCGCCTATTTTGGATAATCCAAATTTATATTACTAAAACTAAGTGGATTTCTAATTACTTTCTCTCCATTCTCAAGTTCTAAAATCATATTTAAATCCTTTGCATGTTAACTATCTAAACATTGACCAACTGATTTAACATCTCCTACAGGAATCTTATTCTTTTTCATTTCATCTATCAATTTATCTACATCCCAATTCTCTAGAGCCTCTTCTATCATTTTCTTTAATCTTTCACTATTTTAAACTCTTCCTTTATTATCTTTAAATTCTGGATCATTTATCAAATGATTAAGATTTAAGATTTTACACAAAGATTTGAATTAATTATCTTATGCCACTCCTATTACAACATATTTATTTTTCACTTTAAATGTTCCATAAGGAGATATAGATGGATGTTGATTCCCCATTCTATGCATATCTTTTTTCCCATTTATATACATACCACTTACATTTACAAGACTAGCTATTGCACTCTCATATAATGATGTCTAAATATGACATCCTTTACCTGACTGAATTCTCTCATATAACGCACCTTATATACCATTACAAAGATTCAAAGCTGTTAATACATCAATTATGGCTACACCCACTTTCATTGGTTCTCTTTCTTTTTCACCTGTTATATGCATAAAACCAGTTTCTGCTTACATTATATAATCAAATCCTGGCTCATTATTATTTGATCCAAACCCATTAACAGAAGCATATATTAATTTTGGATTTATTTTTGATAATTCATCATAACCTAGACCTAATCTATCCATGACTCCATATGTAAAATTCTCAACTAATATATCAGATTGCTGAGCTAATTATTTTATAAACGAATTTCCTTTCTTCAAATCTACGCAAATTGATTATTTGCTTCGATTTATTGATAAAAAGTATGTGCTTTAATTATTCAAGAATGGAGGTCCCCATTTACGAGTTTCATCTCCTTCAAATGATTCTACTTTTATTACTTAAGCACCTAAATCTGAAAGAAGCATTGTTGCATATGGTCCAACTAAAATTCTAGACAAATCTAAAACTTTAAGCTATTTATACATATTCTAAAAATAAAAATCTCATTAATCTTAATTTTTCTTTGCTATCTATAATCCTTTTTTTATTTAACTTATCTTTCTCCCTTTTTTTTTTTTTGATGATGATCATCATTTAATATCTCTACTTGATTCAATTCTTTAAAACTCTTCTATTTTTGTATCTACTAATTTATTAATAATTATAATTGTTCATGAGGGATTTATAAGAAAAATTTTTAAGAATGAAGATTTTAACTTATAAATTTAATAAAGAGCTAATTTCAGAAACAGAATAAATAAAATTGAGATGATTCATTCAAAAAAATTGGAATTTTAATGGTATAATTAAAATTAAAAAGATAATTCAATTAAACTTAGATTAATATTATTTATATCAATATAGAGTAATCATATTTATTCTCTATTCTAATTTTTATTTTTATTCATCATCTTTTTAATCTTTTGGAATGGTAAAGAAATAGTTTTAATTGATTTAATTTTTTTTACTACCTACTTTCTAAATCCAAATAAGATTCTTTATTTCTTAATTTTTAATATCTCGAAATAACTTTAAAACTGTAATCAAAGAAAAAAATTGCAGTGTTGATGATCCATATAAGTAAATGAGTTATCCTACTGGATTTCTTATTAAATCAGTTAGTAATACTGTTATACTCAAGCCACCAAATAAAATTTCCAAAATAATTCCAAAGTAAACCAATAATTATATCTTAAATAAAATCTATCTGTCAATAACTAAATTAGCTGATTTGTTGTTGTACTTTTCTTAGTATTCATCAGATTAATAGCGAAGTTATTAGGTTTGTTATTCTATTGAACAATTATTGAATAAGCTTAATTTTTTATTTTCATTTTGTGATTTAGATTTTTAATTTTATACTTCTGATAATTTTCGTTTTTCAGCCTATTCCTTAGTTTCTTTTACAGCTTTTATTTATTATTTAACAGTTTCTTAATAAGTAAATCTATCATCATCATTCTCCCATTTTAGATCATTTAATTAGTCTTCTTTAAGACAACAACTATTCATTTATACTTCTGGTTATTCTTATTAGAATTGATTTTCAAGTTAAGAGTTTTCAGGTTTATTTTCTTAATTTTTTTGAAGATTTTTTAATTGTTTTAAACTTTCTTGTCTGAAAAAGGATGAACCCCTCATTCCTTTAATAAAAGTTCTTGCGAATGATACAGATTTAATTTTTGTAACTGCAATTTTAGGTTTGATTTCTTCAGTTTATTTGACTTCATCTTTATTTTCATTTTTTTCATCTTCAATACTCACTTATCTAGACATTCTAAGATATCGATGAATAGATTCAGGAGACTTACTTAAACTATCATTTTAAGGGATTTGATCAATTTGATCATTATTTAATTTTTATTACTCCATAAATTTTACTTTGCAATTAGAAATCTATTCTTTAATACATTTTTGAAGAGATTTTCCATAGATTAGAAACTCAAAAATGAAAAAAAAGAAATTGGCTAATAGAAAAATATAGCAGAACATCAAAAAAGCAGGATATTATACACCTTTTCTAAGCCCTAATTTATTGGAATATAAATTAATACCATTCATAGTACTTACAGTAATCTATACTAGAAAGACTATAAAAAGTCTGAACTTTAAAACTTCCTTATAAAATTTGAAAATATATTTCCTTTTAGTCTTATCCTTATAAACATTGAATGATATTTCATCATACATTGTATACCAAACAATCAATAAACAACCATATATATAGAATAATAATGTGTAAACCACTTCTGATAATAATCTCTCAATAACAATGGTCTTTCCTATCTAGTATAATAAGAGCTAGTTATAATTACATAAATTTCAAAGGGATCTAAAATCAACCAAATCAGTTTGCAAGTTGATAATATAATCGTTAGAACAAGTATATAATTCTAAGGTGATCCTATTAAAGCATATGCATACTGAAAACAACTACAATTTGTTCAGAACAATTACGTGTAATAAGATGGAATTTTAGATGTCTTTAAAGAAGCCTAGAATTGACGAATTGTTATAAAGAGAATAAAAAGAAAAGCAGCACAATAAACACCTTAGAATGTGTAATAGGGAGCTATGTAAAGGTCTTATAAATTCTCATAACACTCATCACCAAATGCTCCAATATCACATCGACATATGCCATTAATCACTATTCCTTTGTCACAACACTCTATCTCGCATTAAGACATTATAAATTTATAAAGTAAAATATTTACAACCTTGTGTTTTATTATGTTCTATTGTATATATTATTAATATCTTACATATTCAAATCAGAACTTCATTTCTAAAGTAATAATTAATCTATAAATAACAAACACATTTTCAAATTTAATAAATGATTGAAGAAGAAGATGTTATTAATACTTCATAGTTAAACAAAATCATTTAAATTTCTTATATGGGAGGCAAATTGTCAAAATTGTAGCTATAACAAATGAATCTCGAAAAAATTATTAATTAGTGTATAAACTTAATTAAGGAGGGAATTTCATTTAGAGAATGTACCAACTATTTAAATGGATTGGCTATGGTTTATTTAAAATAATATTAGCTTTTAAGATAAGAAATTATCAGTCTATAGACTTCAATGATGAATAAAGAAAACTTTGTTGAAGTCGAAAAAAAAGAAGCACGTTCAAAAAATAAATAAACTAAATCCAAGTAAAATTAACAAAAAGAAGCAATTACTGAATTATAAGAGCATTCTAATAGTTCAAGAGATAACCCTAGAAATATTGCAAGTGCTGAACGCTTATAATTAGATTCTTAAAAAACTCCATTTGATATTAATTTGTATTTAAGAAAGGAGGATTCAGATAGTTCAAATGGATTTGGAACTGCAAATTTCATTCTTAAAGATGTTTAATCTATTGAAAAATAATCCTTAAAAGAGATTCTAAATAATAGAAGGAATTAAAAAGAAAACTCTTAAGTCTCTTCTAAAGATACTCCATTATTACCACAAATTATTGTCAATGATGCAGATAATGAAATATAAGAAGAACATTTTCAATTTTAAAATTCAGATGATGAGGAAATAATAGATACAAGGGTTGAAGTTAAACATGGAAATATTATGAAAGCTTTGGAAGAATTTGGAATTAGTTTTGATTAAAATCAATATGCAATGAATCAAACCAATTTAAATGATAAGAGCAAAAGAAATACTAAGAAATAATAAAATACACTTTCTAAATAATTAGATCTTTAAGATAAGGATCGAGTTCTTCATGAAAGTTATCAAAGAAATTTAGAAGAATTTATTAAATATCAAGATAAGATTGATGATCTTCAAATGAAAATGGATCTTATAAATCTTTAACCTGAATTCTGGTCAAAATAAGATGATTTAATTCATATGATCAATTAATATGAGATACCACTTAATCAAACTATCATCAACAAGTATTAATTATTATTTTATTTAGTAAAAATTTACCCCCTATATCTTCATATTCTAAAATGTAAGGTTTGACAACTTTTGATAATTCCAACAATTAGTTTTAGGAAATCAATAGTTTNGTTAAACAAAATCATTTAAATTTCTTATATGGGAGGCAAATTGTCAAAATTGTAGCTATAACAAATGAATCTCGAAAAAATTATTAATTAGTGTATAAACTTAATTAAGGAGGGAATTTCATTTAGAGAATGTACCAACTATTTAAATGGATTGGCTATGGTTTATTTAAAATAATATTAGCTTTTAAGATAAGAAATTATCAGTCTATAGACTTCAATGATGAATAAAGAAAACTTTGTTGAAGTCGAAAAAAAAGAAGCACGTTCAAAAAATAAATAAACTAAATCCAAGTAAAATTAACAAAAAGAAGCAATTACTGAATTATAAGAGCATTCTAATAGTTCAAGAGATAACCCTAGAAATATTGCAAGTGCTGAACGCTTATAATTAGATTCTTAAAAAACTCCATTTGATATTAATTTGTATTTAAGAAAGGAGGATTCAGATAGTTCAAATGGATTTGGAACTGCAAATTTCATTCTTAAAGATGTTTAATCTATTGAAAAATAATCCTTAAAAGAGATTCTAAATAATAGAAGGAATTAAAAAGAAAACTCTTAAGTCTCTTCTAAAGATACTCCATTATTACCACAAATTATTGTCAATGATGCAGATAATGAAATATAAGAAGAACATTTTCAATTTTAAAATTCAGATGATGAGGAAATAATAGATACAAGGGTTGAAGTTAAACATGGAAATATTATGAAAGCTTTGGAAGAATTTGGAATTAGTTTTGATTAAAATCAATATGCAATGAATCAAACCAATTTAAATGATAAGAGCAAAAGAAATACTAAGAAATAATAAAATACACTTTCTAAATAATTAGATCTTTAAGATAAGGATCGAGTTCTTCATGAAAGTTATCAAAGAAATTTAGAAGAATTTATTAAATATCAAGATAAGATTGATGATCTTCAAATGAAAATGGATCTTATAAATCTTTAACCTGAATTCTGGTCAAAATAAGATGATTTAATTCATATGATCAATTAATATGAGATACCACTTAATCAAACTATCATCAACAAGTATTAATTATTATTTTATTTAGTAAAAATTTACCCCCTATATCTTCATATTCTAAAATGTAAGGTTTGACAACTTTTGATAATTCCAACAATTAGTTTTAGGAAATCAATAGTTTTGATTAAGGAGAAATATCAGAATTTTAAGCTATGGATTCCTTTAAACGTTCAAATGAAATTGATATTAAAAGCAATGAGTATTAATTGTATAAGAGATTGATTTAAGATTTGAGAAATGAATTTGCAAAAGAAAATGTTATTAGTTCAATAAATGTTAATATTAATTTAATTTTAATTTAGTATTTCAATTTTAGATAAGAAGAGAATAAAGCAAAAAGCTTTTATGATTTATTATTGATGAGTCGCCTTGGTTTGTGTTAAATTAAAAAGGAACAGTAAGTTGGAAGATATACAAACATGTCAATAGAAATATGATAAATTTTGTTTTATTATTAATATTTTTTTAATAAAAATCATCTATGTTTTCCAAAAATTAATGAATGAGTTCTTGTGAGTTTTTATTAAAATATGAACAAATTTATTAACTAAGATTACTGAATATAATAAGCAGTTAAAATAAATGATTAAAATCCTGAATTAATTAAATTTATAAAAAATAAACAAAAAAGTTAGAGTTATAATTATGAAGGAATATCGTTAGAGCTGGAGTTAAGAGGTAATTCTAGTAAATAATGAATAGGAAGATTAGATGCTATAAGAATTATACAAAATTTGTGGCGATAAATGGAAAAAGATCGCAGAGTTACTGCACTTAAGATAGAAATAATAAAGAAAAATAAGAACTGCAGCAGCTTGTAGAGAGAGATATCAAAATATTCTAAAACCTTCTTTAAATAAAAATGAATGGACTAGAGAGGAGGAACAAAAATTGTTTTAATTATAAAAACTGTATGGAAATTGCTGGACTAAAATTACTATAAAGATGAGAAATCGATCAGAGCTGATTTGTAAAAACTACTTTTATGCTACTATCAGAAGAGTACTGAGAAGATTGAGCAAGTAAGTTGGCATCTTAAAACGTAATTGTAGTTATATAGTAATTTAGCTTCTCAAATGTTAAAATCTATTAAGCCCAGCGTTCTAATGAGTATATATTTGGAAAGAAATTAAGAATCGTAAATGGTTTTTAGAGAAGAAGTACGTCTTCAATTGAAGTAAATGATAACTAAATATTAATTTATTCAAAAAGAAGAAAATATCTAGATCAATTATGATGAAATTCAAAATATTAAATAATTGATTCAAGGATTAGTTGATGCTAAGTATTAATATTATTTTTAATTTAGTCATTAATATTTAGAATTAAAGGGAGGGTTTTAAGTTTAAAAAAAAACTAAATCGAATATACTGATTAGTAAGTAAATTTAGTTGGAATTGGAAGAAGAAAGAATTATTAAAAGAATTAAATAGTAAAAAAAATTATTTGTGATCAGAAAACGGAAATCCCAAAATTAACCACAATTATAAGAGTAAAATCTAAAAAATAGCTCTTTTAATGAAGACAAGTGTTTTAAAAAATAAATCACCAATTATAATTGTAAAACTTCTGATAATTAATTGTAAATCTAAGAATAATACAATCTATATTAAACTTAAGCCTATCTCTAAAACTACCTAGCTTATTCTAAATATATTTCCTTATATTAGTTATAGTATGGAAACTTATTTGATCCAAGCATGTATTTTTGTAATCAATACATTCATTATCCATTTTAAATTTAATAGAGATTATGAGATTGAAAAATTAATTTGATAAATAATTAACAAATGCTTAAACTTAATATGTATTAATAAAAATACTATATAAAAACAATTTTATATCATGATTAAACTTATATGTAAACCTATTCTTATTTGTGATCCTTTTATTGTAAATCTTGTTTGGCGAAAATGTTAAATATTTACTCTATAGATGCTTGTTTGATGGAGTATTGTGAAATAGTCAATTATTATTTATTTTTTTCAAAAGCAGAAAATAATTTTCCTGCAGAAATATTGGAAAGTAATCTAATCCTATAAAATGTTTAGAAGTGTTCGATAACTTCATACTGTCCAAGTTGCTATTAAATAAAGTTTAATAATTGATTTCCATTCTACTCGACAAGAACATATTCTGCTAAAGTTTCAACACTGATTCCATGTCTATTTAAATCATTATACAGATGTGCTCCTGATTCTTTAGGTTTGATATAATTGATCAATTATGCTTAATTAATTTTTTAAAGAGAACTTAAGGTGGCTGATTAATTAAGTTTAATGCCTTTACTCAATTCCATTTAATTGATAAGTTAATCAAGTAGATTAATTTTGGGTTTCTACAATTTAATTTCAACTTCGTATCCTTGGCCATACTTATTCTTTACATGTTAGACAGATCCAAAACATCTCAAGTTACCATCAACTTAAATGGCAATTTTAGTAGAAAGTGCTTCAGCTTCTTCCATTGAATGAGTAGTTAAAATGATTGAACTTTATTTTCTTTAAGTTGAAATTCTGGATATTACATTCCACATAAATCTTCTAGCTTCTGGGTCCATACCAGTAGAAGGTTCATCAAGAAATACAATAGGTGGATTACCAATCATAGCAATAGCAACTGATAATTTTCTTTTATTACCTCCTGATAATTAACCAGCCTCAACATATTGAAATCTTTTAAGATCCATTTCAATCATTTTTTTTTCAATTAATTCATGTATATGTACATTTGAAATTCCTTTAATTTTTGCAAATAATTCTAAATGTTCTGAAACAGTTAGATTATCTAATAAAGCATCAAATTATGGACAATATCCAATATTTTTTCTGGCATCTTAAATTTAATCAACAACACTATATCCAGCTACATAAGCACCTCCAGAAGTTGGTTTTAATTCTCCTGATAATATTTTAAATGTGGTTGTTTTTCCAGCACCATTAACACCTAATAAACTAAAGACTTCTCCATTAGAAACTGAAAATGAAATATTATCAACAGCAACTTTATGTTATTTTTTTTCTAACATAAATACTTTTCTTAAATTTCTAACAAGAATAGCTTAATCTTTAGGTCTATAATTTTAACAAAGTTATTATTCTTTTTCTACATCATCATCCAGTATTTTTGGATTGTATGGAATGGATGCTTCATTAGATCCCAATTTTTATAATGAACCATTATCTTCAAAGAATTCTAAAATAAATACTATTAACATGTATCCAACTCCACTAATTGTAAGTATAAGTAAATCTTGACCTGCAACCCTCATTGCAAAAGTATTAGGTGGAGTAATAGAATTTTCAAAAATTAATTCAAAAAACTATTTTTGACTTGTTCTTAATAATCCTAAAGCAAAAGAAAATGATGGCACTGGTCTAAATACCCAAACTAAATAATTGGCAGCATCTTTTGTAGAATCAATTAAAAAGAATATATAAATGACAATACTAAGAATAGATCCAAATACAAGATGAATAAAAAATGAAGATAACAATGAACTTCCTGGTACTTTAAAAAAGAAACTTAATGCATAACTAAAAGGTATAATAGCCCATCCATATAAAATAAAGAATAAAAATATTGCTCCATAATTACCATCTAAAATTAATGCATCAATATCAAATGCCAATATCATTAATGCACTCACAATTGCTGGTATTAAATGCTTTACAATATCAATTATCCAATTACTTGTCCAATAAGCTAATACTGAAACTCCAGAAACTAATTATTAATGTTTTATATTAATTTCTCTTTCTTTTACTATAAATGAAATTATTGAAGCTGGAATAAATGCAAAACCTATTGAAAATATGAAAGCTGATAAATATCCTGCAACTGATTAATCTATGCTTTTTTCATTATAAGTTTGTGGAAATGGATAAAATGATAATTCAAGTCTAGCTGAAGCTGTGTTTGTAACTCTCCTTAAAATTGCTTAATTCATTTAATTTAATAAAAGTGGAGAACTTTGAACAAATACTGAATTTTGTAAAAACCAATAAGAATATGTAGATCCAATAACTTAATTAAAAAAATACCATCCTGGACTTTTTCTTAATTCAAATTAATCGAAGTATTCTTAATCTGCTTTTTCCAGATTTGAGGATAACTTTTCCACACTCCATTCTGAAGTCGAAAAGTATTACATTAAATCCAATCCTGCTTAATCTCCTCCCCAAAATAATTACAATTTCTAATCAACATACATACTCTATGGTGTAATTATAGCTATTTCATCATCTTTCATCCATTTTACAGTCATTATTGCTAATCCAGAAATTACTACTAAAATTGGTACAAAGATTTCACAAATTAAACCTCTTGTATCCCTTCTGAATATTCTTAATCTTTTTTACATCAATGCAAATAAATGTTAAAAGAAAATTGAAAAACATCCTTCAATTTTTTCAATCTTTAAATCTATATTTTAATTTATCTCGTCTTTCTTCTCTCTACTTTGTATATCATCTACCTATTCATGTCCAGCTCCTATTTTTGCTACTTTTAAAAATACTTCTTCTAATGTAGTTATACTTATTCCATATGTTGCTATGTGTAAACTTTTTAAATTTTTATCTAAATATTCAAATAAATTTGGAAATTAAACAACTGAATCTATTGGTAATTAAATTACTATTTCAGCAGAAACGTTTGATAAAACAGTAGCAGAGTTTATATAATTAATTACATTATCTATAATTGGTTGAGAATCAATCTATGTATTTTCTTTAACTAAAGTTATATTATATCCTACTCCAAATCTATTCTTCAAAAATACACTACTTCCAGAACACAATAATTTACCTTCACCCATTATACCTATTCTATCACCTAAAAAATCTGCTTCATCCATAAAATGAGTTGTTAATACTATGATTCTATTATCTTTGTAATTCTTTAACATTTCCCAAATATATCTTCTTGCACTTGTGTCCATTCCTGATGTAGGTTCATCTAAATATACTAATTTTGAATTCCCAATAAATGCAATAGCTACTGATAATCTTCTTTTTTATCCACCTGATAGATTTTTACTTAAATAATCTGTTTTATCAGTCAAATCTACATCAGCTATTATTTTAGTTATCTAATCCGAAACTTCACTAGATTTCATTCCTTTGAATTAAGCAAACAATTCTAAATGTTCTTTTACAGTTAGATTATCAAAAAGGATATCATGTTAAGGACACACTCCCATTATTTTTCTTAGTTCTTATAATTAAGTCTTAACATCAAATCCATAACCTATAACATCTCCTTTTGTAATTTCTAATAATCCCGTAAGCATAGATATAGTAGATGTTTTACCAGCACCATTATGACCCAATAATGCAAATATCTATCCTTAATACATAGATAAATTGAGGTTACTTACAGCCTGTTTTCCATTAGGATATGTTCTATATAATCCATTTATAATAAGTGCTTCATTTTTCTATTCTTATTCTTTTAAGGCCTATTCCACTTCCTCAAATTTATCATCATGTGTATTCATTCTTTCTATAGTCATTGATGAATGACTTATTCTATCCACTCTATTTTTCTACCAAATCCAATTAATAAAAAATAATGGATGTTTCTTTACTCCCCATTCATTTGGAAATACTTAATCTAAATATATGGCCAAAACCAAATATACAATAATATTGATCATATGCCAAGTCCAAGCTATTGATATGCTATAATTATTTATGGTTGTTGTTAAACTTGAAGCATCAAATCCATCACCTTAAGATTCCATAAGAGTAATCACACCAAATGAAAATACTAAAGAAGCTTAACTTGAAAATGAAAATCCCCAATATTAACTTCGACTTGGAATAGAATTAGCTGGTACCAAGTTCATCATTTAAAACATTAGTAAATACCATACTATTGATACAATTAGTCCAGTTAAAGCTTAAGAGAAAAAAACTGACAAAAAGAGTGATTATACAATTAGAACCAGGCAAAATAAGTAATAATTCAAGAATAAAAATCCCCAGCCAGATTCTACAAATATCATGCTTTCTAAAAATATAATTTTACTATTTACTTAGAATAGCTATGGCTAAAATTGATATAATTCCGTATATTAAAACGTACTGAATTATCCATGACAAGTAAAACTATGTATTGCTTAACCCCATAATCTTCATTCCTTCTCTTAACTTTTTTTCTTTCTCATAAATAATTCCATGAGTCATTCTTAAAAATACAATCATCAAAGGTAATGCTAGATAGATTCCGTATGCTCCATTTACAAAATCTGGAAACTTATCTTTTATATGTTTTCTTGATCTCACATGACTTAGAGTAGGCTCAATAGTTATGGATGGATCATATTGTTGAATAATTAAATTGTCAATCCAATTTTAAATAGTTAAAAATCCATTCTCATAAAATAAATATGTTATTTCCTAATCCTCACTGAAATATATTAAAAATAATTACTATTTAAATTGATTTATCTTATCTTTTCTGTTAAGCGGATACTCTATATAATCAGTTGAATCTGAAGTGTTGAATCTTAAAGTATAACTAAAATTCTTCTATGTATAGTCATCACTTTCAAATATAATTGCTAAACAAAGTCCTTCAGAATCTTTTAACTTATTGTATCCCTCTGATCTCACATAATCGTCTATTTCATCATTATTTTTGAACCATTTAACTCCATATCCATAATAATCAACAAAGTAAGTTGATAATTTTTAAGCCACTTCATTCTCTTATGGGCCTATTCCTATCATCCCATTTCTATAAGAGGCTCCTTAATTATCTCTATTATCTATACAATTCCTAACATAAATATATCACTTACTTTAATTAAGGTAGAGATGCTAACAATTTCTCTATGTCTTAATTAGGATTCTTTGGATAATTCATTAAATTAGGTGCTATGACTCGAGGAAGATCTGAATCCTTATTTGTTTTTAAATAAGACTACTCTGGTACATCATCAATTTCAACTTGTGCTCTATTTTTAAGATTAATAGTACCTAATTGTTAATAATAGGCAAATGAAAAACAATGGAAGTATGATTTCACAGATTGAACAACAATAATTCCTCTTCCATAATATATAGTTTTTTCTGAGTAAGGCTGTTAAGTGAGACATGATTTAGTAATTTATTTAATACGAATATCTATATCATCAAACTCTTCTATGGGATCATTCTATAAAAATTATAGCTTTTTATGGAATAAATTTATTATTCATCAAATTTTTATTTGTTTAATTGGAGCACAAGTTTGTAAGAATAGTAAAGAAAATATTAACAAATAATAATTTTTATATTTATAGCTTTAATCAATGTACCTAAAAATTACTTTTTTGACAGAATCAATAATAAACGATATTTAATAAGCAAGTTTAATATTTAATATAAATTTTTGATGATAAAGTAAAATTATAGATTTAAATGATTAGAGTTGATAAATGATATCTATTTTATCAAGTTTTTAAAGACAAATTTAGAAAATTTAATGTTTGAAAGTAAAATTTAAGAATATTTTAAAATTTATATTATTAATAAAATAATATATAAAAATAATTGAAAATTTTTAATAAAGAGAAGGGGGGGGTGGGTTTATAAACTTAGTAACTCTTAACTAAATTTGAATTTTTTATTTATTTATTGAGATGAGCAGCAGAGACGAATTGCTTTATATGGCCAGACTCACAGAGTAAACAGAGAGATTTGAAGATATGGTTAACTACATCAAACAATTAGTTGGTGTTGGATAGGAATTGTCAGTAGAAGAGAGAAACTTACTCTCTGTTGCTTACAAAAACAGTATTGGAGGAAGAAGAACAGCTTGGAGAGTCCTTTCTAGTATAGAGAACAAAGAAGAAGGAAAGGTATAGAAATCTCATTTTTTATTAATTCAAAAACTTATACCTTATATTAAATCATCTTTATATCATTATTGTAGGCTCAAACAAATCCAGCAAGTCAAAGAAATCTTGCCTTAATTAGATCTTACAAGAAAAAAATTGAATAAGAATTGAATGGATTTTGTAATGATGTACTCAACCTCATTGACACATCACTTATCAGGACAGCTACAAATTCAGAAGCTAAAGTCTTTTATTTCAAGATGAAGGGAGATTATCATAGATACATTTCAGAATATTCAAGCGGAGACCAACATAAACATGCTGCTGATGGAGCATTAGAAGCTTACTAACAAGCTTCAAATGTTGCTAATTCAGAGCTCAAAACTACAAATCCAATTAGATTAGGTCTTGCACTCAACTTCTCTGTATTCTACTATGAAGTTTTGAATGATCCAACAAAGGCATGCAGTTTAGCTAAACAAGTATTTATTTACAAAATATCTTAAAGGCTTTCGATGATGCTATTGCTGATATCGAGTAAATCGAAGAATCATAATATAAGGATGCCACCACAATTATGCAATTAATTAGAGACAACCTCACTCTTTGGACTTCTGAATTAGAAGATGAAGAAGGACCCAAATGAAGGAGGTATATGATATATATATATATATAAAATATAAAAATATATAAACAAACATCATCAAATCTCCTACCTCTTAAACTAGAGGTAAATGCTTTAACCTATTATCACTAAAATTTTACTTTAATTAATTTTCAATTCTAAATTTATTTTATAATATAAATTATATTCATAATTTCTTTATCGAATTTCAAAACTCCTTTTTTCTTTAAAAATATTAATCGTTTGATTACTCAAAATACTTAGTTAAAATCTTATTTTATTTATTTTGAACCAAATACACTGTCGTAGCATTGATAAATATTTTTTGACCATTTTAGATTTATTGATTTCAATTTATAAATTTTTTCATTGAATATAAATTTAACAAATTAGGAAGAGTATGATATAGGAAATGCTTTATAAGAATTTTAAAATAGATAACTTGATTAGAATAAGAGCTAAAAGCCTTTTAAAATCAAAAAATGATAAATAATCTTTTTAAACAAGATTTTTAATTCTTTGATTAAGCTTTAGTTGTCAATTCTTAAAATTTAATAAGATTATTTCAAAAAATACTTTTTAACATAAAAATAGAAGGTTGCTTATCCACTTTATTTACATTATCAGAAATGTCATAAAATATTAGAAAACTAAAATATATAAATAAAGGATTAATGTAATATTCAAATAGTATATCTATATTATATACTAAAGATTTTTTTATCCGTTTCTATTTTAAAGGAGAATTTTTTCAATAATAAATTATTTGTTAAGTTTTTTAAAATTAGAAAATCTTAAAAAGCAAATAAAAAAATAGATTTCAAATATTTATGGCAAAAGTATATTCTTTTTGATTTTCTTCTAATAATCAAATGAAATATAATTACGGCGTTTTCGGAATGGAAAAAATAGCAATTTAGCAATTTAGCAATTTAGCAATTTCATATTAAATCTTCTTCAATCATAAATATTAAGGCTTGATAAATGTTTAAAAAAGCAATTTAAGGTTAAACTAAAAATAAATTAAAAGGCCTTATTAATTATGGATTATGTGAAAACTTGATCAATAATATATTAATTTAAGTATTGAATCTTTTTTTGGATATTACATTATGAATATAATTTTAACATTATAATCAAACAGAAATTTAAGAGTTTACAATTGTTAATGTAATGAATGATAAATAATAATAAAACAAATCATGAATGGATGTAAAAACAAATTGGAATTGATTAATCGCCAACATTTTGAATAGTAACTTGTTTTTAAATGATATTTAATGTGTTTGGTCTAAGTATTCTTTAAGAATTAGTTGATTTACATAATATATTATGGTATTAATGTCTAATTGCAAATTTTAATTAAGAATTTTAGTTTAAAATTAATTAAATAGATTAATTTTGTTATAATCTAATAATGAAAGCGAATCCAGATTCTAATATTCTATATTTTGTAATTAAATTAATTATGTTAAGATTAGTTAAATATTTATTTAGTTCTTGTGAAATTTCTTTTTTTTAGTAATTAACTAAATTGCTTACAGATTCATTCATTTGAATTTCTGAGATTGAAGTTTCAAATAAATGTATGGGATTAAAAAGTTTTTCTATGTCTAAATCAGAAATTTATTAGAATGAGTTAATTTAATTGATGAAGTCAATTTGTGATTCATCCTATTAATATTTGGCTGGAGTCTATAGGCAGGAAGCAGTCAAGATTTGTTAATTAAGTACATCTTTTTATTGATGTTCAAGCATTATTTGATAAAGATTCTTTGATCTTGGTCTCAACCAAGTTGTAGTGTATTTATATTCTGTTGACTTCATAATTATTAATAATAATCAATCATTTAGTAATGCAATTCTAACATTATTTCTACAAGATGGACACAAAGGCTTTGTATTAAGCCATTCATCAATGCAAGAGTCATGAAAATAATGATTGCATTTAGGTAATTGTACAACGATCTCCATTTATTCTAATTAACATAAACAAATAGGACAGTCTTCTTATTATTATACATGATATTCAATCCATGGTTTTCTAGTCAGCCTCTACAATTCTTCTTAAGTTAATGCTCTATTAACAATAGGAAATTCTCCTCTAATGAGTCCGAAAATCACTATAAGAACAAAAAGGATAATTGTGCAAAAAGAGATAGCATAACAAAGAGCATTGCATAGTAGAAACAAATCGAAAATCCATTCACAGATCTATTAATTGTGTATTGTACTATAATATATATTGATCCACTGGATGTCTAAGCTTGGAATGAATTCACAACTTTCACAGTTGTCAAGAAAATTGTCATTTCATATTCAAATATACTTTTCTGTTTATAGAATCTACTTAAAAACAAATAAAAGACCTATAAAATGCAAAACAATTTTCTAGTCTAATTATCAATACTACATTTATGCTCATTAAAATTCTTGCCTAATTTGTATTCAGATTAGGCCATTCATAAATAATAAACGATGCAAATAAAATCGGTAGTACATATTTGAAAAAACCTTAAATTACAAGTATTATGATATCTATTAAGATCATATATCAAGGTAATTAAGGTTTTGATTTTTCTAATTTATATTTTAAAATATAGATATTGATTAAATATATTTGATAACATTAAATTTTTTTATAAAATTCATCTCAAATTTATTATTAATAGAATATTTTGAGAAGTAAGTACATATAAATAATTAATAGAATTTAGGAAACATGAAGATAATTTTATAAATATCATTCTATCATTAACTGCTTTTCCTACTTATTCATCATTAATTTTTTTTTAATTTTGTTTTAGTATAATAATCCAAGTTAAAATACTCCAAACATTATACCTAAAGTAATTATGCTAATGATATAAGATATTCCATTTCGCCAATTGATTCCTGGATATATTTCAATTCCTGTAACTAAAACATAGAACATATTCACTATTAAATAAATAATAGCAATAACAATTAATGCTAAAGATTATCTATTATCATAATATTATATTTTACTTTAATTAAAATTGTATGTCATTAAGTATAAAGTCAATAAAAATGAGAATACAACTTAAAAAATGAACATCTACATTTATCAACCATTAATTAATTGTATGAACATTATCTTATGGAAATATATAACTCCAATAAATAATCAAAATAGGTATTTCAAAGCAAAATGCAACAATAAACAAAATATGGCAGAATTTCCACATACTATCATTAAAAAATTATTTATTAAGTTTATAGAATGAAAAATTCTCTATGCTAACTAATCCAAAGTAAAAATAAGTTATATAGCCTCCCCATAAAGTTAAATAGAGAAAATTTTATGAAAATGTTGGAGTCACAACACTCACTTGAATAAGAGCAAAAGTCATAAAAATTGCTGCAAAAATCCTAAATATCATTAAGTATTTAAATTAGACTCTATGTGATTAATTGATTTCATTAACAATACCATCATATAAAAGTTGTTCTAATTATTTCATTTAATAAATATTTAATTAAATAATCAATCAAAACTTCTCTATCTGACTAACAAATGATATTTTGGAACCATATTTGATAATGTTTAATCTTCTTCAATGCAATCATCTTAAATTTCATAATTTTCAAACTACTATTTCATTAAATTTTCGAAGTATCTAGTTTCATTTTAAAATCCTTCATTTTAATTTTTACTTTATAAAAATGGTGAATCCTAAAAACTTTCATTATTGTTCCACAAGGGAGTACTGCTTTTAATGATGTCATCTTAATTTTTACGAGTAATCAAAGATGGAACAATATTAATAGGCAAATTGCAAAATGTTTCTGTTTTTGGGTTTGTAAACCATTCATGTAATAAAGCTTCTTCAGCAGAATATCTATTTGTTATATTTTCTTCTAAAAGTTATTTAACTAAGCTCTAAGCTTAATCACTTACATTTTTAATTTTTAGTTTATCATAATCAATTTTACAAAAATAATTACTTGCTATTAATTCTTCACTATTTTCATATTTAACATATGGCATTTCCCCAGTTAGTAAAATAAATAAAATAACACCTGCTGAAAAAATATCAACTTTATGATTATAAGCTTGATCCTTCAAAATTTCAGGAGCAACATAACCAACTGTACCACATCTTTAAAATAAGTAGATGTCTTGTTCATTGTAAAAATCAGAAAGCCCAAAATCTGCAATTACAATATCAATCATATTACTCTTTGTTCTAAAAATTAAATTTTCTGGTTTAATATCTCTGTGAATGATATTTTTTTAATGTAGATATTTTAATGAGCTCAAGAGATTAAACATTAGATTTTAAGCAATATGCTCTGTATAATCCTCCAATTAATTTTATATCTTTTTCAGAAGATCTCCTCCTTACAAATAATCTATAATTAAATAAATTCTTTCATGATCTTCAAAAACTTCATGTAATTATATTACATTCTCATGTTGAAGTTTTCTCATAATTTCTATCTCCAAAAGTAAGCTGTCCTAAAATTTAATCATTTATTACTCTTCCTTTCTCTTTTTATTAAACATTTTCTTTTGTAAAAATTTTGACAGCAAAAATGCTTGAATCTTATTTCCTTTAGATTTTGTACACTTTTGCATGAGTCCCCTATCCAATGAGTTTTAGTATCTTGTAACACTTCTGAAAATGTCTCTGGATTGTGTATTTGGCTATATGAGTTTTCCATTTTTAAATCACTTTTTTTTCTCCAAACAACTATAAAAATTCATTTCTCCCTGACAGTTATAAACCTTCAATCTTAAAATGATGTGAAATACTTACATTATTATGAGTTATACATTTTAAACGAAGATTATTCAAATTAATATAACAATTATTGGCCACTAAGAATTAATTAACTAACCTGTATTAAGGTCTTTCTATTAATTAATCTATCTCATCCTTAATTAAGATTGGGTTTTCATTCTATGATTGTTATAATTAGTGCTCTATTTATTAATAATTAGGCTATCCTTGATGCCACATTAATTTCATTTTTGAAGAATTTTGGTTAAAAATAGAAAAGCTAGATGAATCCATTAATTTAGAATTATATTAATTTCATGAAAAAGAGATTGATAATAATTTATAGACACATATTAAGATTCTGAAAATTCTTGATATTTGAATGCATCAAAATATTAAAATAAATATTTTTTTTTACTTTATTTATTTCTTTTAATTAAAAGAGTTAATGCTTCTATCAATAAAAAATTTAAGGGTTTAAAAATAAAGCAATATTAACAAGTTGGATCTTAAATATTAGATTTTACAAATCGACTCAAAAATAAGAATCTAATTTAAATGTTATAAATAACTTTCTAATATGATTTTATAATATGTAAATATGATTCATATTATTTTGGAAATAATATATATATAAATATTTATAAAAGCTGTTATTAAATTTGAATGTCAATTATAGATTAAATTGATTTGAGTTTAGAAAAAGCAAGTAGCCTTTAGTAAAAACGTTTTGAGGCAGAGGAATCTAAATAAAAATCTCTAAATTATGAGCTCAATTAATTAAGAAGTTAATTCGACGAAAGTTTAGAGGATTAAGATGAAGGTATGACTCCAGAGAGAAGTCATAGTTAAAATTTTAGTTAATCACAATATTCCCCATTAAGAAATGATATAAAACAATTAGAATTATAAAAGTAATTACTTCAATCATCAGAACGTAAATTATAGGAAGAAGTAGACGATTCAGATAATGATGATAATTAAGAATAGATATATCCGAAATATGAAAAAAATAATTTAAAATCAACTTAATAAGAATATCCTCATTAAAAACAATTTTAGTATTAAGGCAAAAAAGATAATAGATCATAAAAAGATGGTATTTCTAAAACGAGATCTAAAAAGTATTAAAAAGAAAATACTTAAGTTAAAAAAGATCTTTAATAGAAGACACAAAAATATATTCCGAAAACAACAGAAATTATTACAACAACAATAGAAAGAAGAAACGAAAAAGAAAATAATTATGTAATTTAGGATCAGAGACCTGAATATCAAAAATTGAAATAGCATATAAAATCAGTCAAAGAGTAGGTTTCTCATCAACTAATTAAAAATGAAAAAATAAAATAAGAAACTCAATAAAATGAAGAAAAATAGTATAAAATAAGAGGGTATAGAGATTAAGCTGAAATTAAATATTTTGGGTAATAATTGAAAATTATCTTTTTAGACGTCCTCTACCATGTAATGAATGTGTATTTTTATTAAATAAAGGAATGAGTTCTGACTATTGCTCTTAACATGGTAAAATGAACAAAGAAAGACCTCCAAATAAAACATTACCAAAAAGATTAGCTAAGTTTTTTTGATATTAGTTATTTGATTAATCAGTTTACTTGTATAAATTAAACTATATATAAAAATAATCACTAGAATTCCTTGAAAAGATTTGGATATAAAGTTTTATATTACTCTAAATATGCAATTGAAAGTGGTGGAACTTCAGGGTATTTTGCTGCTAATTTTTGAAGCCATTTTGAATCTGTTGGATCAATTAAAAATTCATAATATAATCTTGCTAGACATAACTCTATATAAATAAGAATAATTATTTACTTTTAAAGGCTTCTAGTTAAAAATAGACAGCTGCTTGAATAAGTTATTTAAGTAGATCGCCATTAAATGGATTAACTGGAAGCATTAATTCTTTATCATGCTAATTTAAAAATAATTAATCTGCATTTAAAGCTCCTCCAGCAATCTTTAGTGGTTCAAATTTATTATGTTCATAATATTTCTTAATGTAATCAAATGCTTTTAAAGTTACACAACTTTGCGGAATTTCAATTATCTATTGTTATATTTTGAAAATTATACATCTTCAGAATCTGGTTCTTTTTCAAATATTTCTTTAAAAAAATTGCTTACATTAGCATACTTTTGATCAATTTATACAATCTCTTTTTCTATCTTTAACTTAATAGTCCTAAGTGCTTATTACTATTGATTCATTAATTAAATGATTAATCGATAAACACTATTTTAAGAATGCTTTCTTTTATTTCCAAAATGTACATATTAATTTGTAATATCAAAATAGAAGAAGAAATATGTTATATAGTTGACAAAATAAAGGTGAGAAAAATATTTGAAGGTTAAGTTGAGTTTGATTAACAAGAAATCGAAATCTTGAAATAATTTGAAGCATATTTAATATCTAAACGCTTTATGCCTAAGTTCTCACTTTATTAATTTTAGGTGGACTGAACCTTAATTATTGAGGATGCTCTATGCTACTAAATTTAAGTTTGAAAAGACTTATGCAGCAATATAAGCCTATATTTAATGGAAAAAATAAGCATTTCCACTCAAAGAAAATTAGGAAACAACAAAATTCTTAGTAACAAATGCTAAAATATTTATTTTTAGTCAAGTGGTTCAATTTATCTTCATGGAAGGGATAATAGATTTAGACCAATAATAGTGGTAAATGCTATTAAATTGGCAGCATAAAAAAATATTGACATAACTTTAGATTCTATGACTATATTTCTTGAACATGTTTTAGCAAATTACATGTTACCTGGATAGATAGAGAATTGGTAAAATATAAATTCTAAATAAATTATAGGGTTGTTGTTATGGATTTGGGAGGTTTAGGAATCACAAGTTTACCCAGATAATAACTTTAAAGAGTTTTAGATTATCTCCAAAATAACTATCGTTCAAGGATGCATAAATGCTATGTGATCAATTGTCCTAGTACAATCACTTTTTCTTGGAATATAGTTAAAGGATTTTTAGAGGAAATCACAGTAAGAAAAATCTCATTTGAAAAATCTTCTATTCCAACTGGATTATTTGAACATTGCCACAAATCATAAGTTGAATAAAAATATGGTGGAATTTCTTCAAATATTTAAAACACTTTTTGGTAAAGAAAACCATAATTTCTTAAGGCCTCCATATGAGATTAGTTAAGAGTATTTTTTAGCAACAGACAATATCAAAGATATACTAATTTCAAAACAACAATATAATCAGCTATTTTAATTTGGAAAACTTTCAAAGAACCGTCTCTGTAAAGAACTTCTTGAGGACATAAGATAATCCTAATAAAATACTAATACAGATTAACATTTAGATAAAAAATTGAAAGAAGAAGTACCTGATCCAGAAGAGGAATAATTAGTTATTAATAATCTAATTTAAAATAATTAAGATTTTTACAAGCCAAGAGTAGAAGAGTCATTTGAAATGCCATTTTGTGAAACTACAATTCAATTACCATTCAATTTTATTGCTCATAAAAAAATGTTAAAACATTGAAGGAAATTATTATATTTATATATATCTATATTTAACAGTAATCAAAGTGGATCAAATTGGATATTAATTAAATGAAAATGTTTAAATTAATTTATAAAAGTTAAAGAAGTCTAAATATTAAATCGATTAACATTAGTGATATATTAAATATTATATATTTCTAACTTAAAAAAATGGGGAATGATTGCTCAAGTGCGTGTAACGTATGCAAAAATTCGGAAACAGTAATAGATGCTACATCTTTTCCAAATGATTTAAAATAATATGAGAACACTAAGAATTTAGATTATACCAACGTTTCTAATTAACAATAATAACAATCTGTTTAATAACAGAACTTTAGTTAATATTAACATCAACCTCTCGTGACAGAAGAAGTTCATTCACCCCATCCAGAATAGTTTAGATCTAATTCATAATTACAATAATATTTCTCATAAGCTGATAAATAAGAAACAACTAATTATCATAATGATTAAAATGCATACCCTGAAAGAAGACCACCATTTACATTTAGAAGTGGAGCTATATATGATGGTGAATGGAGAGGTCAAGTTCGAGAGGGTTTTGGACTTTAAATTTGTAATCATATGATCTGAAAATAGGGCCTGATGGAGCTAGATATGAAGGATAATGGAAGGATAATAAAGCTTGTGGTTAAGGAAAGTTTTGGCATGTTGATGGAGATATTTATGAAGGAGAATGGAAAGAAGATAAGGCAAATGGTTTTGGTGTTTATATACATGTAAATGGGGCAAAATATGAGGGATAATGGAAGGATGATTTATAAGATGGAAATGGGGTTGAAACATGGGCAGATGGTTCTAAATATGAAGGTAGTTATAAAGAAGGAAAAAAGCATGGATTTGGTAAATACATTTGGAATGATGGATCATCATATGAAGGTAACTGGGTAGATAATAAAATATGTGGAAGAGGAATCTATTCTTGGACAGATGGCAGAGTATTATTTTATGTTATTATAAGAAATATGATGGAGAATGGTTAAATAATAATATGCATGGTAGAGGAGTTTATACTTGGAGAGATGGTAGAAGATATGAAGGAGAATATTAATATGATAAAAAACATGGTTAAGGAATATATATATGGGCAGATGGAAGAAGTAATCCAATTAAATATTTTTAGAATATGATGGATAATGGGCTTATGGAAAATAAAGTGGATAGGGAAAATATCATCTTCCTGATGGAACCATCCGCTTAGGTTTATGGGAAGATGGCAAGAGAATTAAATGGCTCGAAGAAGATGCATCAGTGAATAAAAGTAATCATCAACGTTACTGATTTAATCAATTTATTTTTATTCCAATAAATTTCACAGAAAATTTTGTTCATTACTAAAAACATCTCCAGTCATTATAACAATTCAATCTTTAAACTATTAATTTTAATTATTATAATCAAATTTAAAAGATAATAAAAATTCAATGATTGAAAAATAATTAAGTTTAATAATCAGCTGATAANACCAACGTTTCTAATTAACAATAATAACAATCTGTTTAATAACAGAACTTTAGTTAATATTAACATCAACCTCTCGTGACAGAAGAAGTTCATTCACCCCATCCAGAATAGTTTAGATCTAATTCATAATTACAATAATATTTCTCATAAGCTGATAAATAAGAAACAACTAATTATCATAATGATTAAAATGCATACCCTGAAAGAAGACCACCATTTACATTTAGAAGTGGAGCTATATATGATGGTGAATGGAGAGGTCAAGTTCGAGAGGGTTTTGGACTTTAAATTTGTAATCATATGATCTGAAAATAGGGCCTGATGGAGCTAGATATGAAGGATAATGGAAGGATAATAAAGCTTGTGGTTAAGGAAAGTTTTGGCATGTTGATGGAGATATTTATGAAGGAGAATGGAAAGAAGATAAGGCAAATGGTTTTGGTGTTTATATACATGTAAATGGGGCAAAATATGAGGGATAATGGAAGGATGATTTATAAGATGGAAATGGGGTTGAAACATGGGCAGATGGTTCTAAATATGAAGGTAGTTATAAAGAAGGAAAAAAGCATGGATTTGGTAAATACATTTGGAATGATGGATCATCATATGAAGGTAACTGGGTAGATAATAAAATATGTGGAAGAGGAATCTATTCTTGGACAGATGGCAGAGTATTATTTTATGTTATTATAAGAAATATGATGGAGAATGGTTAAATAATAATATGCATGGTAGAGGAGTTTATACTTGGAGAGATGGTAGAAGATATGAAGGAGAATATTAATATGATAAAAAACATGGTTAAGGAATATATATATGGGCAGATGGAAGAAGTAATCCAATTAAATATTTTTAGAATATGATGGATAATGGGCTTATGGAAAATAAAGTGGATAGGGAAAATATCATCTTCCTGATGGAACCATCCGCTTAGGTTTATGGGAAGATGGCAAGAGAATTAAATGGCTCGAAGAAGATGCATCAGTGAATAAAAGTAATCATCAACGTTACTGATTTAATCAATTTATTTTTATTCCAATAAATTTCACAGAAAATTTTGTTCATTACTAAAAACATCTCCAGTCATTATAACAATTCAATCTTTAAACTATTAATTTTAATTATTATAATCAAATTTAAAAGATAATAAAAATTCAATGATTGAAAAATAATTAAGTTTAATAATCAGCTGATATGCTAATTTTCAATTTTATCTTAATTTTAAAATGATCTATTCAATTATTATAATTAAAATCTAAATGTTAGTGATAAATAAAATCATAGAATGAATATTGATTAAACGACAGTTTATAAAAATTTTAAATTGGTTTGATTTGTAGTATTACTTACTCTATACCAAAAATAACAAATTAAAATAGATTCAAAAAATCTTGGTCAAATTTTTCATCCTCAATTAGTTGATTTTCTATTTCTTAATTTATTACTATACTGAATGAGTAGGACTATTCTAATAACAATTCTTTTTGTTTCGGTTTTTTATCTATAAGATGTATTATTGCCATTATATATTATAAAAACTTTATTATAAATACTAATTTAAGTATATTAAAAAAAACAAGTTATAAGTTATCTCAAAAAAATTTATAATCAATTACTTTTTTAGTATTATTTAGAACTATTCCTAAATGTATTTCTAAGTTATTTTCGTTTTTCTTCTATTTATTAGCTTCTTTCAGTTAATTATTTTAATTTCATTTCCGACTTTTCTAATTCGTCTTATAAGCAAATATACAAGTCTTTTTCGCATTGTTCAACCTTAATTTTTTATTATTATCCTTAATCCTAATGATTTGATGTTTATTTTGAAAAATTGCTTACTTTTTATTTAGTTTATTCATTTAGAGGAGTTTTATAAATAATTTATGGATTCTAATGTTAAGGAATAACAGTGTGAGATGTAAGTATTTTTGAATTAAAATTTTAATTTCTCGATGGAGTCAATGAAGTTGGAATTAGATAAGATATTGACTATAAAGGCATTTCTATTTATTATCTAATTATTGGACTTTTTGGTTAAGAAACTCTAAATTGAATTTAATTTGTTCTTAAAGGCGAAATATTTTAATAGCTAACATTTCTTGTATCAAATATTTATTTTTTTCTTACAGTTTATATTAATGATGGGTATTGAATATTTTCCTTGTAATATTAACAAAACTAAGGCATTTTTTGAGTTAGTTAGGGGATTTTAGGTTTTAAATAGTCTTCATCATTTTGTTAAATGGGTGATAAAGAGCGCTACATCATTTAACAAATAAATTAAAAAAAATATTATTTATTAACAGACTCAATTTATTTCTTAATTTCTTAAATTTTTATCAATTTCTAAATTTCCTTAATTTTTATCATGCATTAAATACTCATTAAGTAAATATAAAGTAGTAATAAGGATATATGATTGACTTAATAGTTTAATTAATTAAAGATTAAAATTGTTTTTTATATATTTGATTATCTAAAATTTGATAAAGAATGCCTTTTGTAACTTATGAAACAAATCAAATTACGGTACTTTTTGAGATTATATTTTAAGTTTGACATTTTAAGAAAATTTTAGTGAAGTAATAATAAGAAATAGTAGTTTATGAAAATCGTTAATATTTTTATAATGCAATAACAATATTCAAAATAAGAAAACTCAAAAGATTTTGAAGAATTTCACAATATTGAAGAGTTGAAAGAATTATTTATTTTAAATTCAATAAATGATGGAACAAGTTTTTAGAAAGTCATAAGATTGGGAGGTGATCATGGGTTGGCAAATTAATTGAAATCGCATCTATTAGTAGAATCAAAAATTAATTTAATTAGAAAGGAATAGACTCAGAAGCATAAGTGTAAGAGAATCGAATTAGATTTGGAAATAATGATCCAGTCGAAAAGGAGCCTGCAAAATTATGGGAATTAATATTAGAATGTTTTGGGGATACAATGCTTTAAATTCTGCTAATAGCAGCTTTGGTTAGTACTATAATTGGTATAATAAATGAAGGTATAAAAACTGGATGGACAGAAGGGTATAAATTAAAATTGAATATTTAGAGCAACAATATTTTTAGCTGTTTTTTTAATTGTTTCAATAACAGCTGGTAATAATTATTTAAAAGAGAGATAATTTTAATAATTGAGACGTAAATTGGATGATGGAATGGTATAAGTAGTAAGAGGTGGAATAGTTGAGATATCAATAAAAGAAATAGTAGTTGGAGATATATTATAATTTGGTATTGGAGATATATTTCCAGTTGATGGTATTATAAATTGAATTGAATATATAGGTATGATGATATAGGGTTCTTAGATAAAGGTTGATGAGTCACCAATGACAGGAGAATCTGATGAAATAAAAAAATTACCATATAATGAAATGTCTTAATAATAAATGAAAAATAGCAAAGATCATCATCATTATAGTCCCTTTTTAATAAGTGGTACTAGATGTTTAGATGGTAATGGATACATGTTGGTAATGCAAGTAGGTCAAAATACAATATAAGGATAATTAAAATAATTATTAAATTAAGATAATCCTCCAACACCTCTTTAGTAAAAATTAGAAGGAGTGGCTGAAAATATAGGAAAATTGGGTACATTGGTGGCAATATTAACATTTATAGCATTGATGGGACATCTACTTATTGATGTTTTTATAGATCATAAACATGGATTATTAACTTTAAAATCATTGTAATTAATAATTGAAGCTTTTATGATTGGTGTAACAATAATAGTAGTGGCAGTTCCAGAAGGTTTACCTTTAGCAGTGACAATAGCTCTAGCTTATTCTGTAGGAAAAATGAAAGATGAATAGAATTTAGTGAAGAATTTAGCATCTTGTGAAATTATGGGTGGTGCAAATAATATTTGTAGTGATAAAACAGGAACTTTAACATAAAATATAATGTAGGTAACAGCATTATGGATTGAAAATCGCGTTTATTAGAATCAAGAAATTAATATAACATCAAAAATATCGAAATAATCGATTGGAATAATGTCTGAATCAATATGTTATAATTCAATAGCTAATCCAACTAAAGATAGAGATACAAATAGATGGACATAAATAGGTAATAAAACTGAATGTGCATTAATTGAATTATCAGATAATTTTGGATATAAATACTCTAATTATAGATTAAATGATAGAATTCTAAGATAAATTCCTTTTAGTAGTAAAAGAAAGAAGATGGTTACTGCTATTTTAAATCCATAAAATTAAACTATCAGGATATTTAGTAAAGGAGCTTCAGAAATTATTTTAGCTTAATGTTTTAGATATATATCTAATAATGGTACAGAAGTACTTCTAGATAAAACAAAAAAAGATGATATTTTACATAATGTTATTGAAAATTTTGCATCTCAATCACTAAGAACAATAGCCATAGCATATAAAGATTTAGAACCTTAAAGTTAAGCAATAAAAGGATTTGTTAATGCAAAAGCACATGTACATCAAATAAATGAAGAGGAAATTGATAAAGATTTAACTTTGATTGCAATAGCAGGTATCAAAGATCCAATAAGACCTGATGTAGCTAATTCTATAAGATAATGTACGAAATCTGGAGTGACAGTTAGAATGGTTACAGGAGATAATATAATAACAGCTTAATCTATTGCGTTGGAATGTGGAATATTAGAAAAGAATAGAGCATAATCAGAATTTGAAGTGATTGAAGGAAAGAAATTCAGAGATTTGGTTGGAGGATTAATAAATGGTAAAAATGAAGAAGGAAATGAAATAAAAGTAGTAAAAAATATGTAGATCTTTTCAAAAATAAGTAGAGAAATGAAAGTAATGGCTAGAGCATCACCTGAAGATAAATATTTATTAGTTACTGGTTTAATTTAAGAAGGTAATGTTGTTGCAGTTACAGGAGATGGTACTAATGATGCACCTGCCTTAAAAAAAGCAGATGTTGGTTTTGCCATGGGAATTACTGGATCAGATGTAGCTAAAGATGCTGCTGATATAATATTAATAGATGATAATTTTAGTTCAATTATTACAGGTATTAAATCTTAATATCTAATAGCTATGAAATGGGGTCGAAATATTTATGATTGTATTAGAAAATTCATCTAATTTTAATTGACAGTTAATTTAGTTGCATTGTTTATGTCTTTTACAGGTGCTGTAATACTTAAACAGTCTCCACTTAATGCTATTTAAATGCTCTGGGTTAATTTAATTATGGATACTTTTGCTTCTTTAGCTTTAGCAACAGAACCGCCTTCTATTAAAGTTTTAGATAGATAACCTTATAGGAGAACAGATTAAATTGTATCTCCAACTATGTATCGTACTATTGTTGGTGCAAGTTTGTATCAAATAGCTATTCTTACTTATATTTTATTTTTATTACCAAAATTCATTGATTGCTCTATTCCATAAGAATTGATTGGATAAAAAGTAAATATTTTATTTTATTCATTCAAAGTACCCACATAATGTAGTACAAATGAGTATCTTCTTTTAAGCATTTGTGTTAATGCAAGTATTTAATTCAATTACATGTCGATAATTAGATTATCACACTAGAAATCCTTTTGCTAATTTTTGTAACAATCCTTTATTCTGGATAGTACAAACCATTACAGTTATTGTTTAAGTTTTACTTATTCAATATGGAGGAAAATATGTTAAAGTTTCTCATTTAAATTTATTTTAACATTTATTATGTGTTGCTTTTGGTATTGGCGGAATCATCTTTTCTATTCTATTTAAGTTCATACCAGAATAATTTTGTCAGAAAATTCAACTATTTAGAGAAGAAGAAATCAAAACTGAAAAGATGGATGATACCTTAACAAGTAAATTAAGACGAAAGTCTACTATGCGTTTACATACTAGTTAAAGAAGTAAACATGATTTAGGAAGTATGAAGAAAATGAGTTCGGATAAATTGTGAATTTATTCAATTATTATACAATTATTTTATCAGTAATTTATAACGATTATTCTCATTCAATAATATTAATTTTAACATATCTCTATTAATTTTAAGAAATTTCCATTTTTACTCAACCATGAAAATAACTTTTCATTTCCTATAAATATGAAAATATTATTAAATAAAATGTAGAAATTTAAACTTTATTTCTTAATCATTTCTCCACAATTAATAAAAACCAAAAATTTAATCAAAACAAAATGAATTTTATCGTTTATTATAATATTTAACTTAAACAAAATCTATGTAAAAGTAATGATTTAATATTATTTGAAAGAGAAGAAGTGGAATTTACATTCAAGCATTTATGTTACAAATACACTTATGTCAATATTTAAGTTCTCCTAATCACACTTTATTAATTTTAATAGGCTCCTTTAGCCCTACCATTTTCATGTACCATATTGAATGAACTAATTATATGGATTAAATATTCTAGAGGATATACAACAGAAAATATTGAACACATTCTTAACATTTTATTTTACGTATTTTTTCTTATATGATTTAGATATATGTCACACTCATATATTATTTAGATCTAAACTACTATATTTTCAGCACTATATTTATTTTATTGTCTTTTATTTTCAAAGTATTTTGCGATAAGAAATAAAATCAACAACATGAATATTCAACTATTTTAAGATTGGTATTTTTTATTTATATGATAGTGTAAAATTTTATACGAATTTTCCTTGTTGATAGCATTACTTTGTATCACATTAAAAATGAATTTATATGTAGAGTGGACATGGTCTTAAACCTTTTGGTGGTATTGGATGTTTTTAAGTGGATTAATTGGATTGACAATAACTTTTTTATTGATATTAATTTCTAAATTAATTAGAATTAACAATAGCACTATAATAAACCACTTTAAAAATGAAAGTATATTCTGGAATATCTAAATTAGTTAAAACGATAGTATGGTTATTGTATACTTCAGCTTTAAGCAGCCTAATAGCAGCAGTTTGGATAATAAATACTTTAAATATACTTGGAATTAATCTTGAGATAAAAGTAGGAGATTTCTATATGTATTCCATAATATCAATGAATATTCTAATTTTTTGTACAATCTCATATGTCTTTTTCCATTCCATAGTTGAATTTGTTTTATCAATAAATTAAATTGAATCAAGAGATTAATCCCCCAAAACTGCAACTTAAAATAGAGATAAATAAATAAAAAAAGAGATAACTAAAACATCAATTTTTATGTAAAAACTATCAAGTGCTTATTTTCGATAAATAAAGGACTTAGAAGTTGTAGTTCTTAAAGATACAAATTAAAATGAAATATTAACAGAGAGAAATGTGAATAATATTATACTTTAAAAAAATAAAAACTTCCCTCATGATTCAAATAGCAAGTGTATTATATGTTGTGAAAAATCTTCTAATGCAATTTTAATGAATTGTTGTCACGGAGGAATTTGTTATTAGTGTGCAGTGTAATTAGCATAGAAGTAGAAGGAATGCTTTCTTTGTAGATAGATAATTTCTACGATTTATGAAATTGATGAAAAGGATGTTAGTACATTAAAAAGAGTGATTTCAAAAACTAGAATTTCTAATTGATACTTTTTTTATTAATATTTTTAACAGTTTTATGAAATCTCAATTCGAAGTATACCTTAGATTAAAACCTTCAAGCAAGTAAAAGTTATGATTAAAAGAAGCTAATCTTAAAATGCCATGCAATACTAAATTTATCAAAATAAGAAATTACAAGTATTATTACCAAAACATGTTAAATTTGGATTGGTTAACAACAGTAGAGATAATTTAGATTTTAATTTTACTCATGTTTTTGATTAGAAATCAAGTTAAGAACATGTATTTACCAATGTCACAACTCCTGTAATAAATAGGTATTAAACTATTTATTCAAATTTAGTTTTTTAGATGGTTATAATGCCACTATATTTGCATATGGATAAACAGGATCAGGTAAAACTTATACAATGAGTGGAGCTGAAACATGGTAATTAAGAGGCGTTATACCAAGAGCTCTTTCTTACATATTTGATGAAATTGATAAGAGAACAAAATTTGAATATAAAATCTATATTTCCTTTATGGAAATATATAATGAAAATGCATATGATTTATTAGAAAAAAGACATTTGGAAACTCCATTGGAATAATGGAATAAAGTATCGATTTATTTAATTTATAGATAGCATTATTTGAAGATGATTAAAATAATATTCATTTAAAAAATTTGTCTATTCATTAATGTAATAATGAATAGGAAGGAATTGATTTACTTATGATGGGAAATTTTATAAGATAAGTTAGCTCCACTCCTATGAATTAATCAAGTTCTAGATCTCATTGTATTTTTACAGTAACTCTTGAAGGATGTGATACCACAAGTGAGACTTGTTTTGTTAGCAAATTACATTTAGTTGATTTAGCAGGGTCAGAAAGAATAAGTAAATCTTAAGTAGAAGGTAATTTATTGAATGAAGCTAAATATATCAATTTATCTTTAACTTACTTAGAATAAGTTATTATAGCTTTAAATGAAAGAATGAAAGGAGCTAATAGATAACATATACCATATAGAAATTCTTTGATGACTACATTATTAAAAGATTCATTAGGAGGTAATTGTAAAACTGTTATGATTGCTACAATAAGTTCTGAAAATGATAACATTGAAGAATCATTGTCGACTTTAAGATTTAGTTAAAGAGTTGGACAATTAGAAAATGAGGTTATAATTTATAAATATAAATTAGATAAGGAGAAATGAAAAAGTAGATTTGGAAGCAGTAGTAAAAAGATTAGAATAAGAGAAATTAGTTTTGATTAGAGAATTAGAATAATATTAAAGAGGAGGAACATCAACTTCAAGTAATAAAAAAATATAATAATAATAATAATAATAACAAAATTTATTACCTTAATCAAGTGGAGTAACAATTAGTTAAAAAGAAGTGTAGGAGAAAGTAGAACTATATTTAAATGAAAGAATTCCTTCATTAGATGTAAAAAGTATAGAAGAAACATAAAGATGCTTTGAAGCAATGAAAGATTTATATAATACAAGAATGAAAGAATATGTTACAGAACTTACATTTATTTCTGAAAAATTATAAAAATATGATGAAATTTTGACAAGAAAGTATTAAAAATGATTAATGAATTAGAAAAGAATAGAGTTCTTTCCTAGAATAAAAAGAGAATAGTTCACCTGAAATAGAAGTTTATAGAAGAAATGAGTCTCCATAAATAACATTTAAAAAAAGACCAAATTAGTGATAATAAATATATATATATTTGCTAATGTAATTAATTAACCATATCAAATGTTCAAGGATGCTACTCTTCCAACTAATTCTGCTGCTTCTTCTTAACTTATATTTGATTATTTAGCCCAGATTGAGGCATTGACTTATGGGCCTAATAAATTAATTAAAAAGCTTAATCCTTTTTAATTAACCTCTGTTGAATTCAAATTAACAGAAAGATTAACTAATATAGGTAAATTATGAAGGAACTATATTTTATAATAATAATTTAATACTTTTCCTAATTTACGGGTACCTTATTCAGTAATTTTATTATAATGTAAACAAATATTAACACATTTTAATGAAACCCATTTGGCAGCTGAAAATTATTTATTTAAGCTAGTTAATGAATTATCAGTTAATTAATTTCTACCAACATTAATTGTTAATTCAACAAGACTATCAGCGAAATTGACTACATGTTGAATTAATCCATTAAATCCATCATCTTTAATAGTATTGCTTTATAAAGAATATCCTGAAAAATTAAGAGTAAGTTTCTTAACTCCTTTGTATGTTGATAAGGCTTCACCTAATTATTGAGCTGATTTACTATCTATTTAAGATTAACTAATAATTTATTTCAAAACAAAAATTACCTGAAATTAAATAAAACTCTTTTAACTTAACTTCCTCCAACAGATTTCACTGCTTTAGCAATATATTATACCGCTGAATTAACATTAGATTATTCTGCAAATACATTTACTTCTTCCAAATTTGGTAATTTAACATCTTTAAATTCAGTGAAGAATTCTTTTGCTGAATTTACAGAAACTTATGAAGAAAATTAGAATGATAATACTTTTAATTATTCTGCTTAAGAAATAGCTATTAATTATAATTTAATTATAATACCTTAAGCAATATGTTATAATCCTTATGCTTTTCCATTTACTTTCCAATTTATTTATAAATTTAAAATACTGTTTAATTTTTATATTGATTCTGCAATAGATTTAGATTCTGCAACTGTAAAATCTCCAATATGAAGTACTATTTATGTTTCTGGAGTGATCATTGTATTTAATAATAATGCAAATGCTTCTGCAGTCTCAATATTTAAATTAACAAAATTCTATTGTTAAATTGAAGAATCATCTTAGATGATGTTTAATAATTGATCACCCAATTTCTTAATTTAAGAATTCCAAAACTTTAGAGCTAATTCTGTTTTATCTTAAACATCTTAATTTAAACTCTATTCTAAATTCTCTCTATAAAATTATTCCTTAGTTTTATTCCATACACATAATTCATTTGGTGCATTTCTCCATGCTCTCACTTTTTTTGTTGTTGTAAATAAATATTCTGGTAATTCAGGGGATGCTCTTAATTATGAAATCTATTATTTTGTTATCAATTTTTTATACTTTATCTACAATCTCTTTTGGTTTAGGAATTGAAGCCTCCTATTCTGGATCACTTCTTAATACTGTTTATAAAGAATTATATGCTCTTTATACATTGTTACTTTCACCTTATGCATTTCCAACCAATTAAGATACAATGTTATTACAAGCATTCTCGTAACCTTATTATAGTTTTTAATTTAGTTATTTATAAGAGTTAACTTGTTCTTATACTTATCTTTCTTAATCTTATTTTTTTGAATAGAAATTTTCAACTAATTTTTATGATTCACTATCTGGAACATAAGCTAATGGAGACTTTTTTGTCAAATCCCTAGTTAAATTTATATAACCTCTATTACTGTAAAAAATCTTAAATAACAACTAGATCTGATTTTCCTCCACTTTCAAAAGCTCCTTTACAAACATCTCGAGCTGTCAATAACTTGTTATTCAAGACGTCTTTTTATTCAAAAACTAGAACAAAAGGTTCATTATCAGTTGGGTTCAATAATTGAGGGAATTCGAAATCCATTAATTAAATATTTTCTCATCCCGCCTTCACTTTAAATTCAATTATATTGTATATTCTAATTCTAATTTATTTATCCAATGAAATTTAATATTAGTTATAATATATATCTCAATACTATTTAATTGTAATTAAATATAAAAAAACCTATTAACCCTATATGTTTGTATCAAAAATATCTATGTTCATATTCCTTATCTATCTTATTCAAATATTATTCTCTCCTTGAATACTTCTATAAAAACCAAAGATTATAATACTTTTTTTAGTTCCTCTCTCTTATAGACAAAAATTTGAAAATATTTTAAATATTCAAAATTTACTAAAAGATACTACACATAAATCTAATGTTATTTAAAAATTTAACTAAAATTAAGATTATATTATAATTAAAAACATAATCTCTCTTTAAATTTATTGAGTAATAAATTAAAAAATTTTTAAAATACAAGATCCTAATATCTAAAATTTAAAACAACTTATTAAGGGTTTAGATAATGTATAATGGTATTTCGATACTAAATTTTTAGTTTAAATTAATAAAATTACTTAATTTTATTTTCCAAATAAATTAACTTTGAGATATAAAGTTTTTCGGCTAAAGGTATTAGTATTTAATAAATTTATCAAAACCAGATATAATTATATAATTTTTGCATGTAGGTATTATTCATTGAATCTACTTATAATCAGGATAAAAGATTTTGATAGTGAAAGAAATATAATTTCAATCTTCAGTAAAGGCATTTTTAAAATTGAAGAAAGAATTAAAGACATAATATTATAAATAATTTAAAAAATGGAAAGTTTGGTTTATATTAATAATATTAGAATTAATTTATTAATTATAATAATTTTATCAAAATTTATTAATGTTTTAACGAGAATAAAGAAATACTACAAGTTCTGGTTATTAAAGTTCTTCAAATGCATATATTATGGCAATGAGAGCACTTTAGGAAAAAATAAAAGTAATGGAAACTTAAAAGTTTGATTTTTAACCTTCTAATAATATGAAAGTTAAAGAAGATGAAACATTGTCATAGCAAATACAAGAATTGAGAAATTAAAATGAAACATTATCTATGTAACTATAAAGACAATAAAATGATAAAGAAAATATTAATAATTATATATTATAAATTGAAGCTTTATAATAGGAGAGATATACATAATTGAAAGAATATCAAGATAGGGTAGGAGATCTAATTAAAAAGATAGAAGATGGTAAGAAGGAGAGATAAGAAATGTAAAGTTAAATTGATTAATTGTAAAAGTAATTAGAATATTATAAAATAAATGAGAGAGGAATGATGTAGAAGGTGGATTAACAAAAATTAGAGGAGAACTAAAAATAGATAGAATAAGTATTAGATTTGAAGCAGAGATTGGAATAAGGATAATAATATGTAAAAAAGCTAGAAAAGAGATATGAAAAATTATAAATTGAGAAAAATTAATTAGAATCAAATTATTTAGATTATAAAGACCGATGTCCATTGTTGAAATTATAAGAATATGAAAAATAAATATAAACATATAGAGGTTAATTGGAAGAGAAAGAAAGAGCATTTTTAAGAATGATGGAAGAGATATCAAATTAACGTTAATAGACAGAGGATTAATTGACTAGAAGAATATAGGAATTATTAAATAAGAGTAATCAATTTTAATCTATAATACATAAATTAACAATTGAACTAAAAGAAGTAAGCTTAAAGTACTAGTAATTATAATTAAGATTGGAATATGAGGAAAAAAATAATAGATAAAATAGAAATAAGTTAAGAAATGTATCTTATTCTGAAGATTAAGATCATTATATGGCAATAAATAAATTATAATAAAATTAGTAGAATAATTATAATATGAAAAGTTCAAATTTGAATTTTGAATATTTTTAACCTTAATATTCTTCTCCTAGATTTGAATAAAATTTAGTGAAATAAAATGTTTTAAAACAAGCAATAAAAGATTATTTGGATGATATAAAATAAGGAACTCCTTATAAACTTGATATACATAACTTAAGTCAAGGAGATTAAAGTGTATAATGGTAGTAATCAAAAAAGAAATTATTGTCAACTCCTATGTCAGCAAGAAATAATGAAACAGAATAATAATTAAAATTATTGAATGATAGATATGAGTAGTTAATTAGATAAGCTTAAATGTAATCAGATTTTAAGCAAAAAGCTTAAATTCGAAAAGAATTATTAGACATTGCTGAATAAATAAAAGATTTTAATAAGAGACAATGAAAATAAATCAAATTTTGAATAATTATATAATTCACATCTATAATAATTTTTACTTATGCATCTCAGAATTAAGAGAGTGATAATTCATAACTTCTTCATTTGGAAATTTTCTTCTACAGATAGGACAAATATATAATATCAATCTAGTTTAAGCCTCAACTTAATTAATAATAGGTTTTGAAGGGGTTACTTTAACTTCTGGTTTTTTAATTTATTATAATTTTTCCCATTTTTTTAATTCTAATTCTGCTTTTTTTCTAATTTATGCTTCAGTTAATTAAGGTTGTACTTTATTTATAGATTTATTAGGAATAGGAGGTGGTTAATCATCTTCTTTATCAGATTTAACTTCTTCTTCTGCTGTTTCCTCTATTTTTTATTATTTTTTTTATTATTAAGATTATTATTGATTTGGTTATGATTATGATGAAAGTTTGGGAGTATATATTTTTTATGGAAGTTGTGACATTAAATTCATAGGTGGAGTAGATAAAGTAAGTTTCTATTCTTATTTAAGTATGATTCTTTCTTAAGCTAATTAAGCAGTTTAATATGGTGCTTAAACTATTGGTTAAACAATAGAAACTTCTGGCATTTGAATTGGTATCTAAGGAATAGCTTATGTTTGTGATGATTATGTATGTTAAATAGTTGGAATTTAAGGAAGTTAATGAGGCATAGGTATTTGTATTGGCAATGGAATTTGCATTTATGGCTATTATTATTAGATAATATCTTATGGTTATTATGTTTACTATTATGGATTAACTTAAGAGGGAAGTTAAGATGATATTTATGAAGGAATCTATTGTTGTATAGGTCCTTAAGGTTACATCACAAATTAGTTATTTGGATAAAATCTAAATTTAGCCTTATAGATTACCCAAATGGCTTTGAATGATCTTCATATCGTGAAGCTCTATTATTTCTTGAATATTAGATAATTAATTAATCACCATGAAGTCTGACTTCATTCTAAGTTACATATCTATAAACATTTTCTGCATCTTCAACACTAAAGAATTCAACAAAAGCAAAATCCTTTTATTCTTTCATTCTAGGATCTTTAGGTACTTTATTTTTGACTAATCTTATATCTTTAACAGCAGCAAGAGGTGCAAATATATCTAATATATCACTATCTGTGGCATCAGCAATAGACTTTATTTAATAAAGAAAAATAAATACTTTTGCTTTTATCATTAGACTAGTATTACATATAGAATCATCTGTAAATCCAGTAGGAGGAGCCATCATAACGCTCAATATTTTACAATTAATATTCCTTGGATTTAAACATTTATTGCATTTATGTCTTTTTGCAAAATTCTCATATCCACATTTATCACATATCCAATCATAACTTGTAGGAGGCTAATTAATTAAACTATTTTTTAATTCATGTCTATTCTAATTATTATTATTATATTCATTACTCTTCTCAATCTACCACTAGTATCATCATAAAAATCTACATTAAGAGAATGTTCTCCTATTTATATTTTACCTTTTAAATTTATTAAAACCTTTCTTGCATAATCAACAGTGCAATATTTTATGTAAGCTTACCCAAATGCATTTATGATAGATATTTCTTCATGAGGAATTACATTTGCTTCCATTGCTGCTTCATTAAAAGCACTATCTAATTATTACTTTGTTAAATCTTCTGGTAAATTTTCCAACAATAATACCATATTATCATGATTTTTAGGCCTATAACGAGGTATTTTTTCAGAACTTGATGATGATTCTGATTATGAAACAGAAACCGATACTGAAGATGATGGTCTAGATATGCTTGATGATGAATATTTTCTATTTTTTCTCTTTTAATGACGATCCTTTCTTTTTCTATCATTTTTATTATCATATCTATCATTATTTCTTTCATTATTTCTTTCATTATTTCTTTCATTATTACGATCATTATTTCTATCATTATACTTTTCATTTCGATCATAATTTGATTTATCATTCAAATGTTTATTATTTCGATCATTATTTTTATGATGAAAATCCATTTTTAATTAAAAATAATATTAAATAATCAATATTAATATTCACTTATATTTTAACAAAATAATAAGACTTTATTCATCAATTCTTATACTAAACATAATAACAAAAGTAAAATTAATTTAGTTTCTCAATCAAGAATTTTTAGGACTTAAAATATTTCAACAGATATTAATTTTTCTCATAGTAAATTAGTTTAATAGAATAAGATTGCCTTATAAAATTATATGTGTTTTTACTATAATATCAACCAATATTCTTATAGATTTATAGAATATTTATGATAAATTTATTTTCATTTTTTTTATAAGCATCCGTTTTATATAATTTAATATTGAAAATGAAGAAAGGCTTTCTAATAGCAGTGACTTTATTAATTTTTGTTAATGGAATTTAACAAAGTAATGGAATAGTGGATCTTTAAAATTTAAAAGCACATCAACTATTTACAAAAGTAAACAAAAATGTTACATAATAAGAATGTGTAATTTGATTAAGAATTTGATGAAATTCCAAAAGTGATCGTATCTTTAAAATAAATAATTGGAGAACAATATGAACTATATAGTAGAACTAGCAATATCAATTTGAAAGGTATATCTACAATGTTTTACTTAGATAAGGATTTGATTTATAGATAATCAGCTCATCTAATATTGATAATATCAAAATAAATTATTTAGCAATAAATGATGACTAATTGAATGTTGTTTGTGAAAACTATTAAACCAAAAAAGATGAAATAAAAGTTCCTGTTAATGTAGAACATTCATAAGTAGCAGCATTTATTACAGGATTGAAATTATAAAAAAATGAAAATGTTAACTTCAAATTAAGTTCTGTAACTAACTAATAAGTTGTTTTTCAGACTAAATAAAAAGCTATGGGTCTTTGCTTAATTTTTGGTGATGAAGATAAAATTGCTAAAACTTAATCAATTATAACAACTCATTAAAATGGAAATAAATTAGAGTTTGATGTTGAGAATATTGAAGATTCAATTAAATTGTAACATTAATTCATTATTATTAGACCTTTAGAAAATTAAATTTTATCTTTTGATGACATTGTAAGCAAATTATCAATTGAGAATAAGGAAAAGGAATAACAAACATAAATATAAAATGAGGAAGAAAAATATCTCGATATTGATAGTATCTAAATAGAAACATTGGGAATTAATACTATTTAATAGAATATTGAAGGTGAAGTTATATAATCTGTTGAGATAGAATTTTTGAAACCTTAGAAAATTGTAGAAGATGAGAAATTATTGAAAATAGAAGAAAAACATATTGAAAGAGTTCAATAAATAATAACTGAATCAGTAGATGAATAAATTTAATTATAATAACAGGAAGAAAAATAGTTTTTAGCATAAATGAATTAAGTGAGTGTTCAAAATATATAAAATATTTCAGATTAAATTTAATAAGAAATTATTATACAAGAAGCTTATTAAATAGTACCATAATCTGTTGATGAACTAGATATGGATGCTTTATATAAAGAATTTACATTAGGCTAAGAACTTAATGATGATCTAATTGATTATAATAAGAATTTAATAAATGAATAATAATAATAATAATAATAATAATAATAATAATAATAATAATAATAATAATAATAATAATAATAATAATAATAATAATAATAATAATAATAATAATAATAAGATAATTTTGAAGAGATTGAATCTGTTGATATTGTTTAAGATTAATTAGTAAATGAAATATAATCTGAGGTAATTATTGATTCAAACTAAGAGGAGCCTTAAAAATGGATGAGCGAATAAAAATTATCATAAATAGATGTACCATTATTTGATGAAGATTTAGAATTTGATATTGAATTAGATGATAAATAAGAAGAAAAAGAGTAATAAGCATCTCCTGCTTAATATATAATTGATGTCTATAATGCATTTGCAAATGAAGAGGCAGAAAAATTAAATTAAAAGGAGAATGAAGAACATCCATTTATAGAAGTATAACCATAAGTAGAAGTACAATCATAAGTAGAAACAGAAGAACAATAAGATTTGTAACCAGAAGAAATTTCGACTGAAATGGAAGATGAATTAGTTGGACTTAGAGATGGTTTAGAAGGAGTTGATTTCTCTTTGTTTTTCGATGAATTTTCAAATCCAAATTAAGAAGTAGAAAAAGAAGAATCAGAAATTAAATATGAAGAATAATAAAATAAAAAAGTTTAATAGAAATTTGAAGAGCCTAAATAATTTAAATAGCCTAAAGAAAAAATAGAAAATGTTATGAAAGATCTTTAAATAACAAATGAAATAAATACAACAGAGGATGAAAAAATATTAATAACTTAGCTAAAATAAAAATCAGCAGAATTGAAAAAGAAATTATAAGAATAATATGATGCAGTTCCTAAATTAGAATAAGCGAAGAAATACACAGAAATATCAATTCATCCAATAGATGAATAATGTATATAACAATAAATAATATAGATCCAAAAATATAATCTGATTCTAAGACAAATTATGAAGTAGAAAGTAAATATATGGAATGGTCAATGAGTTAAGATTAAAAAATAAAGAATATAGGTTTAGATTTGACTGAAGATGATTTGAAGAATCCAAGATTCTCTTTGTTATAAATGGATCAAAAGTCAGAACTAGATATTTAGAAATAGATAAATGAGTTTTTAGGACTTGATGATTTATCATTTGTAATGATTAAGTAAAATTTGAGAGGAAGATGATGACATATATTAAAATAATACATTTAATTATTTTACGAAATTGGTATCCCTATAGAATCAACATATAAAAGATAGAAAAATAAAATATAAATTCTCATATCTTAGAAATGATTGATTAGAGTATCTTTTGAATTTAACTATTTTTTTATTTTAAACAAAAATAGTGTCAGATAATAAATCACTCAATCCAGAAATTTACATTGAATCTTTATATCAGTTAGCGAGTTTTTAAGAATAATGAAATTTATTAGAAGTTTGTAGGATCAGCAGTTTTAAAATTATGTTTGTAATCATTTTTTAGGAAGTTTATTAAGAGTAAAATAGGATATATTTTTGGACTTAAAAGATGTTATTAAATAATTAATATTTATTGAATAACAAATTCAATGTTATATTTAAATTAAGAAGATTTCAAAATTAGATTTTGATTCAAAAAAATGTTTTAATTTGGTTTCTTAACTTTTTACTTATGGAAGAACATTTTAAATTATAACATTTTTTATTAAATCATGGATTAGGCTTCTCAGAAATTTTTAATTAATATAATTAACTTTCTCTTTTTTATAATTATTTTAAATCTATATTTTGTAAGACTTAATCTAAAAATCTTTTTTATAAGATCATATCCTAAATTCAAAGATATAAAAAACGAATAAATGGGTAAATGATTAAAATTTATTACAATAAATCATTTCCCTGATGAATTTGAGTAATTAAAAAATTTAGCTTTTGGAGTATCATTACTAGAATTCCAAAATTTAGGACTCCTTTCAATAGCATAGTATTTTTATTTTGTTTATAATAATTCCTTCTCCATAGACTAATACTTCAAACTTCTTGAAGGTTATGCTTAAATTAAATTTTAAATTTCCTATTTACAATCCTTTAATGATAAATAAATTAGAATTACAATAACTTCTTATAATAATAGTTGCACTGATTATATAATCTTTTCTCCATCTTCTAATCTATTTGATCTATTTTTATCCAATCCTAGAATCTAATATAATTTGCACATTTGACTATTTAATCTTTAATTTTCAAGTAAAAGTTTTTACTATAATTTATATATGATTATTACTGTATCATAAATTAATTTTGAATGAGCATCAATTCCATAATAAGATTTGAATGTTCCATCTGAAAATTTATATCTATGAGATGATGATGGTGTTTCTCTCATTGATATATCATTAGCAGTTTCAGAATATTTAGATCCAGGAATATGCTAACTTCCAATAGATCCTCTTTTTGATTTCAAAACTTCATCTTATAAAATCTGAACTTTAAATAAAGCTTATTCTTTTTATTTATTTATCTATTAATTCTCATATTCTCTTTCAGCCTTAAATAATATATGGAAATAATTACTAATATGGCATTATGTTCTTATTCAAGTCTTGAATATTAATCTTTTATTTATTTTATTTCATCTTCCTATTACTAACAAAATTAATTTGCCTTCTCATGCACTTCTTTCAATGTTTACTCACTTTATAATAATGCTTATTCTAATTATTCAATAATCTTATATAAATTCATCTTTTACTTTTAACTTTTAATCCAAACTTTATTTTAACTTTTTGTTTTCTTTGGCTAATTAATCTTATGAATTAAATGAAGCATTAAGCATTGAAGCACTGCTTGAATTCTAAAAACCATATTCCTTTTAAGGAGTTTTTTACTAAAAAATTCTTTTTTAAGTTTTACTGTCAGAANTATCCTAAATTCAAAGATATAAAAAACGAATAAATGGGTAAATGATTAAAATTTATTACAATAAATCATTTCCCTGATGAATTTGAGTAATTAAAAAATTTAGCTTTTGGAGTATCATTACTAGAATTCCAAAATTTAGGACTCCTTTCAATAGCATAGTATTTTTATTTTGTTTATAATAATTCCTTCTCCATAGACTAATACTTCAAACTTCTTGAAGGTTATGCTTAAATTAAATTTTAAATTTCCTATTTACAATCCTTTAATGATAAATAAATTAGAATTACAATAACTTCTTATAATAATAGTTGCACTGATTATATAATCTTTTCTCCATCTTCTAATCTATTTGATCTATTTTTATCCAATCCTAGAATCTAATATAATTTGCACATTTGACTATTTAATCTTTAATTTTCAAGTAAAAGTTTTTACTATAATTTATATATGATTATTACTGTATCATAAATTAATTTTGAATGAGCATCAATTCCATAATAAGATTTGAATGTTCCATCTGAAAATTTATATCTATGAGATGATGATGGTGTTTCTCTCATTGATATATCATTAGCAGTTTCAGAATATTTAGATCCAGGAATATGCTAACTTCCAATAGATCCTCTTTTTGATTTCAAAACTTCATCTTATAAAATCTGAACTTTAAATAAAGCTTATTCTTTTTATTTATTTATCTATTAATTCTCATATTCTCTTTCAGCCTTAAATAATATATGGAAATAATTACTAATATGGCATTATGTTCTTATTCAAGTCTTGAATATTAATCTTTTATTTATTTTATTTCATCTTCCTATTACTAACAAAATTAATTTGCCTTCTCATGCACTTCTTTCAATGTTTACTCACTTTATAATAATGCTTATTCTAATTATTCAATAATCTTATATAAATTCATCTTTTACTTTTAACTTTTAATCCAAACTTTATTTTAACTTTTTGTTTTCTTTGGCTAATTAATCTTATGAATTAAATGAAGCATTAAGCATTGAAGCACTGCTTGAATTCTAAAAACCATATTCCTTTTAAGGAGTTTTTTACTAAAAAATTCTTTTTTAAGTTTTACTGTCAGAACTACCATATAAAGGTTATCCCTTTAAATAAATCATTTATTTACTTTCAATTCTTTTATTGGAGAAAGTGTATTATCAATCTTACTTAATAACTCAGATGCCTCATATATTTTTTATTTTTAGCTATGTTTCTTCTCAAAATCTAACTATTACTAAATCTTTTTATTTTATTATTTATAATCTTCTACTTACTTTATTTAAAACTCTAATTCTCTTCTTAATCTATCAACTTCTCTCTTATATGAATCACTTTAAGTATCATTTATTTATAATTATTACTTTAAAGAAAATAGCTCTTTTGATAGATTTGTCAATTAGTTAGATTATTATAATATCTAATTAGTTTAGTTCAATTTATTCTATTCTACCTAATTCATTAATGTATTTTAAGCCTCTAATTATTAAGTTTTGTATTTTACTTAATCAGACAATTTATAAATTATTTCATCTTTCTTCAATATCTCTTATTTCTCATAATTTAAATCTTATTGAATCTCATCAATTTAATTCAATAATTCTTAATTTTCTTTCTTTAAATTTTCACAATTCAATCTTATTTACATATTCTATTCTCTTTACTCTTATTCTGACTTCTTAATTTCCATTTATATTTTTCTACTTTGTTCCAATTCTTCTTAAATTGTGAGCATTTCTTAATTAAATTTTTACATTTCATTTTATTACTATTATGCTAATACTTTATTTTTTTGTTTAATTTCCTAAATTTCTTTCTTTGAATGCTATAGATCCTCTTATAGAGAATGTAATTAAATTTATGACTATTAATATTTTTATTAAATATCTGTCTAGCTTTATTATAACTCATTCATTTTTCCTTAAAGTATTTATTTTTATAATCTAATCTCTTCTAATTCTAATATTTTATTTTCTTATTAAGAAATCTAATCAATCAATTTTATTTTTTCTTATTTTAATTAATCTGTCTCCTTCTTAAGTGACACTGTTTATTATTATTAATTATCTAGTTATTTGTTTAATTTTTGATTTTCTTATTTGATAGAATCAATTTCGTTTTTTTGACTTTAATATTATTAAGAAATTTATTAAAATAGATGAACTTCTTTATTCAATTTATCTACTTCTTTTTTATAATGAATAACCCAAATCTTTTATTCCTCAACTCCTTAATTACTTGATATTAATTATTGCTATAAATCTTTAATTTAATTTTTTAATTAATTTGATGTAATGTCTCTATCTTTTATAACTGTTTATAATTTAACTTCTAATGTATTAATAGCTTATTCTTTTTTTTTTATATCTTCTTAAAAGATTTGTTTTTCTTTTTCTAAATCTTTAATCTTTTTTTCAGTAGTCTTCATATTTTATGTATTTTAAAAATTCTATTACTTATTTACTGTGTCTTCTGCTTCCAATTTCATTTGTAAATGATCTACTTCACTTTACTTAGATTATAAAATCTCATTTAAAGATTTCATCTTTTCATCATATATTTAAGTAGATGTATTCTCTTTCATTTATAATTCATTAATTATTTATTATTATTTTTCTAATTACTAATTTTATTAATTGATTGTTCCTTTCAATTCAGAATTGCAATTTGAATATTTATCTATTACTATTGATGCTTCAGCTAATCTATTACTATAATCATCAAGATCCTCTTTTAATTTAGTAATTTCAATATCTTTTCCTTTAATTATATCAAATAGAAGATTTTATTAATTCATAAAATCCTCATTTTAAACTTACAAATCATATTCTTTCTATTCAATATCTGCTCTCAATTATTCAATTACTTATTCTTTCTCTGGAATAGCTCTGCTTTATAACTCAAAACAATTATCTTCAAATTCTTTTTGTTTTTCATTTACTTAAATTAATTGTTCTTTAAATTCTTCATCTTTGCTTAATAACTCTTAAACTGCCTGATTCAACTCTTCCTTCTTAGTCAATAGCTCTTATTCCTATTATTTTATAATAATCTTCTTTTCTTCTAATAACTTTTCATAACTCTATTTTATTTCTCTTATTTCTAAATCTTTTTCCTATTATTTTCTCTCATAATCATTCTTTTATTATTATAATTCTTTATCTTTCTACTCTATTATCTTTTATTATTATTCATAAACATCTTCAAATTAAACTTATTTTTCTTCTAATTATAATTCATAATCATTTCTTTCCTTATCTATCTCATATTCTAATTTATCTTATTTTTCTTTTAAAAGCTAAGGATAAAAAGAAATTTACCTAAAATTCAATATTTTTATTTTCCAATTTTAATTGTCTCTCTGTTAATTCTTTATTCTATGATTAAATTTAATTTGTCAATTGTTTAATTTAACTCTAAATTTCTGCTTCTTATTAATTAACAAACTAATCCAATTATCGTTTATTTTCATTTGTCAGTTATTCTATCTCAAATTTATGTTATTTCACCAAAGCATTTATCTGACTCTCATGCTCTAATTAAATATTATTTTTATCAATTTTAGATTTATTGTTCATAATTTGAAGTTCATTTTAATATTATTATTCTTATTACTCTTTTTATTTAATGATTTCTTAAATTTATTTCAATAAATCATCAATTTATTATTAACTTTCTAATTATATATTTTATTTTTCTCTTATCAATTAAAGATGTTATTATTTAAGATCAGTGTTTTCTTTTAAATTAGAATCAATTTAATTGATTAAATTATTTTGTTCTTACATTGATTTTTGTAATTGAATAAGTAAATTTTCATTTTATTGTTTCTATTCTTGTAAAGAATTATTTAAAACTTCTAAATTTTGATTACTTTGGATTTATAAATTTTCTTTTTCAGATTTTAAAGAATTGTTTTACTATTTTAATTAATCATTTTCAGTCTTATATTAATTGATAGTATTAGTTAAAATCTCTTATTATTATTTTGTTTATTATAATTCTTGCTATTATTATGAAAGTTATTATTATAATTATAGAACTTCTTATTTACTTTCTTCTAATTTTTAATTTAATAGATTAACATCTTAAACTTATATTTAATTTTATTCAACAATTTATTGTATTTCTTATTCTTTTTATGCTAATAATAGATTTAATTCTTCAACAGCTCTACTTTTGAGTTCCAATTACTCATTTTATTAATCTAAAGTTAAATCTCTTTACTTATGATCAATGATTTTAATTTCATCTTTAATATCAAGTGTAATTCCTATCTTATCAAGAGATTATTTAATTTTTTCTTCTTTATCTGTTTATTTGTTAAATTGTTCATTAAGTTTTTCTTTTTCATTTTGTAATTATGTAAACTCTTCTACAGGTACATAAACTTAAGATAGTTGTTATTAAATTTATTTTTGTAATTTTTTTCTTTCATCTAAAGATCCCTTATATGATAAATGAGATTTATTACATTAACAGTTGCCACAATAGTGTTGAGCAATTAAACATTTTCATTAATTTATAATTTAGCTTTATCAACATTTTTTGCTGAACCTTCTTTGATTCTAAGACTATCAGAGAATTTCTTCATTACTGCTGCTTAACTTAAAAGTGCTTTAGATAGTTCTTCTTAATAATCATTAGATAAATCTTCAGCTCCATTAGCATGTTTTAATCTCACAATTTATTCATTTTACAATCTAATAATTAATTTTAATTGTTATTCAAGTTAAGAACTTAATTAAAAAGCTTCCCTTAATTCTTTAATACCACTGAGGTACTTTTCAATTTCAACATAAAGTGCAGTTTCACTTTCAGTTGATTATTCAAGATAAACTTTAAGTATTTCTTCTAATTTAATATATCTCTGATCAGTTGCATTAAGATCTTCAAAATTAATATTATGCATAACTAAACAATAAATAAAACATTTACTGATATTTTATTTGGAAGGAGATTCAGCTAATTTAGAAGTACTTTAGAGACCTACAATCCATTTAGCTAATTCTTATTTTAATCTTTTAATTTCATTTTTTAGACTTTCTAAAGATCCACTTTCATCTTCATTAACTCTAGCTTTATTCTTAACTTATTTAACTCTTTTAGAGAACAAAAGAGTTGATAGTGTTTCTTAATAAAATAAGTTAGATTATTATATATTAGCAATTAGATGAGTTCTAGAATTACCTCCTAAAGAATCTTTGAGTAAGAATGTTAACTTAGAATCCCTATAATGAACATATCTATTTTATTCTTTATCTTCTACAAGTGAATTGATTACATTTCCTAGAATATGAAGACTTCTATTGATTTAACAACCTTCTCTAAGTCTTTCACCTTAAACTTAAGTGTGTTTTTATCTTTCACTACCAGCAAGATCTACAAAATGAAATCTGGAAAATCTATGATTAATAAGCGAATGACTTTATCTTCTTGATTCCAATTAAACTGTAAATACACTATGCGAACGTGAAGATTCAAAATTCATTTATGTAGATGAAATGTGTCTATTCTCATTACCTCTCTAAACTACTTCCATAGCTTCTATAACATTGGCACAACATTCTTCAGTCAAAAATTCAACGTATACTCCTTTATTTAGATCCTCTCGAAGTTATAAGCTACCCAAATCAGGATTAAGAAGATCAATGATATGTTCATTATAAATTTCGAGATGTGAGCATTTTATTAAGTATTCAACTGAGGGATCTTTTTCTTAGTCCTCAAATACACATCCAAAGAGATAATCTATAATACGTGGTAATACTCCTGGCTATTATGATGTCCCTGTCATAGTATATGTTTTCCCTGACCCTGTTTAACCATATACAAACACACATCCGTTGTAGCCTATAATTACAGTTAAGCATACCTTCTAAACAATTGCTGGCTTATTGTTATCCAATCATCTAAAAAATATCTTCCTATGTAGTATCTGGTCCAGCTACATTATCGAATGAAAAGAATTTCTACTCTTACTGATTCTATCCCTCTATGATGATGGTATTCTTCAGGTTTGGATCAATTCGAATACACGTCTTTCCTTCTTCAAACATGGGTCTAGTTACATGCCTTTTTAATGTACTTTATTCTTATTGAAACTTATATGTTATCTCGTTCTTGTTGTTTCCTCTCTGTCATTTTAATTAAAATAAATGTAATATTTTGTCAAACCTTTCATTCGCATACCCCTCTATCATTATTCATAATTCATCCCTTCTATTGCATCAACCCTTAAAAATCTTTCTCCTACTTAACTTACTTAATTCCATCAACTTATTTAAAATGATGACGAAAAACAACTTAAATTGATTGCCTATCTAGTTTAAAAACTAAAACCAGGATTGATTCCATATAAACACATTTTACTTTAATAAATAAGAAGTAGATCTATTGAATCAAATCAGGATTTGGAATATGCAATTAAATTGATTCAAAAAATACAAAATCCAGAATTCTATCTTAATGAATATATTAATACCATATAAGAAAAAAGAATACATTCATGTATAATTTAAATTAATTAAAAATATCCTGGTCTTTGTAAAAGTGAACAGTTAGTAAGAATATAAGAACAATTTCCAGAATGCACTTAAGAATTAATGAACAAAATGATTGTAAATAGATAGAATTAACCTAAATAATAAATTTACTAGAAAATTTAGACATTTACGCCTAGAGATATACCTGAATAACATAATGAGCCAGAATAATTAGAGAAACATAAATATATTACATAGGGTAAAATAGTATTAAGATTTCCACCTGAACCAAATGGATTTTTGCATTTGGGACATGTTAGATCAATAAGATTAAATTTTTATTCAGCTGAATAATTAAATGGGGATTGTTATTTAAGATATGATGATACTAATCCTGCAAATGAAAAGCAAATATATATTGATTAAATAGAAGATAATGTAAAATGGTTTGGACATAAACCAACTCATATAACTTATGCTTCAGATTATTTTCCATTTATTTTTGATTGTGCAATTAAATTAATTAAAGAAAATAAAGTATTTTATTAAATTAAAGTATAGGCTTTCATTTGTGAATAAAATAGAGAAGAAATGAAAGAATTCAGGCGAAATAAATAACCATCTCCATATAGAAATAGAGATATGAATGAAAGTTTACGTATTTTTAATGAAATGCAAGAAGGAAAATATCCTGAGAGTAAATATACTTTAAGACTTAAAATTGATTATCAACATTCAAATCCTACTTTAAGAGATCCAGTAGCTTATAGAGTATTATATACTTAACATCCTAAAAGTGGTGATAAATGGAAAGTATATCCAATGTATGATTTTGCACATTGTATATGTGATTCATTAGAAAATATTACTCATTCTCTTTGTACTTTAGAATTTGAGATAAGAAGGGAATTATATTATTGGATATTATCAAATTTGAATTTATATAAACCATTTGTTTATGAGTTTTCAAGATTAAATGTTTCTAATAATATGTTATCTAAAAGAAAAATTGGGAAAATGATAGAAATGGGAATTGTTAATGGATGGGATGATCCTCGATTATTAACTTTAGCTGGTCTTAGAAAAAGAGGATATACACCTTAAGCTATTAATGATTTTATAGATTAAGTAAGTGTTCCTAGAGGTGGAAATGAATAAATTATATCTATTAAATTATTAGAAAATTGTATAAGAAAGGAATTAGATAAGAAAGTCCCTAAAATTATGGCTATTCTTAATCCAATTTTGATTGATGTAGAAATTGACAAAAATACTATTAAATAAGTTTATGTTTAATAAGATGATGTAAAGCTTATTGATAATCCAGAATTTTATGGTTTATCACCAAATAAATAAGTTTGTCTAAGATTTTTTGGTGTAGTTCTTTGTGAAGATATAATTTTAGAGAATGATAAACCAAAATATATAAAAGTCAAATTAATATCTACAGATTTAAATGATAGAAAGAAATTAAAAGGTTAAATTAATTGGTTAGATAAATAAGATTGTATAGCTGCAACTGTTAATGAATATTCATATCTTTTTGATACAGAAAATCCTGCAGAAATTCCAGAATTTTGGAATTAAATTAATAAAAATTCATTACAAATCTATGACGTTAAAGTACCAAAGTCATTAGAATATAAAATTGGAGATAGATTTTAATTTGAACGTAATGGATTTTATATAGTGGATTCACTTAAAGATGGTCATATCTATTTCAATAAAATAGTTGGACTTTCAGAGGGAGAGAAGAAAAATCTTAAGTGAGTTGTTTATATGTTAGAATTAAAAATTTATATTGTTTATAATTTAATTATGTAATAAATTACAAATTAGAAATTTGTGTCACTTAGAGAACAATTAACTACCTCTTATAAATAATCTCAGATATTTTCTACCTACAAACATTAAAATCAACTATATTAATCTTCCATTATTTAGAGTTAAGATAGTTGCATAGAGTGGTATTAATTTTATAGTCTTATATCTATATTCCTTTTTTACCATACTAAAAACATTATTTCAAAAATCATTCTTATTTAAAAGAATTATAGGAGATATTTAAATATATAATTATTTCATAAAAAACTTAGATAACTTAGAAATAGGAAATTTGTTATTGTTGAATTTCATTAAATTGAAAAAAATTATATTGAAGATTTAATATTTAAGATATTTTACAAAAATATCATCACTTTATTATTATATCTCAACAATTTAAGATTTACATTCCTTTTTTTAAAATATATTATGATTATTGTAGTAGATTTTAATGAGAAAATATCATTAAATTACGCAAGTGTCAACAAAGTTCATTGGAAAAAATAAATATTTTTATAAATTCAAAATATTTTACTTGAATTTAAGATTAAAAAAATTAATTAGAGTTTAAAAACGAAATTAGAATTTTTGAAATAAACTTTCTGAATTATCTATACAAGTAAAAATTTCATGGAATCAAATATTTACAGTTAAAATGTTACATAATTCACTATTGAATAAATAAAAAAGAATGTCTATTAAAGTAACTTTAGGTATTCTACACAATGAAATTTTGATATTTTGAATAAAATAAATAAATTCCTTTAATCCAATTACCAATTTAATAATTGGAGTAAATATCAATTAAAAACAGTATCATAGTAACTATTTTTCTCAAAGGAACAATAACTTTTCAACATTAATCAATTTTGGAAGCCTATAGATTAATAGAAGAATACTAATAAATTAACCTCATAAAATAGAAATTTGGTTAATAAGACATGATCGATACCAATAATGTCAGTTAAAGTTAAATTATATGAATTTATTTATTAATTTATAAATTTTTCATAAATCTGCCATTATTTTATATTCTAAATAACTTATATCAAATTATTACAATTTAAACCAATAAAAACTTAAGTTGAAGATGTTATTATTGAATTAGAATTTAGTAGAATTGATTTATCTTATTTAGAAGCTAAAAAAAAAATTATTAGTAAATTTATTATTCTAAAAGTTTTCTTCAGATTCTTTCAAATAAACAAAAGTATAGGAGTTATTTTTTTAACCCTTCTTAAGAAAATCAATAGAAAATTAATAAGTGAGTTCATAAAAGTAAATTTTATTTATAAATTTAGACTATTTTTTAGTGATGAATTCTGTGAAATTGAGTTATGTTTGACCTCTGATTTTGGTAACTAAATTTCTGAAAACTTACCTTATTAAGGATCTTTGTAAATTTAGAAACTACAAGAGAATTAACAATTTATTTTTGAAAATGAAATAATTGGATTAAAATAATAAATTGAATAATTACAAACTAAAACTAGAATTGAGAATGAAAAACTTCTTTAATAAATAATAGAATATTAAGATTAAATGAAAGAACATCAAAATGTCTAAATGGGATTTGATGATTTATTAAAATTAGAATAAGAGTCAAGATCAGAAATATCTTAGAAATATAAAGAATTATTATAGCTTAATAACAATTTGAAATATGATATTATGGAGAAAGAAAATTAAATTGAAGATCTGTAATATTAACTTAGAATTGTAGAAGCAGAGAAAAAGTTTAACAAAGATTAAGAAGAAAAATTAAGAAAGGGGCAAGAGATTATGGTTAATAATAATTAATTCTAAGATCTTAAGATTTAAATTGCGGATCTTATAAGGTTATAGAAAGAGTAATAATTTGAAATGAAAAAAAATAATGAAGTGATAGATTATTTGTAGAAGTTAGTAGAAGAATATAAGAATAAAATTAAAGAATTAATTTATGGAAAAAGTTAAGCAGAATAAAAAATCGATACTTTTAGAGAAGAATTAGAATAATCTCATTAAAAATGCTAATATTTTACTATCCTATTAGAATAATATAAGGGGGATGTTGTTGATTTGATAAATAAATACATTTAAAGTTAAAGTTTACTTAGCGAACAATAAGAAAATTTTAATCTTCAAAATTAAACAGTTATTTCTCAAAGTGTTTAAATATAAGAGCTAAAATAAAAATTACTTATAAAAGATATGAAAGAAAAAGATAACTTATAATTATAATATAGTTTTTAATAGAATTACAAGAATGATAATGATATTTGTTAAGCAAATTTAGATATAAAAATATGATAGATTAATTAAATATTATATCTTTTTCATAGATATTATAAATTTCAATTTTTAGATTTTCAATTCATTAAATGTAATTTAAATGAAATAATTAAATTATATCCAAAAATTAATCACAAATATAAAAATTAATAAAATGTTAAATATATATACAAATATATGAATATTCTGATTATCATACTAATCTTATCAAAATCTTAAATAACTCTGTATAATCTAATAATTTTTAATGGAATGTATAATTTTTAATTAGTAATGAACTTATTTTTATTAAAGTTATTCTATATCAGAAATTGAGTATTCTGATACTCGGCATACAACCGTTGAACTATTATATCTGTTTTGAGGTATAAAAATTTAATCGTATTATCATTAATCTTTTATTTATTTTGTAATTCATTATTAATTTCAAAGATTTAATGCATCCCTTTTGATTGAAAAGTGAAAAAGAAAATCAAAAGAATATCTTTAAAATAATTTATATTTTAAATGAAATACTAATGTAAAGGTTAACACTATTATATTTCACATTAAGGTAGTATATCATAGTCCATTCAATATTGTCTATTAAATAGTTTAAGATTTAAGCAATACATAAGTATTACTCTCAAGAACACAAAGATTTATATTGAGAAATAATAAAACAATATTAATTGATGAAAAGAGAATTTTTTTAAATTTGGGTTTTATAAATTGGAATATTTTTGACTTACAAAATTTTAAAAAAAGAAAAATATTATGATTATAGAATAAGAAAATGAAGCATTTAGTGAACTAATAGTTAAAAGGAAACAAATGGAATTGGTAAGAATTGTTTACTAAAATAGTTAAAAAGAAGGACTATTACATAAAGGAATCTATTATTTTAATGATATTATATTGGAAGGTTAATTTTAAAAAAAGTATTATGAAAATCAAAAGAATAATTTTTTATTATAATATATGAATTAGAACATTAATCATTTGGTTTTTCAGAAAGTAAATTTTTTAATTTAAACTTAGTTTCTTCATTTATTGTTAATGTACTAATTTTATATATTATCTAATTTTATTGAGTTTCTCAAGCCTCAATGTAATTCTTTAATTTATCTAAAATTGGTTAACATGATTTTTCATTAAAAATGCCATCACCATTCTTTTTGGAATGAACAACTTGTTTTTTGCCATCCTTATTCACTTCTATTTCAAAATATCCAGAAACCTAATTTATTATATTTATATTACATTTGGTGTCTATTCCCCTGTAACCTTAGCATTAGGATAGATTATTTATAAACATTCAATAAAGAAATTGTAAAATTAACCATATCCTCATCCACTGCAATAGACTATGTGAACAGAAAACTCAGCATCTTTCTTTGTACTCATTGATTTAACAGATTCAGGAACTGTTGGTTTAGAGCCCATTATTATAATATTTAAATTAATAAATCTTGTTTCTCATTAAAATATTGATAAATTATATAAATTATGTTCAACTGTTATAAATGACACTTATTATAACCGATAAAAAAAATGTTATAATCTAATTCTTATCAATATAAATACATCTATTAAACAATAATGTTAAAAAGAAATTAGAAAAATTAAATTGAAGACTCATCATAGTTTAATGTTATTTATTTTCATTAAATATTATAAAATAGCAACAATTTTTTATTTTATATAATTTTATTATTTTCTTAAGATTATTGAATATTTAGTATAGAAAATAAATATATAACTATTTATTAATCTTTATCAATAGAAATAATGAAATAATAATATTTAATACATTAACTTAATAAATAAAAGTTTTAATAAAAAAATTGAATGATTCCATTAAAATATTTTAACTTTCTTCATAATTTTTAGTTTTAAATAATAATGAATTAATATACATATATATATCAAAGAAAATAATATCTTTAATTAGAAATCATCGTATATTAATTATAAATACATTTATATTGATTTTATTTTATATATTTATAATGCAAGAAAATTAAGACTTTGATCCTGAGTTTCCTGTTCCACCTGTACTAGATTCACCTAAATCATAAGAATATCAGAAAGTATATATTTATGGAACAATATTTAGTTACAACAAAAATACTAGGCCATCAAATAAATAGTGATGTCAAGTGAAAATTCGAAGAACCCTGCTGAAGTTTTACAAAAATTGCAATCTTTCTTTAATGGTCGATAAGGCAAATTAGAATCATAATCAGAATAAACATAACCGGAAATGTTGAAGAGTGCTAATGTTTCTAGGAGATTTATTTTTTAAAAACCTGGAACTGCAAACAATCTGAATTATACTCAAGAACTTGAAAAATAGAATATGACATTGAAATAAAGAATAATTAAGGTTTCTTAAGCAAGGGAAAATGATACTAATTAAATTTAACTTGAATATAACAAAATGAAGGTAAGAGTAGAAAATTTAGAAAAAGAAAATAAAAAATTAAAATCAGAATTCTAAAAATGTTACACTTAATTAAAAGAGATGAAATAAGAGAAAGAAGAAGAAGAGAAAATGAAATGGCATAGAGAAGCAGTTTCAGATAAAAACCCATATTTAATGGATGAATTTAGAAAGAAATTAGATGAAAAAGACAAAGAAATTAAAAGATTATCAAAAAACCTTAAAAAAGTAAGAAATACTTTCTAATATTAATTAGTTCACTATTCTAGAAAAAAAATTGTGGGTAAAAGAGAAGGCATTTGAAGTAGAAAGAAGTGAATATTTAGATAGAATTTTATATTTAAGTGGAAGACTTGGTTTAACAAAATTAGAATGAATGCTTATTAATTTTCAAAAGTTCTTTATTAAATTTAATAAAAATTTAACATTTTATTATTTTAATGGATATTATATATCAATCTATATCTTATAGTAAAAATAAACTAATCAATAATTAAATAGATCCAGTTAAATAAAGTGTAGTTTGTTTTTTAAGCAATTTATTTCTATAATTTAATTTGAGAATAAATTAAATTTATATTTACTAAGATTGTAAATATGTTTAAATAAATAATAGAAGTTAATTCAAAAATAAATATTATTAATATTATGTTTTATTTCAATCTAACATTTCTTTAAAAACTGCGATACATTAAGTTGTATTAAATTTAAATCTATCATATGTTTTCCTTCTATAAATTCTCTTTTATCCCATCATTGCTAATTTATCAGCTTTTTTAACATATTTTCTTTTTTGTCTAATTTACCCTTACTTTTATAAATCTGGATCCTTATATTGTTCAGTGACTGAAACATATTTTTTATCTGGTTAAACAAACATTAAAGGTTGTTATTATAACTATTATGCAGATTAAGATTAAGGATTAGACTTTTATTACTAGATTTGATGAATAATTTTAGGTTCTGAATCTTCACTATCAGAATTATTTTCAAGCATTCTAAGCAATCTAATTGATTATTATTATTCAGCCTTAGGAATATCTTCTTAAACTTATTGAATATCCAATTCTCGTCCTTCTGCTTTAATTTTTTTAGAAATGTTTAAACCATCATTTTGAATTTCTAAATTATTATTATTAGTAATAATGACTCTTTTTTGTTTTAGTTCATTTTCAATTAAGGTAGATAATTTTTATAATGAATCTAATATTGTTTATAATTGATGTGTTTATTCTTTAACATGGTTTCTCAAATCTTAGATTAATTTATCCCAAATCTTATATTCCTAATTATCAGCAATTAATTAAAATGTCCATTAATTTGATTAATCTTTATAAAATAACATATGTTATCCAACTTTTTTTAAAGCCATTTATTGAGAATTGGTAGGATGTTCAACTTGTAGAATTCCTTCAACTTTTTTAAATTGATCAAATTCTATGGTTTCCTTTCTTTTTTGATATAAAAGTTTAAGGCTTTCTTAAAGTGATTAATCAAATTTAGCTATTTAATTAGTATATTCTGTCAGATTATCTAATGGTTTAGGATTATCATGTTGAGAAATCATATTAGCAACAGATCTTTTAAATTATAAGAGTTCAATTGTCAAATGATTTTGATGATCTTTGACAATACAAATAGGACATAGAACAGCTTGTTTGCATAAGGCTTTAAGACAGATATGGGTCTTGAGTTATCCTTAATGATATTGACATTTCATTGAATTGTGAAAAAAAATAATCCTCCTTTTAATTATTTAGTTTTTATGTAAATAGGATAAGTAATATTAACAACTCTCTATTTTATATAAGGATTAATTGTAGGTTTACCTGCAGGAGCAATCTAAATGTTATTTGCACATGATAAGGATATTGGGATATTCACTTTATGCACAATACCATGGGCTTTTAAATTTGTATGGTCACCAATTCAAGATTATTATTTTTTTGAAAGATTTGGCAAGCGAAAAACATATATAGTGCCATTATTCTTAATTATGGGAGTTCTTATGATAATGGTAGCAGAATCTGAACACACTCTACTAAATCTATTTTATTATTATATTGCCATTGTGGTATGTTTATCTACAAGTGATACTGCTATAGATGGTTGGTCAGTTACATTGTTATCTAATGTGGCTTAACAAAGTGTATGTTAAACTTTTGGATAGTAAATTGGTTGGTTTATTACCCAATCAATTTTCATATTGTTAAATCAAAAGAGCATACTCAATTTTGCTTAATATTAATTAATTTTAGGAATCATATGTATAGTAATGTCATTTATTGTTATTTTTGTTAAAGAGACTAATCCAGTTGAAGTTATACATTATTAAAGTCTCTTTTAATAAATTAAATAAGTTAAAGGATTATATTATAATAAAAACCTAAGATTTTTATGTTTGTTCATCTTCCTATAAAGAAATGGAATATCATTTATGGATATTGCTGCTCCTATTGTAATGATAAGAGCAGGAATGGAAAAAGTATTTCTTAGTGAGTCATAAATTTTTATTTTTTGTTGTACTTTCTGGATTCCATTAGTTATTGGTTATTTTATATCAGGAAAAAAGAAGGAGAATGCTTTAGTAATAAGTGCTTTGACTTATCAAACAATTAATATGGCTTTCTTTTTATTAGATTATTATGAATATCGAAAATATCCATTAAGTGAAGGAACAGTAAATTAATTTTAATACTTGTTTTGTTTTTAATTGTTAATACATGAGTATTTATATTGATTAAAATTAATAGAATTTTTAGGAAAATCTTTACAGTGTGTGCATTTTCATTTGTAGCTGAGATTGTTGAACCCTAGTTAGCTGGAATGTAAATATCAATGATTAGTTCATTACATAATTTTAGTAGAGTAATACTTGATCCTTTAGTTTTATAATTAACTGCATATGCAAACATATATGTTTTGGTTACGATATGTGTGATATATTAAATCATAGTTTTGAGGAAGTATGGAGATGAATTCAAAATCAAATAATTTATAGCTAAAGAAAATTGGACACTTCATACTCAAGACACAATTGATAACTATCATGAATTAAAGGAACTTAAAGAATTAAATAATCAACCATGATTATTATTAAATATATAATTTATATGCTTAGAAAATTAGTTTTTAGATTTTCATAGGATTTTGAAAAAGTTATTCATTCTAAACTAACTAAAGTTTTAAAAGCTACCAAAGTAGAAATAATTGACACATCTTTAGAAATTGAATCATCTATTTCAAGATAAATCAAAAGAGAAATAATATTAAATGGTTATTGAAACATTAAAAAAAGATATGTCAGGTCTTGATGGATATTAAATTAAAACTAGCATTGCTAAGTGAATGAATTATTTATCTATATTAAATTCAATTTTAATTATGATTAAGTGTATCTTCTTAATCTTAACTTTGCTTAACAGCTTTATAATCCATCAAAAAGATACTAGATTATATTGATTATGAAAAAGAGATGTTTTTAAATTTTTTAAATATTATGAATTTGGAGATTAAGTTGAAAGTAATTGAAAAAACCCAAAAAAAATGGTGTGTTACTTAAACTGATGTTCAATTTATTTTGGATTTATAAAAATAGATTTCGTATATGAAAAAGTATCTTAAAAAATTTACATTTCAAATATGATAAATTAGAAAGAGAATATGAAGAGAATTAAAATAAAGGTATCTTATTATCTCTGAATGGTTTGATAATAAATGCTGGGTTCCATTTTACTTGAATATAAATTGAATTTTTGAAAAGAATATTAGAAAAATAGTCTCAAAATAAGTATTATTGAATTTCTAAAAAATAAAAAGTGAATGGAATATGAGATTATAATGAGTAATTATATTTCGTCATTAATTAATAAATGCATAATCCAATTTTTAGTGATTACATGCAGAAAAATGCATAAATTAAATTTATTAAATGAAGAAAACACATACAAGATATTTAGTGGAAATACCTACTCATGAATATTAAGATAAGAAGGTCTATTATGTTATAAAGGTAACTAATTTAGACACAAAGGATTTTAAAGAAGTTAAAAAACGATACTCTGAATTAGAATCTATTCACTATAAAATTTTGGAATGGATCAACATTTTCAAAATTAAAATCCCTTAGTTATAATTTCCAAAAAAAAAAATTCTTTTCAGTACTAATCTATCTGAAGAGAGTATTATAAAGCGAGTATTTTCATTTATCTATGTCAGAGATGTGAATTATAGTAATATTTTAATGGTGTTTTCTAACATCCTGAATTATAAAGTTTGGGATCAATAGAGGAGTTTATTCCTGTGACTAAAAATAGAAATCTGCCTGAACAGAATTAAATAAATCAAAATTCAAACAATTAATGGTCAGAAATTGAAGCTTTAAAGAAATCTTACTTGGCCAAATATGAAAATCAGGTTTTTTCATTACCTTAATAAAAACCTCAATAATAAATCAAGTATATATGATTTATATATTAATTTTAGATAGTAATATAGTTTTAAATTTGTAGAGCATGCCTTTATTGATAATTCAGCAATTTATACAATTGAAATCACAGATCATTATGCCAATAAGAGTTGGAAATTTAATTAAAGATATTAAGATCTTAAGGAAAACCATAGATAATTAAAAAAAATAAAGATAAACTTTGAATTACCAGAATTTCCTTAAAAAAAGGTTATAAATTCTATGGATAATAATGATTTAAAAGATAGAAAAACTTAATTGGAAGTCTATTTGAATTCAATATTTAAGTATGTTGATAAAAATATAAATTTAGATATCATGAATTAGTTTAAAGTAATCTTATGGTATTCTTTATTGCTAAAAGTCAATTAGATGGTAATGAAATAGGATGTAGATCAAAAGGTCCATCATAAACAACATTAGAAAATTCAAGTATTTAAAGCCAAACAAATAACTTGGATTAAAATGATGACTTTGATCCAAAGCAACCGAGAAAAATAACATGTTGATGTTCTCTTACTTAATTTGTATATATAATAATTTTAACAGTAAAATAATTAAATATTCAAATGAGTTACAATAGCAAAACTATTGATTTAATTCTGAAGGCTTAAGAACCAAATTAAAAGTAATTCACATCCTTTCAATAATTCTTTAAATCTAATAATCCACCACCTTTGTTATTTGAAAAAAACATAACACCAAAGAATGTGAAAGTCTAGCGTTCATTTTCTAATAAAACATAAGATTCAATTAAGGAAACAAAAAGAAAAAGTTTAAGTTAATTAAAATACCCAGAATATAGGATGTTAAAAATATACGCAAGAATTAAGCCAGGGGAATGTTAACTTAATTATGATAAATAATCAATTCTTATTGAAAATAATTCTTATAATTTTGATAGAGTATTTGAGTAATAAGCTAAATAGGTATATTAAATAAATAATATTAGGATGAAATTTTTGACATTATGGCAAAACAGACAGTTGATGATTTTCTTAATAATATAAATGGATGTTTGATAGCATATGGATAAACAGGAAGTGGTAAAACATTTACAATGTTTGGAGAATCAAGTAATCCTGGAATTGTTTTAAGGACATTTACACATTTGTTTTAAAGAAATTAAGAAACAATATATGTTTCAATTTTAGAAATATATAAAGATCATGTTTATGATTTGATATCTGGTGTTTAGGATTTAAAATTAAAGGAAGATTTATAATTAGGATTTTATGTTGATGGATTAAAGAAAATAGTATTAATTTTAAATAATTTAATTTAGAAAGTTGATAAATTAGAAAATTGTTAAGAATTACTTTAGATAGCTGAAGAAAATAGACATGTTGCTGAGACTAAATTAAATGCATTAAGTAGTAGAAGTCATTTAATATTAACTATTTAAATGGGAAAAGCAAAACTTCATTTAGTTGATTTAGCAGGAAGTGAAAAAGTTAATAAAACTGGAGCTATAGGCGAAACACTTTAAGAAGCTAAGAAAATTAATTATTCATTATCATGTTTAGGACATGTTATATAATGTTTATCATAGGGATAAGATCATATTCCGTATAGAGATTCTAAACTTACTAAATTATTAATGGATAGTTTATAAGCTGATTGTAGGACATCAATTGTAAGATAATATTTTAGATTTATAGATTGTTGCAATCTCTCCTGAAAATAAGAATTAAGATGAAACAGTCTCATCTTTGAAATTTGCTTAGAGAGCTAGATTTATTAAAAAAGAAATAAGAATTGCTACTTAGAAAAAGACATATAGAGATTTAGAATTAGAAATTACTTAATTAAAATAAGAATTGTTAGAAACAAAATAAAGAATGAGTTAAACAAGTTCAGTTTCATAATTTTAATGTAGATATACTACTGATTCTGAAATTCCATGCACTGAAAGTTTAAGATTAACATATAGAAGCATTAATAATGAAAATAAGGAAAATTGTTTACCAAATCTGAAAATACAAGAAAGTAATGCTTAAAAGGATTTAGAAAATAAAATTAATTAAATTCTTATTGAATTATAAGGATTAAATAAAGAATAAAATTATGATAATATAAAAAGGCAATTAATTAAAATTAATGATCTAACTATTGAATTAAAGAAAGCCTCTAAAGTTTTAGTGAGTACTTAAGGATTGAATAATAATTAATTACAAATTTAAAGTTAATTTATTGAAACTTAATAAGAATAGAATAAATAGTTACAAAAGATTGCTGAATAAATTTCAAATATGGATTCAAGTAAACCAAGTTTTAATATAGCTATAAATAATATGATTAAGAATCTATAATAATAATAAAAATAAAATATTGAAGATATGCAATTAAAATTAGAAAAAATGTATTGTGATATAAAAAAAACAACAAATGTGTCAGATTTTAATTTAAATCATTTAGCATTAAAATTAGTTGCATCTCCAAATAGATAATAATAATATTAGTAATAATAATAGATAAAAAGATCTAAATCAAAAACAAATATGAATCCTTCTGTAAAATATTTAAAAAATAAAAAATGATTATAATTAACCCACATATAATACTAAATATAAAGATCATTATATCTTAGCCTTATTTTAGAGTTTTTATCTAACAATTCTTGAAAAAGGTCCCATATATTCATCAAATATGTAAACTAAAATAGCTTAAGTATAATTTGTATGATAAGGTAAATAATCATAGAATTCAGGAGCAATCTTTGAAACAAGAGGTAATCTAGACCATGGTATATTTGGGAAATCATGATGTTCTGTATGATAACCCAAATTCAAAATTAAAAAGTTAGCAATACCAATATAATTATATGTTTCTAATCTATTAATGAATTCATAATGTTCAGTAATTAGATGAGCAGCTAATGGATGTAAACTAAAAAATATAAATGAATATTTACCTTAATCCAAAATAAGTAGATAATATTAACCATCCTAAAGCAGATGGTCCAATATAAATGTAAATTAATGAATTAGATATAATTATAGATACTAAGTTTAAGATTTCATAAAAATTGGGTATTAATGGTCTTATAAAAATGGGTCTGAGTGAATAGAATAAAGGTAAAAACAGCAAAAATAAAAATTTACCTAGAGGTCCTTTAACATGATCAACTTCCCATTAAGATGGTAAATCTGGATCTAAGTTAGGTAAATTCATAAATGTATGATGATCTGCATGATATCTTATAAATACAAAAAAAAAAATACCTTCCAAAAGTAATGGCAGATGGAACTCCCTAACCAAAATTTAAAAAGATAGCCATCAATTTATTGTATTAAATACTTTCAAAACATAAGAAATGAGTAAAATCATGCATAAGAGCATGGAGAGCATGGCTTAATACTGCTCCAATGCAATAAGATGAAACCAAATACAACAACCAATTTGTGGTTGCAAAGTAGTTAAGACACCAAAATTGAGCCAGAACTATGCCAACTCCAAGCCAAGCTGACATCAGGTCTGGACCAAAAAGAATTTTTATTTCTGGGTGCTTTTAAAGTATTTGTTATCTTCTTATTGCATGTGGTTCATCATGACCTTAATTATATCTCAATATATTATACCCATTATATGAAAATATTTTGTATTTTTTTCAAATTTTGTTTTCCCAAATATTGATTCTTTTTATTCTGAACCACTATTTTTCTTTTCGTGCACTTTCAGAAGTTCAGGTTAATTTGAATCTTCTAATAATCCTTTAGAGTTAAGGAACATTTTTTAAACTAATTATTTTTAATTATGATTTTTTTGATTTTGGATATTCTGTCTAATGATATTATTTCCCAAATCATAAATACAATTTATTAAAATATCACTTTGTAAATATTTATACACTATTATAAAAAAAATATAATACCTTAGATCTAACTCAAAATAATCATTATATTATATCAAATATAATTGTTTTACCTTTGATTATTAAGGATAAAGTTTCATTAATTAGAAACGATTTATAATTCTTAATAATATTTGCAATTCGGAGTTATTTTGATAAAAATAAAATTTGAGCCATAAAATTACCATAAATTTTCAAAGAAAATGTATTTCTAAGTTTATATCTACAAAAAATGCATAATAAATTCTAATTGATCTTAATTTCCATTTTCTTTAAATATGACAAGATGTGATTAATATTTGAATAATAAACTTAATCAAAAGGAGGCTTATGATAAAAAAATTTAAGTTAATGTTTAAAAAGCTAAAAACAATATTGTAAGTATTCAAAATATTTTAATAAAAAGTCTAACTTCAAATATGATTTATACCATAATAATTATTTTAATTAAATTAAAAATATATAAAAAAAAAAGAAAATGAATTATAATATAAATTTTTTTATATTTTAATAACTCTATTAAAATATTTTATTTATTGTTTATCTAATTGAATTGAATATAATATCAAGCTTTTTAAGCAGTTGATAATAGACTTAATTTTTATTGAATTGACTTAATATAAAGAGCATCTACTTCTGATGCCTTCTCTACTGCTTTTAGTGGTTTTGTAGTCCAAGAAGCCTCTACTATCTAAAAAAATTTATAATATTTTTACTGATTCCATGCTCTTTGTTTATTTTTCTAATTTGCTTACTTGATCTGCTTTTCTTTTTAAATAACTTTCTGGTTAAGATTATTCACCAAATGTTTTTTCATCAATATACTTATTAAATATTATTAAAAAAATAATACTTTTTTTTTTATTTTGTCTACTTTTTAATTGTGTTAAGCTAATTTCTTTCTTCTTAATTCTTCTTTTTATTCCTCATCTATTTCTTCTACATTAACAGTTTTTCTTGGAGTTTATTCAATGCCTTCCTCTCTCTTTCTTCTTTCTTCTTATTTTCTTCTTTCTTCTTCTTTAATATTTTTTTCTTTTTCTAATCTTTCCTATCCTTTTCTTTCTTCTCTTTCTTTTTTAGCTTATTATAAAACTTCTTATAAATAATCATGTCTTTCAAGCTTAAATATTTATTAATTAAATACTGTTCCTAAAGTTTAATTTTTAACAACTTTTGGTGTCTAAGAAATTTATGGTAGCTCTAATTTTTTTTTTTTCTATTATTCTTGAAGCAATTTTAATTGCTTTTCTCTTTCTTCCTTTTCTAATTCAAGAGCTTTTTAATGTAATTCTTTAAATTCTTTTAAATATTCCTTTCCTTTTTATCTTGCTAAACTTTCTTCATATTCATAATCAAATTCATCTTTTTTCTTTTTTTCTTCATCTTTTTATTTACTCAATATGATTGATTATTCAAGATCTTTTTTTGCTTTTTCTTATAGCTTTTTAAATCTTTCTAAATCTTTTTCTTTCATTTCTCTTTCT